CAGCAGTCACCGAAGCTCCAGTTTTGTTCGATGGCCTCCAGGACGCTTCACGCGGCTTGTCCCCACCAACATTGCTTACGGAGTAGGGGGACGGCCGCACATAATAGCCCTCGCTGCGCCGCATTGCAAACAGGAGAAAGCAAGACACAAGCAACCTTTCAAAGCCACATCGACGGTAAGCACCTGATGAAATCAAATGGCAGCGAACCTGACAAGGGGGGCATAACACAAACTAGACTGCGTTGCCTGCATGCCTATGTTTACGGGAGTAGGGTTTGCTGTGTGCGTCGGCCATATGCCAAACCTACCCCGACGCAAACATCCCAAAGTTCAACCCATCCAGATATATCCAGGCTTTGGGTCGCAGTCAGAAGCCTCGAGCGGACTACAGGTTTACTCGCAAGGAGGTCCCTGGAAAATCAAACAGCCCATCCAAGCTCTCCTCGTTCTGCAAGTGACAGAGCAATGACAGAACTCGCGGTTCGGTCTCAGGAGTGTCCTTTTTCAGGTCGCCGGCCTCCAACCAAGGGCAGCATATGCCGAGGCAAAGCTCCGTCTGGGCTGATGCCATGATGTCCACCAGTGTCCGCCTCGACCGGCCTTAAGAAGTGGCCGAACCTTGAGACACGCCAGCAGGGCCAGCAGTCGAAGATGCATGCGACAACCTTACTCTTCTGGTCCAGGCACAGGCAATCTTTCCGCGCGGCTGTTACCAGTGAGGCAAGGGTGGATGCCTAGGTTCAGGTCGTTAGTCCGACCACCAGACACAAACCTGCTCAGCCTGACCGCGTATGAGAAGACACGCTGCCGAGTTGTTGGTGTAAGCTGCGCTGTCTTCGCCTTGGTATGTTGCTGTGCATGCCTAGCAACCCTCATGCTGTGGATATCACTGCGAAAACAATGAGGAGCCATGCTGCAGAGATGCTCAGTCGCTTCAGGACCACGTAGTTGTCAAAGCAGTCAAGCATCAGCTCCACCTGAAAAATCTCGTCAAAGGCACCGTAACAAGTAATCATCACATATTGTCACATGCTATCTGCCCAAATCCTATGCTGCCTGTGGCGCGCACGGTGGCTGAATGCAATGCCAGTCCTTTAGCTAGTTTCTTGACCTCCACAACAGACATGCAAATTAGGCATCTCGAAGCGAAGTATGCGCCAACGAGCTTTGCTTGTGGAGAGCGCACCTTTCGCTCCTTGTCAGCAGACTGCTTTTCTGCTGATTTGCCTTCGGGAGCCTGTGGGCCCTGGCAGCAACGCCCGCAATTGCTGAGCCAGTCTAGAAGCCCTGAATTGCGCTGCGCACCTGCGACCCCTCCTCTGGCTGCAGTCTGCCTGGTCACCAGAAAATGCATTCATTGCCTATCAGGACATCCCTGCTATCCTGTCGCTCAGTTTCTGGATGCCAGGTGACTCAAGAATTCTTCCATCCCATCTTGGTTCTTCCCACCGCGCACCTTAGCAACAGAAGCTGCTATGTGACACAGCCCATGCCATTCCACACAATGTGATGCTTCTACCATCTGTTTGGACGATTGGATCTGTCTAGACAGTTGAAACCCCTTTTCCATCAAGCCTCGAATACTCTGCCTGACTTAGACTCAGGCGATCCTCTTCCCAGGAACTTTTGAAAACTGTTCTACAGCCAGTAATGCTTTCTGAGCCTGTCAGTCTCAGTTGTGCAGCTACAGGCTCCCCGGATTTGCAAGATGTTAGCAATCTGATCCCTTAAGCATATCGAGATGCCTTGTTGCTTCCCCGGCACCATTTTTGCCATGGCATCTGCCACATCTTTCTCCGCATTGGGAAGCAGCTTGCCAACTGCGACCTGCTACACCCAGCCATGTGCGCAAATGCACAGGAACAAAGAAAGAGCATTGGGGACGCTTCCAGCATCACTATTATTATATTACTACACACCTAGAATGCCTATATTACCATTTTTCTTATGTTACTATGCTTGCTTGCATTCAGGCCTTGAGCTCCTCGAACTGCCTTTTCTGATCATCGACAGCAGTCCTCAAAGGCCACATGCCGTCCCCTCAATGTGGCAGGTGGCCAGGACTTTGTCACAGCAACCTGCACACTGCTGCTTAGCAGCATCATCTGCTTGTCCCCAGCCATGACCTTGAAGATGGCAATCAAGGCCTCACAATCCCCGGAATCCTACATCCTGCGCCACGACCTGAACGGAGCCTGCTGCCAACAATCGGGCCCCAGTGCAGATGGCACCCTTTGACTCTAACGCAGACCTTGTCGAGCAAGGTGGTCATCTTGGACTCGCAAAAAGTCCTGAGCCACAGCGTAAGGCACGTTTGCTGCTACAGCGTTCCATGCATAGCTCCATATGCTAGCTGCGAGCAGCTAGCAGTATTGCAAGCAGTGTTGCAAGCAGTGTTGCTGCAAGTTGCGCTTTGGAACAACACCCCGGAGGGATCTGTTTTTGGGCTAAGCTTCTTCATGCCCTGGAATTTTGAGAGCATACTGTGCCACATGGTGACCACCTGACAGTGAATATGAAGAGCACGGACGCACAAGGATTCAAAGGGGCAACACCAGCTGAGGCAACTGCTGCTGCGACCATGATTGCATAGGGGATCAAGTCAGCAGGTCTGATTAGAGACCCCAGAACAATCCACACCAGTGCCTTGGTGACATGGAGTTGCGACTCGGACACATACATACACACTACCTTTCCGGCAACACCATCGCGCCACATGCCGTCCTTCTGCAAAATGAGCTGCATTGGCAATGATGAGGGTTGTGCCTGCCACCAATGTCGAGGTAACACCTGCGCAAGCTGCAACCCAGGAATGAATTTGGATTGCAATGAGGTTCGGGGAGTCAGGACTCAAACATCACCGGAGCGCAATTTCCTTCTGCTGGGGTGCATGCCGCATGTACTGCTGCCGTGGCACACATGATGAAAGAATCGGCTTTGTCAAAAAACCTGACGTCGTCCCACAGGTGCTCCGAAATGCTTGATTGAGGTAAAATTCATGCAGGCAAGTCCCAGCTTCAGTCCCCCATCATGGACCCACCCCAACGCAAGCAGGGAGCCAGTCAAAGGGCAGTGGCTTTGGCACGCCGATAACCATGCCTGCGTGCACCACGAGCAGTCTACAGAGAAAAACTTGAGCTCCAAGAAAATCTGCAATCAGCCCTGCTAGGAAAATGGTCCTACATGCAATGAACAGCATGCGCGGAAAATTTGGATGCTTGCAGGCTGCAGTATGCCACCGTAGAGGCAATCAGCATCAGGTATGCCAGCGTCACCCCTGCATCAGGATTGCACATACGAAACATCGTAAGCGGGGCTGTCATTCACCTAGTACAAGCTGCGTTGAGAAATCCAAGTTGGCAAAGCGAAACATCGACCTCACAGCTCTCAAGCGCAAACAGCGAACCGTCCGCAAAGCAGAATCTGTTGCTGTAAGCGGTCCAAGAGCAAGTGCACGTTGCTGCCCACTCGCTGCTCAGTTTGATTCTTGCTTCAGGCATGGCGTGCGACCAGCTGAACAAGTGTGGCAGATGTCATCCCACGGATGGGCCATCGCCAAATGAAAAGTCACCAGCGCTCAGACGACATTGAGGTGATCCTGTCAGGTCCAAGTATATGGGACACACGTCAACTAGCATAAGGTCCTTGTCGGCAACAACTGGTTGGAAAGCTGCCGCGGCGTCGTTAAACCAGGGAAGATGAGCAGCATCCGCGTTCAAAGACCTTTTTGGTGGAGAGGTGCTGTCATGAGCCAGTCGGCAATTGTTTTGCAGGGCCTGCCTCTTGCCACCGCTTTTGAGAAGGTCATCCAGCTGCAGCCTCAAACATCCACGTAGTGGGCAGAGCTCATGTGCCATGCAAAACAGCTGCCAGCGGCCTCTGGAGGTTGTGGTTTGCTGAAGACCTCCAATACATGACCTTCTGCACATGATCGTAGATGACACCCCACTGAGTGTGGTCCTCAGTACTGGGGTGACCATCTGCTCATCCACAGGTTTTTGCTGCAGTCGGAATCCACAAGATAAGCCTCAGACGCCAGAGCCTTCGCCGGAGTGCTTTCCGGAATCTGTGCCCAGTTGAAGGCCCATTGGAACTGTCACGGTATTCAACACGTGCACCGCTTGCATCACTGCGTCCTGCCGCTTTTGGCACATGTTCACTAGACATTGGTGATGAATCCTTCCAGCATTCTTAATACAGTACTGTCATTCAGTGCAAGCGCCTGGTAACTCTTCGGGGTGGGCATCCCCCTCCTGACTAGAAAGATGCGCTGGAAGCGATCTTCGGGATACCATGCCCCCGGCATGGCCACAGCCTCACAGACTGTCACAGACTGGCATGGCTCTTCCTGCTGACCTGTTGGTTGCGGCTACCCTCTTTGGGGCTCCCGGCCGTTCGAGCAAGGCCCTCCTTCCATTTCAGGTGCTGGATGGCTTGCAGCCTTTCATCTGCTCAAGGAAGGAGGCAGTGCAGATGCTACCAGTATGCAGTCTGCGCCTAAAGCAGGCAAGCCATGTCCCTTGAAGTCTTTCAGACAGCGGAGGAGCTGCCAGTCGAAGGTAGGCTCGTTCGTCATGATCCCGAATGTGCTGTCGCCGTCATTCAAGTCCTCCAATTCTTGCGCGCTCTACACCTGCCCAAACTCACAAACACGCGCACTAGCTGAGAAAAGATGTCCTCACGAGTCACAGTCTGGCCTTGGCAGCAAGGTTACTGTGCTGATGGCAGAACAAAGAAAGAGCTGACTGAGAACGCAGCCATCCAGGAACTCCACCACAAGGCCTTTGCCAGTGGCATCACGAAGAACCCAGTGCAAGCCTGGGATCAGGCTCAAGCTGACTGAGCGAACAATCTTCTATTTCCAATACCAAGACAACTGCGTGTTCAGGCGATAATGAAAGAGACTACGCGGCTTTGGGGCAGGACTCCGCGGAAGGAAAATCCATCTTCTAGCAGAATTGCGACTTTAGACTGGTGAAATTTGCCTACCCCTGGTAGCAATACGCACGGGCACATCAGCTCCAAATTTAGGCATTTGCCGCCGCAGCGCCACCAACAAGGGCAAACATCGACTTCGGCGCGACAAACCTAAGCGTTGCGGCTTGACATGAAGTCTGAAATTCACCTGAACATTCGCTCCATCTACAGCACACGTGTCACATGGACACTGTAACAGCATAAGATAAGTACTGCAAGGCAGGCTGCTGAACAGACTTCAGGCCCTCCTGGATCTCCTGGATGCTTCCAAAGCCTTCCAAAGCCCATCGGCAAAGAAGGACCGCCTCGATATTGTCTTTCTCAGCCGAGGCAGCGGGGTACTTGCTTCCCAGGAGAGTCTGCGCATCGCAACTGAGTCCTGCATCATTCCTGGGTAAAGTGCAGAGAAGTTTTGGTCCAACCCTGAGGCTGGCAGAAGCAACTGCTGCCAGGCATCATGCCTCCAAACACCGAGTCTTCCTTTGGGCGGCAGCTTCCCAAAAGAAACGCTGGCTTCAGGGATGTAATCCTCCTGCCTGGATGACCCCGAAAAGTGTGGCCGCAGCTCCAAGGTAGCCATGCTTGGAAGATCTAAAGCCGGGTGAGCCAGCAGGCACCGTCAGGAAAGACCAGCCTGGAGGGAGCCATGCACACCATGAGCACGCCAACTAGTACATGCGATGCAGGCCTAGGCCAGTGATATCTCCCAAGTCCATCGTCCGTACAGACAGCCCGTAGTCATTATCCATAAGGAAGTTGGAGCATGCCTTCGCAAAAAAAAAAAGACAATTCTTCTTCCTTGTGCAAACTGGACCGCGTTATGCATGGCAAGGTTCAACAATGAAACTTGCTGAAGAGATGCCGAACCACCCCAAAGTAGGGAAGCGAATCCAAGGGTCAGGCGGCCCATGGCGACTGTCGGCTTCCAAGTTTGAGCCATCATGCCTTCGTCAATCGCACCCCACGGCTCAATCTCCACTCTCATCTGCGCTCCCCGTGCGCAGCATGCGCGTCTGTCTGGTTTAGCTAAGCCGCGGGTCCATGACAAAATCCAACCTAAGTGCGCAGGATCACTGCCAAACCTGCATATGAATTTCTTGTGCGAATAGAATTCTAGGCACGTGGCAGGAAGAAGTGGAGCGGGTCGCGGCCCACCAGATCAGATCGAATGGCAGAATGGACAGCATCATACCAGATCACCTGGGGGGAAGGGAACGTGACCTAAGAGTTAGTTCTGATTCTTGTAAGAAAACTATTTGCTCCACCACCGCTGCCGTGCTCTCTGTGCATACCCGGGTGTCCCACACCAATGACTCCATGCTCGTGCGAGGCAATCACAAGCTTATGTTCCGAGATGCTTCCCGATGCAGCCGAGCCGCAAAAGTGTGCAGGCACATCACCGGCATCATGAGCGCAGCCTTAGCCCAACAGTAGGCCTACCTTCTTCTGCCCGCGCTGCCAGGACTTGTACTTGCGCACAGCAGTAGGTGACGGTCTAACAGAGTCTAACATACCTGGGCATGCAAATCGGGAGCAAGCTCCGAGGAGAGCACGAACTGCACCTGCGAAGTAGGGATGCATCATTCCTACCGCACACTGTCAAGGTTCAGCTGTGCCGTTTCAGTTTTGACAGATCCTGCACCCAACTTGCGTCTGAAGCACCCAAAACATCAGCGTCAAGAGCAAAGCTCTCAAACCTGATGCAAGCTGTCGTGTTGGCTGGGGTGCAGTTGCGTCCGAGTTCTGCCAAGCTCCTAGCTCTTTCCCGCTGCGCCAGACATTTCAGCCGCGGCTGTCGGTAGCAGTCCGTACCTTCACCAAACGCACTTGTCCAGCTCACTAGTTTCCAACATGTGTGTCCAGGTGACTCAGAAAGCGATCCCAAATCGACTAGTCAGCAAGCAGGCGGATGCACTGGAGCAGTGGGTCCGGAGTCCAGTCTGAGGAACGCCTGCATAAGAGGTTTTCGGGTTCTGCAAGTCCTCACCGAAGCGATTAATTATCAAGCCCGTGCTTTTTGTGCTGTGCAGCTTGGTGCGCTTGTTTGCTTCTACCTTCTGATTCGTCAACGCACATGGGTACATACAGCTTTTTGACCGCGCTGGTCACAGCCGCTCGCGCCGCAGCAAAGTTCGCAGGAGCTCAGTGCTCGTGAGGGTCCCAGCAATGCGGTTCAGCACAGGCTCCTCAGGCCGTCGTGAACTTTCTTCCCATTTCAGAAGCATCGGAAAAAAACACCAGCTGCCATGTGATATGTGATTATTTCACGGACAAAACAGAAGAAGTTGTGAAGCCAGGAAACCGCGGCAGGAAGATCGAGGCTGCTCTCCTTGTACGCAGCAGTCGCAAAGCCAACACCAAGCCAACCGCCAACCCAACAACTGGAGCCGAGTGACTTGACACGCAGCAAGGACGGCACAAAAGAATTCTGCGATACCCTCGCCCGTCCTTAGCAAGCCACAGCTGAATAAAGTTCAGCGCGGATTGCCTCCGCAAATGTTGTGCGAGACAAGCTGCAAGGCACTGCACATCCCAAACTCTGCGCGCCCCATATCTGCAACTTCCCGAAGCCGGCACGCTGCTCTTCGCATTTCAGCTGGCGACAGCCGGTCCTAGTTCCAGCCAGGGCATGAGCGAGCGAGAGACCTGCACGCCCCGTCCAACGCATCTCAGGCAGCCACGATCTGGAGGCCACAGAGTGCCAGGATGGTGCCAGGTCGCATGTACTGCGCAAATGGCGCACTTTTGCCCTCATCCTGCTTCAAAGCCTAACAGACAAAGAGTCCTCCGCAGCATCCAAAAGAAGGCGCTGCGCTTCGCGCGGAGCTTCAAGCTCAGCGGCATCAACAGTCACGATGACTGCCTGCGCAGCCTTCAAGTAGCCTCCCAAAGCCTGCAGGCAATCTCAGGCATGTTTTGCTCCTTGCTTTCCGCTACAGCTCAGAAAGCCACCTGTTTGCGGCTGAAGCCTGACGGCTCCCAAACGCGCAAGCGGCCGCGGGTGTGCAGCGACGTCGAGCGCATCTGTACCCGCACGACTCGCATGTCAGTGCCCAGGCTTGGAACCTGAGGCATGCCATAGCAGCAGCCACTCAGGAGGAGGATTGGATGCAAGACGCCTTGTCCAGCCGGTCAGGCACCCCGCCAGTGCAAAAGCGGTGCACCAGCCACGTTTTCCCGCTGCGAGGGCCGCCCACCACCAGCAGCCCAGCTTGCCAGTCGTGCGCGCCCGAGTCCGTCTCCGGATCACCTCGCCCGTCCCAGCCCCCGCATTTTGCAGTTTCTACGTTACTGTTCGTCTGATTTGTCATGTGCTTATCCGCTCTGCATTTGGTGGTAATTTGACTGAAGGACCGCTGTCCAGGCGAAGCCCGGCGCTGGGAGGCAGCCGCCGCACCAGTCGCCATAGAGACGGAGCAAGTGGAGAGGAACCCAATTCAACCTCAGCTTTGCTCCAACTGCACCGAGTTCCTCCTGGCCAAAGCCAAATCCCTTTATGTCAACCTTGGCTGACATATCTGCAGGCCAGCAGCTGCAGTGCGATCAGGATATCGCTGGAGAAAACCTCTTGGGCATTGAACATTCATAATCGCTACAAGAATTTAGCACTTGCCGGCAAAAGGCAGGCCCGCCATAGCTCTTCGTGATCGAGCTCACGCTTCAAAGTGGCCCCTGCCTCCCAGCCGATCACTCAGCATGCGTTGCCCAGCAGACCCTCGGACCCTTACACAATGCTTACTTGATCTTAGACCAACCTAGGTTGTCACTGGTGGGCTGTCCTCGCGAGTCAACCGCACTGCGCTTGGACAGGGCAAAAGCCCCAAGCCCAGCACTAGCAAGAAGCCTCGGTCTCCCCTACTGCAGACGGTCACATCCTCACATTACATCCTGACATTGCCACCTCTTCCGCACATACCTGCTGTCTATGATTGTCTATGCCTCTATGCCGCGGGACTTGCTTGAGCGGCGTCGGGCTGGTGGCTTGATGAGGCCGCGCAGGCCGCCATGTTGCTAGCAAACCGACAGACATGGAACTAACTAGGAGTGGCTGCCACCATAACTGAGCGGCTCTACGCAAGAATCCTGTAGCTGCTTGTGGACCCACAGATTTCCCGAGCTACCCAACATACTTCGTGTAAATGAAGCCGCTGCGCCAAGCGCTTGCCCTTTTGTTCCCTGCTTTCCCTCACACGGTTTGAGTAGACGGCCAACTCTGAGTGTAAATGCACAGGGCTATGTTTCAAGATGCTGGCCCACCTATATGTATCCCTCCAACCAAGATGATGACCCAAGTGGCAGAAAGGCGCGCACAATGTTTGGAAACTTTTGTCTGGCTTTCTGCAAGTTTAAATGCAGCTCTGCCTCCAAAAAAGGTTCCTGGGGATCTTCACTGGTTGGCGGTGTCCATCCTGCAAGTGCTAACCCCTCTGAAGTCTGGGGGGACCAACAGATCAACACACATATATACATATATATATATACATGTATGTATACATATACGTACACAGTCGTACACATATATCTATATACTTGGGGGCCTCAGAATTCTGAATACACGTAGTCGTGGGAATTCTTTTTGTTGGCGGTATGCTACGAGCATCAATCAAAGGCTTCAAGATGCCCTCTGAGGTTTGGGCAAGCGAGCGCAGTTTTTTCGGACCAGCTGACGGTGTCCCTTTAACTGCCTCGCCCTCTTCACCTGGCATTCAGATGCATTCAGCCACCAGTTGCCCACGGCCCTGCAGACAGAATAGGTCAACTGAGCCCAACACCCTGCTGGGACAAGAGAGGTGTCGTCAGCGCCTCAAGCGACAAGCGTGGCCCTAATTCGGGACTCTGGCCAAGTGACAGTTCCTAGCCCTAAGGCCCTAGCCTCTTTGGGAGCCACTCGTCCGTCCTGGCCATTGGCCAATATGAACACCAAGCAGCTTCAGCTTAGCTTCCTTAGGCAACCTCAGAAAGACATGCCTTGGACGTTGGGGTGCCCATAGCAGGTCGGAGCTTGCTGTCCTGCGATCTCGACGACTGAGCGTGTACTAGCTTGCGCTTGTTTTGGTGCAGTGTCTGGCTAGCCAGCCTCGATCATGCTGCGATAGCGCAGGTGAAGTGGGTCCTATCGCAGCCAAACTCTGCCAGCTGTCTGTTGTGCTGGGCGTCGCGGCGCGGCCTCTGAGGAGAGGACAACAGACGGGCCATTCTCGATAAGGACCTTACGCACGGCTTCACCAGTAGCCAGCGCAAATGGCAAATACTCACCTTGACTTGCCCCAGAGTGCTCGAGGCCATGGGGGGTCACCGGGTGCAGACAAGATGCGAAGCCAGAGGACTCCTGCGAGGCTCGCCGACGCTCCTGAACGTTCGCGATGACCTGCGCTTCGAGACATCTTGGAGCATGCTTCGAAGACAACATCTTGAATCCAGAGTCCAGTAATCTGGCTTGCTTTTCACTCGACCAATGGCCCACTGACATGGACTATATCTTGGGAGAAGCCGCCGTATGCCTAGTTTCATCAAAACACCAACTTAAGCCTATCCGTGCGTTGGAGTGGGGTTGGGATGTTAGCATCGAGTCCCAAAACAGCTCTGTCTGATGGACCTACAACGAACGCCAGGACTTACCTTTCTGCAATTTGGAAAGAACTTTTTGGGTTTCAGGTAAATATCACAAAGTGGAACCACATAGAGTGAGAGGCGCCGCGCTACATGAATCCCTGCGATCCCTGTCTTGATCCCGTGGCCAACTGCACCCCATCTTCGGGAGAGACCCCATGATAACCCACATTAACACTCACAATCCTGCAACAGGAAAGGCGGTTTGCGCAAACTGGGGAAGAAGGGGTTGTACCTCCGAGTATGAAGAGTACCTTTACGGATGATTGTGGAAGCCTTTCATGAGCACTGGAGAACGCAAAGGAAGGCGCCCCTATTGTTACTCCCACTTTGCACGGGCCTTAGCCATGCCCTAGACCCTCAGCTAAGCCTGAACCCCCTCCGGCCCTGGACAGTGCTAAGCCCTCAACACACTCGCGCATGAAATCTGATAAACATCACTGGTCAACAACTGCCGGTAAACGCCATGGACTGCCTGCATCTCGTGGGGAACAGGAAGCGGAGCCCGGAAGCCCCGAGCCAACCGCAACAGACGCTCTGTTGTCCGGATCTGGGTACGGGGAGCTCATTTTCTGCAAATCACTCAATGATGTGTCATACACACAAACAAAACATGTTTTTTTTGTTCAGCATCTTCAGCCAGGGTTTCTTTGAGGTGCTGCATGTGCTTTTTTGGGAGGCTTTTGTACAAGTGTACCTTTTGTTGGTGGTTATTGCGTGTCTCTGGATTGTATGATCTCCTTTGCGTACTGTTTATCATGTAAGTGTGTGCTTCTTTTGCATTCCAAGACTATAGAAGGATTTTATGGTGTGCCACGATGAATATTGACGTTGTTCTCGTTCTTTTTAGATCTTTTGTGTGGCAAAGCTTTGGGTAAGGCTTGCAAGCCAGTGGGCAGGGATATTTGAGAAAATTGGCAGCGTTGGGCTTAGGGTGGGGACTTCAGCAATTTTTGCGGGGTGAGGGGTGAGGATTCGAACAAATTCCGTAGGGTCTAGAGCTTTGAGATGTTTAGGGATGTTTAGGCCTTAGGGTGGATAGGTTTTACAGTTTATGAGTGTTTGGGGCTTGCGGTTGGGATTTGAACAAATTCTGTAAGGGTCTGCAGCTGAAGATCCTAGGCTGGGGATGTGAACAAATTCTGTGTAGGTTGGAGATGTGGGCTCCGGGCATGGGTTTGGACAATTTCTGCGCAGGGTGATTATGTGAACAACTTCCCTAGGGTCTAGAGTTGAAGGACATTTACGGCTTCGGGCGGGTGTTTCAACGAATCCTACAGCGTCTACAGGTTGGGGATGTTTGCGGGGACCCCTTTTGCACGTTGACAATCACCTGCAGGGTACGAGTTGGGCTCACGCCGAATCATCCGGGGAGGCGAGATGCCCCCCAAAGAGAACAGTTTCGCCAGCATTGACAAGTTCGGATGTGCTGGATGGATTCGGAAGACGGAGAGGGTAGGTGTTCGTGGGCCTCTGGATAAACGGGCCCCAGGCCCCTGGAGGCCCGGGCCCCAAGCCCCTGGGGCTCGGCTTGGGCAGTTGCCAATCGGACTCCGACTTTGTCCTGCACAATCCAGGCAACCTGGCTTGTTGTGGATTTCTTGCGCAGCAGCTGGGGGCTGCCCGAGCATGCTCATCAGGGGCCACCCCAAGCTAGGCTCATGAAGGCCTGGACAAAAGGATTGCGTGTTGGTCCTGACACGGTCCCTGGCATGTTGCGCCGATTGATTTCCTCCGCAACCATTGAAAACAACAAGGCTGCGCAGTCCCGGCAGCCTATCTTGTTGCTCCGAAACATCAAGGTTTAGGGTTAGGCCTTAGCTTGGACTGATCTTGTTGCGCCAGTTGGTCTCGTGCCTTGAAGCCTCATACGTGTGGTGTCAAAAAAGAAATTGGGGGCCCAAACAGGCCCCATGATGCTCAAGATGCTGGCTGTAAACCCCAAGAAAACGCTGAAAATACACTGTGGGCCAGTGTTTGTGGCTGCAAATACGAGTGTTGGTAGGATCTGCACTGTATGACAAGCATGAGACAAGTTTGGTGCGCATCGCTCAGGCCAAACCCTGTAAAGGGGGAATCTCCTGTTCACGAGCACGTCCCCACTGAAGGCAAAAGAGGGTAGGCATTCAGTGGGGCGGGGAAAAGGTCGCTGTTGGCGACGGGCCTTAAGGGGAGCAGCCAGTCGCTAACGGCACGCCCAGCTATGTACAGCGCCGCGTTACCGCTATAAAATGTGCATGTTGCATGGTTTTCCGGTGTGTTTTGCCCATATTTACAGCACTTTTGTGACTCCTAAGCCTGTCCAATGCGTGTCTTGTGGCTGCTATTGGCAGCTGATTTGCCCTAAAAAATGCACTTGTGGGCTAGAACATGGTCCGCCTGCACAGAGAACCATGTCTAAAGGCATCTTTAATGGCTTTCCTTGGTTTTCTGACCCCTGCCGGTCGCAATCAGGCAAAGTCGGGTCCCAATTGTGCAGCTGATGTTCCTGCACGAGGCGCCAGAGGCGTGCGCGCGCCTCGTACAGGAACATCATCAGCAATATTGGGACCCCATTTTGGGCCGATTTTAGTTCAGTTAGAGAGAACAGGACCTTCCAAACTTCAAACAATCCCAGGTAGCAAGTCGATCAGGAGCATCAGCAGGGCTGGGGTGGGCGTGGCTTTCACACAGTGGCTGGGTGGGCAGGGTGGGCGGTGGCCAGGCCAGCACTTGCCGCCAGGCCCTGAATACAAGTTGGGGGTTCCCAGAAATGCTTAAGTAAGAAGGATCTGGAAACAGAATCTGCTCCCGAATGCCCAGAAGAACCGCCATCTTGACCAAAGGATTAGGCTTCTTGTCCAGGGCGCGGGCAGCAAAGCGATCAAGCTGCTCATAGTCAACCTGCTCCTCACAGCGCAGCCAAGCCCTTGAAAGTGTCTGGTGCTACATGCCCCGTCCATCTGGATGCCATTTCTTGAGCAATAGCCCGCATAGCAAAGCTCCACATCCTCCAAGCAGTTGCACACAATCATAACACTAAGTATGCCGAGCAACGGACAACAAGCAAAAATGCTAACAATCAAGTTGCTTGCAAACAAGCAAGCAAGCAAGCAAGCAAGCAAGCAAGCAACAACCATGAAAACCCGAGTGTTTGACCTAGCCCGCCTGGATAAGCACTGGCCGAACCAGAGCAAACTGATGGCTGCAAAGAGCCTCGGAGCAAACAGTCTGGGAAAACAACTGCTGTTACTTCTACGATTACGATTATTACTATAGTCATGAATGACTATTGTGAATACGAATATTACTATTACATTATAATATTTCCTATGATCAGTAAATACTGTTACTATTATTAATACTTTTCTTACTATCTGTCCTACCACAGATCAATGCTCACACTACTGTGACCTTTTTTATGACTTGAAGTTGTTGTCGAAATTATGCATACAGGTAGAGTGCAGCCCGAATGTCACCACTACGCTACCATTGATCTTGCTAAGGATTGCTTTAAAAGCTGCTTGTGGTCCTACAACTTCACCTGCAAGCTGCCGTGTTCAAACTTTGGGAAGAGGCCAGTCGCTTGGTGCCTGCTGCAGAAGGCAGCAGGGCCTGCCGTGATAACTTGCTCCTGCCCCTGCTACTCTTTGAAGACACGCAAATCAACGTGCAGCTGTTACGCAATGGTGGTCCTGCCAAACAATCTGCTGCTACAAGACCAATGCTGGTGCTTTTCTGTTGCTCCGACTCAGATCTACACGTTGGAACTACAACCATGGTGGTCCATGGTGGCGCACTGCTGCGCTGCGGTGCGGGCCACAAAGGCCGTTGGCACCAGGAGGTGAAACAGCATGCAAGGCAAGCCTTACAGATCATCATCCTTTCCCAAGAGGCCCTCTCCCGCAGTAGTGTCCACTTCTTTGTGCGGCGGGGTGTCCGAAAAGGATTTGCCGACCTTGCACACAACATAAGGAACGTCAAGAGGTATTTGCCCAGCATGCCAGCGACTCGCTGCCAGCCAGCCAGCCTTTGTGTGAAGCCATTTGATCATGTCATCCGGCCTTCGGTTCCCAACCTTGCATGTTCTGCGTAGGCCACGCAGCACAACTCCTGTTTGCATGACTCCCACCCTGCCAAGAAACGTAGAACTCAATCCTACCAGTATCTCCAGCCGGAAAGAGCGCAACTGTCGGATAACCATTCACGAATCCTGGGTAAAAACAGCAGCAAAATCAACTCTGCAGAAACACCCGAAATGCTTCAGACGGCTTCAGACGGAAGTCCCCACAGCGGGCCGAGGTCGTTCTGGGTGCAATCCATCTGGGAGATGACCAGCGTAGGCACGTGGGACAGCCGATGTGCCAACTCCTGTGGCACTGTCAAGAGACGGGAGCAATGGTGGCTCTCCTTTCATAAAGGCATGTCGCAAAGTTTTGTCCTTGTACTGCGGCTTGAATCTTTGACAGTGGCCACACCATGGCGCGAAGCAGTTGACAAGCACATCCTTCTCGAGGTCCTCCCGGAGATTCTGTGTCAGGAATCACACGAGTACCGTAGTTGAGGAAAGCATCCGACAACACCCCAAGCAGCTCATGGCTTCCTTACATGCTTAGATTCTCAATCTCGGTCCAGTACGGTTTTTTCGATGGTTCTCCCAACAAGGTTGCGGACCTCAGCTGAGGCTAACTCAAAGGCTCAAACGAAACTTCTAAAGCTTTAAAGTTCTCAGGCGGCGCACATGTCCTGTGTAGAGGTCCTCGGGTAAAGGCTCAGGCTCGCTTCGAATACCGCCCAGTGGCCAGGGGAGAAAGCCTGGACCCAGGGTGCTTCCAGACTCCAAACATCTCCAACCAATCCGAAAAGTCCCTCCATGCCCCTCCTGCGGCAAAGGCTGCCCAAGGTCCAACAGTGCGCAAACGCGGATGCGACTGGATTTTCTGGTGCTCCTGGCACATCAGTACTGGCGCTGCCGATGCAAGGCTGAGAACAGTAACTGCAACGATTCATGGCTGTGGCTCCTTTTCTGCAAGTGCTTGATAATCAGGCGTTGCCGGCACGCACTCTTCTGCTAACCAAATGCAATCACCTTCACCAGCAAGGTCGGCCAAATCCCATGCATGCATTGCAATGAGGCGGGTCAATGAGTACGGCCTAGGGCTGTGGCCGTGGCACCAGCCGCCACCATGCCCGTCAGGACACTTGGCGCAATCTGCTGCCCGATGTCCTCCACAGGAGACTGCTGCATCCTTACTTCATCGAGGCAAGGAGGCTGTCTGTGTGGTTGTCCGAAAAAAGCATGCAGCAAAATGCAGTGGCTAAGCGTCTGCTCGGGCAACGCAGTTGCCAGCTGTCCACATGCAGTCCTAAGCCATAGCTGCGGCTTGAGAGGGAAATCAAAAGCAGGTGCCAAGCCGAGCAACCCCATTGCAAAAGTTCTCGGCATCCTGTATAAGGCACGACACATCCAGCAGCTCAACGGCAGAGCTATCCAAAAACAGGATATGGGTGGCATTTACAGATATCCGCAATAGCACATGCAATCCTCCGCTGGCTGTGACTCAACGCAAGCCGCGCAAGTCATTGCGTTGTGTCCACCACATGACACATCTCCACCATTCCTTGCAAAGGAATCGAATGCACGAGACCAACAAAGATCTCATCGCTCAGAGGATGCTTGCGTAACCCTCCTGGACCCTGGAGCTCTCCCAAGCCAAGACTCGGCTGCGCTACCACGTGGCTTAGGACATGAAAACCCAAGGAGTATCGCAGCATGGCTCCGAGTTCTTCTGAGACATCTGCCTGTCGTTTAGAGGCCAGCTAGGATCCTGGCTGCACTTGGAGTTACGCGTTGTGAGTTGCTGATTGCCCCGAGGCGATTTGCTTAGCACCGTCTCCAGATGGGTCTACCAAGGAAACATATCCAGCTGGGAATTGGCTCTGTTCTTGTTGAAAAACTGTTGCAATGAATAAGCACTGCAGAAACATGATCCAGACTGCGGTTCTCGACGACATCTCACTGCAGGCCGTAGCCATATAGTGCTCGCTCTGCCGTCCTGGCCCTGTTCCACCGCACCGCAGAGCACGACGACATGCCGAAATCCTTTTTGGAGGGTGCAGCCTTCTTTGTGAAAGCTTCTAAGCCCTGAGCAAGCCCAGTTGTGAGACCGTTGCTCCCACATCCCTTAGCAAAGAAAGGCTGCAAGCCTTGGGCGTGCAAGCCCGCATTTTGGTCCTTTTCGCTTCGCGAACACCTATGTAAAGATACAACATTCTGCCCTCTGGGCAGGGGAACCATAACCATGCTAGAGAAGTTGCCTGCGCTGGCCAAATCTTCGCAGCTCCCGCACCAGTTGGTTCTTCAGCTGGACCAGGTCCTCGTCAGAACGGCTGGTGTCACGGATTTTGAGAGCCTCTACTGCATTCCATTTTAATCCTTGACGGTGGTGAAGTTGCTGCCCCGAAGGGTGATCACCTCATCCAGCAGCTCATCGATGGGCAGACGCACCTCACCTTGAGCTCGTCTCAGCTCTTTCGGTCTACAAGTCTGGAGAAGAAACTCGCAAACACCTAAACGTCGCCTCCGAAGATGATGTCCGGGTCCTTCAGGATGGCGATCACATCCACCCCCACTTCCAAGAAGACAGCCATGGCCTCAGGGACAGGAGGACCGCACAATCAACATGGAAAAATCAACCTAAAGAGCTCCTCCCGATCCAAACAGAGCTGCGTACGTTCAACTGCCGCTGCAGACAGACTATTGAAAGCAAACGTGGAGGCACTTCACTGAGATGGTCATACTGAGCCGGGGGCTTCTTTCCTAAGCTGTGCGGTCCGTCACTTTTGTTCACCACATCTTGGGACGATGTCCAAGAAGAAAGTATGCAGGCACGCCGTATCCAACCAAGTCAAGGCTCCTGTCCAGGATCATCCTTCCAAAACAGGATCGAAGCAAATGACAGTCGGAGAAGAACACGCAAAATTGGTCATGCAAGGGCAGGAAGGGAGGCAAGCAACCTGCTGAAGAGCACGGATTTCTTCATGGTTGCTAAAATCATGCCTGCTGTCACAAGCCACAGTTCAGGTCCTGAACTCCTCTTGTGTTATCACGTCGTCATCATCGCCGTCCAGGTTCTTCAAGATGTTGTATATCCTTATACTGTCCACAGGCCTGTCTAATGCAGATGAAGCAGAACCTCCTATATCAGCCAAGACGCCTCTCACGGATGACACCTCGGTCGGCCAAATGGCAGCGGGTGGCAGGTAAGAATCTTGGAATTCAACGCCCCCTTTTGCAATGCACTCCTGTCTCAGGTCTCGGCCATTCTGCTGGTTCTTGTGCTGCAGAGTTGCTACAGAACTCACTACATGAACCAGGACAGCCACCACCATGTTCATGACCTGGACATGCTCAGCTGCAAGGCGACTTTGAGAGAACCAACTTCAAGCTTAATCGAACAAAGACACCGTCAAAGGGCCCAGAAAGACAAAGATGATCAAGAAGAGGCCGACATCTATGCCTGCCAGCTGAGTTCCGCATGTAGCTCTACCTTCTTGCGAGCAACATCTGGAAGCAATGCTTCTGAACAGAAATCAGAAGTTGATCTGAGTCCGCCATCTACAGAAGCTATAATACAGTAGGGCACCAGGGATGAATCATCTACACTCGGCCAAGGTTCTCCGTTTAAGTTTTTGTGTCGCGTTGTTCACTGCCATGCCCTCGAGCAGCCAATACCCATGCCATGTCTACACTTTCTGAAACGTCATGTGTTAAGACTCGTTGAGTGAAAGCGGAAGACCTGTCGGCACAGCAGAGCTTCTGCTCCACCGCCGGTTGCTAGGGCTGCAACATGAAAAACGCACTCCCTTGCACCTTTGTACCAATGCACTACTTTTGTACGATCCCAAACCCACCCTTTGCAACAATCATCAGAACTTTCACTTTTGCGCCTTCATCGAAGACAGCTGCTGCCAAGTCTGGCAGCTGCTCTCCCAAGCATCCGTGGAAGAAGAGAGCAAACCTAACTTTGCGGAATTAGTGGCGCAGCATTCGAAATCAGAAAGGGTATCTACAGGATATTGTCTACCTGTAACTGGGGTTTGGCAAAGTGTGGGTGGCCCCAATCTTGGCTGGTGTCAGAGTGTCGTTTAGGCTGTGAAGCCCTAAGAGACCTGAATATCAGCGCCATCCAGAACCTAACACACCATAGCTCTGCACTGGCCATCTGAAATCTGAGCGCGTGGCATTCCCTTGGCGATCGATGGAAAGTAGGCATCCCCCGCAGATGTGCCCCTGGCATGAATGCCATATTATGCGCAACCAGCCACTGCACACATCAAGTGCTTGGGCTGGTGCCTGAGGAGCTGCATGAAGACCAACGCAAACACATAGACCAAAATCACAAGCAGCGACACCGTGCAGATCACAGAGCGAGAGGCCACCCCCATGCCCTGAAAGAGGATCCTTAGGAGGGCCACAACACTTGGAAAATAAAGGCTTTCTCTGATTCTCCAACTTCTGGATGGCCCTGAACATAAGGGCTCTCAGCGTGCGTTCAGCCAATCACTTCCAGGACTTCCAGGTCTAACGTCTTGTTCAGCCAGGCTTCATCATCTCGGGCACGGATCGCAAGATCCGAGCAACTCGCGCAAGCCTGCTTATTCTGATGATTCGCAGAAGCCGCAAAGATGAGGAGTTGATGACCGAAACATCTGTATCCTTGGATTTTCCACTTGCAAGCATGCGTCTGACATATGGAAAAGATGTCTTGCACAGAAACAGGCAAAACCTTGCGCCGGTTTCCCACTTGCCGTGGCAAGCATGCCGGGGAGCTGGGGCCGCAACGACTATCCCAACGAAAGCTAGGCAGAACCTCCGAGGTGCTGGCGAAAGCTATATTGACAGAGTTGGCTTTAGGCCGAAAGAGATGACGCAACCACCAGTGAAGTGAGGCCAGCAGATCTGGAGACACAGCAACATCGGCTGGGCATGGACGGCGCTGAGGGATCAGGGGCGGTTGCGATCAAAATCCGACACGAGCTGAAGGAACGGGTTGTCTGAGGCAGGCCGAGGCCGAGGTTGCCCCCAGACCAAGAAGCCAAGCTGATAGGCTCTTTTCGCTATTTGTTGCTAGACGAGATTCGGATGCAGCCATGATAGCAAGAAGAACCCAGGTGTCCAGAATCATCGCCAGCACAAGAGCAAGATCAAATACGAACCTCAACTCAACTTCACACGTGCTTCTAACACTCCACCCCTGCTCCAGTTCTGCAATCCGCGGGGCCAGTAATCACGGAAGACGTTACACTTCCGCCGGAAAGCGCCAAAGCGGATCACGATCTGACAGGAAGGGTAGCTATAGTTATTTATACTTACCCCCACTTTTGAACAAGGTCCAACCCACCTCAAGGAAGAAGTAAGTGCAGAAAAGATTTTCCATGACGATGAAGACGGGCTCCGAGTTGATGAGGAGAAGCTGGTCATTCCAAGTCACGTCCACACCTAACCACACCGAATTCGCCTCAGACTCTTGCACAATGTTACGTTTGCGCCACACTCTCATTGTACTGGTATGTATCATCTGCCGAGATGCTGCGATGACTGCCATCGTGGCGTGCTCAAAGCTCTGGCTGCGTGCAATGAACTGACACAGCCCGGTTTTGTAGTAGGTGTCTTGCATGTCTCTCTCCCTTAGATGAATGTTAATGCTTCCGATGAATCTCATGCGAGGACCATGCTCAGGAGGATTCTTTCTGAAGTGCAGCCAAAGCTCCCTTGGAAGAAGAAGGCCTGCATGTAGCCGCGAAGCTTCTGCATGACCCAACCAAGTCCGGTCTCCTCCTCTTGAAGTCCTTGCTGGGCTTCATGGTGCGAGCAGTGTCCAGAACTAGGGGGAACCCCAACCTAGACACCAGTATACCACAATCCTCAAAAGGGTACCGAAAGCGGGGAAACAACGCCTCTCACAGCTGCAAATCTTCTGCCGCTTGGCTTCGATTTTTGGATGCGCGAATGTAGTAAGCCGTTTCTGGCGGCTCATCTTCCTCCGCCCTTAGCATTTTACGAAGCTAGGGTGCTTTGTCTGAAACTCAACGAAGCCTGATGCCCCGGCTGCTGCTCATCCTCTTCTTCTTTGGGTTTCTCATCCTCCAGTTCTGGCATTATTGGAGGAGCTGGGCCATATGCACCTCGGATCAATTCCGGTAGAGGGCCAGATTGAGAAGTGAAACACTTGCAAAACCTAACCGAACTACACAAACTGCCTCGAGTTGTGATCTCCCCAGGCAGCTCCATGGTTGGTAGATCCTGTACATTGATGAGGCCTGGCACCAAACTTGCGCAAGCTTCACTGTATGGTGTTGTCTGGCATTTGGCCTGTAAGGTTCCGCTTCACGGAGGCGCGGTTTTGTGAGGCCCAGCTGTCCAGTCTCAGCTGGGCCTTCTCCAACCTGCTCGCAATGGCTCCGACCTACGTGAAGACCCAACTCATGAGATTGCCTGCCTGTCCAGAGGGTCTCCAATAGGTCCAAGCCCTGCTGGTGCTCCCTTGGCTGCAGGGCTTGTCCAAAAACATCCAAAAACTGTGACCTTCGCCTCATCTGAAGACTCAGAAGCAAGACAGATGCAACCAAGATGCATAGGCCGCATATGGGAGTGGCTCGGGCTTGCTCGGAGGGCTGTGCGGGCTGCTGGGTCGGATGATCATCGACGAGTCAGCCTGGCATGCTGAATTTGGATCCTGGCATTCCCAAGTCAAAACAAGTGAGTGTGAACAGCTTCAGGCCTGGGAGTAGGCATAGGATACTCCGACGGTTCGAAGAGCTGAGAGCTGCTCGCGCAACTCGTAGTTCTCTACCTCAATGGCCCTGGCCGTTTTGTCACCTCGGCAACCCTCACAGGGTTCCTGTACCGACCTGCTTCAAGAAGCTGAGAAAGGACGCTGAAGGACCCAAGACTGAGGTTCCCACGTTCCAGGTACTTGTCCTGCGAGCGCCAGCCAAGAACTCTTCCATGCAGCGCAAGGCAGGTGAAATGAAGTTAGCTCGCCCGTTGTCAACAGTCCTTGTACAGCTTGACCTGTGATATCAAGATTTTCATCTGCTTGGCCTCCTTCTCTTTGGCACTTGCTGACTTCAAGGCATCCAGCTGCGACTTGAGGCGCTCTATCTCCTTGCAACATCTGAAGAACAATCCAGCCTGTTTCCTGCAGTAAACTGGTGACATTGCTGTCCTCCTGGTACCTGCGAGCCATGCTATCGCGGTGAGCGAGCAATCGTATCGCGGTGGAGTAGTGGAGCTGCAGCCTGTCAACTGGTCTGTAAGCGGCAGTTGACGGACAGAGTTGGAGCGTGCATTATATGGGCGATTCTGGCGTAGCCGAGCTACTGCATGTAAACCTCCTCCATTTGGTTGCCGAGCAGGGTTTCAATAGACTCAAAGTCACCTTGGCAAGCAGGAGCTACTCGTTGGTAAATCTCAGAATGCGCAGTCTCGGCCTTTAAAGGTCATGATATTCATGATGGAGGGCCACGACGCAGGGTGAGGTTCCATTTTGCTCAGACACATCCCCCTCAACCTGGCACATGGGAACATCCAAGCTGCCAATTCTCTCCTCTTCTCCAGGAACATTCATCTCCTCCAAATGCTGCTGAAGCTTTCCTCGGCAACATGCCTGCATTCTGTATGAATCTAAAGTCACGTAAACCCTTACCCCACTGTGCAGAGACAAGCGTCTGTTCATCAGCGTCTTTGCCTCGGTGCCGGATTGATACGGATGTCAAATGTGGGATATCTCTGCCCAGCTCTTTGGAGGCTTCCTCGCCGAGTTGCATCCACCTCTTTGGGAACACTCCTCCAGAGAGCTACAAGTGCTGGAGGGATCAGCAGTGAAAGTTGCAAGAAGCAGCACGAGCAAGCGTACAGTATGGGATCCCTGTTCAGACACCAACTAGACTCACTAGACTCAAGCAGCTCGCAGCTCTGGCCTCTTGTTGCTCCTCATGGCTGCAGGGCGTCAAGCTGGCAGGTTGCCAGCGAGACGTTCTCAAACTGGTTATCTTGTGTAGATACAACCAAGAGTTGTGCAATTAATGCAGCTGGATCAACAAGTTTTTCATGCAGAATCCTTGTGCGCTACTCTGTGTCTTTGCGATCCTCACCATTGCATAAGCTTCTAAAGTTACGTGGAAATTCCCTTGTCATGTCACCTCACTGGAGCGGCGAGGGTTGTTGAAGCATGCCACTTACGAGCACGAATCATGATAATGTCTCCAGCACGGGCACAGCACAGCTGGGACCTGCAGGTGGCAGCAGATCATCCCGTCTGTAAGCAGGTCTAACGGACCTTGGCCGCAACATCACCGGAGCTGAAATGACACGACAGTGCTGAAGGTCATCGCAAGCAGTCAAAGGCCCCAGCACATCACCAATGTGTGCTGCCCCGATCGCAACTTTACAGAGCTGGAGAGAACTCTCGAGAAGTGACTGTCGCTGGGTGGTGCGATGATGCCAAGCTCCATCCTTCAAAAGTGTCCCAGGCTAACAGGCCATGATCTCGGGAACCCCTTCAGGCGCTGGCTGGGAAACATCCAGCTGACTGCCACAGAGCACGATGTCCACATTCACGTCCTGCACCATCTTCGGAATCTCTGCATGACAATGGCCCGTTCAGCCATGTCCTCCATGCTAGCTGGCACCTGCAGGCAAGAAGAGGTGTTTGGAGGTCTGTGACCCAAAGGCTGAGAGCTCAGCCTCCCATTCGAGCTTCAACGACTCGCTCCAGTAAATCATCGCCCCAGGTCCTGAAATCTTTTTCAAAAGACATAGCAACAACCATGCATTTACATCGGGTGTAAACAAATTCTTGTCTCGTCAATAGGATGAGGCTCCGAAGATGGAACGATTTTGAAACACTAACGTGGTGTCGAGGTGAGGCCCCCCACAGTGAGAGCTTTCACAGATCAATTTTGCCTGAGGAGCTCACGGACTTTCTTGAAAATATCCGGAAATCCTTCGTTGGCAGGAGCTTGAGGTCCTCAGCGTTCAAGCCATAAGGAAGAAACCACGTGTGCAGCACATGGCACAGTAGCGCGGGCTTTGAGCTCGCAGCGTGCTGTTGACGGCAGGCATGGATTGCCTGACGTGTCTGCAAAAATCAGTTGAAAGCATGGCATCATCGAGCAGCAAATACCACGTACCCGTGATTTGCACTCGCGTCTGAAGATTGCAAAGCATGTCAGGAGTGCTGATGTCAAACCGCGCTGAGAGAAAAGCCTTGAAGCCAACTGTACTGAGTGGCCATTACTTGAGCAGTTCAGAACGACTTAACTTCCGTGCCCAGGATCCACTGGAGTCCGGCCATCCAGCAGGACTATCTCATCAACAATTTCCTGGTGTTGACACAAAGACTTGTAGCTCGTAAACCTCACCTCACAAAAGTGGAAGCCACTGCAGAAGAATTGATATCAAGGTACCTGCTTAGCAGATCCTCGGTGAGCAAGAACATCCAGCCTCGGCAGAGTTTGCGCTGCGAAAGCTATGCAAACCTCTCTGGCCAAGACTGGATGTAAGCATCCAACAAGTAGGACCAGCTGTGCCGCCACTTTGCTGCTGTGGTTTCCTCTCCATCCTCACCGGCCGACAATCATTGGCAAAGAAGAGGCGCGTTTGTGCCGTCTGCAAGTCTGCCCGAAAAAACTTTCAACACCTCTGGCTTTCATGGCAGATCATGGCAGAATCTATTGCACCTTTTGTCCGTCGCTTAGCGCAAGTCATCCTGCACAGAGTCCGGCGGCGTTCCTCGAACGAGATCCTTCGATCTCAGTGGTTCCAGCCTTCCGAGCCAAGAGTACTCATTTGCACCACTTCTGCCTGCCAGGCAGAAGATTTCTATGTCCTGGGCTGCAGCAAATTGTTACACGTTGCGTTTGGGAACCCACATGCCAAACTGCTGTGGGCAAGTGACTCCCCTCAGGAGCGCCCCTGCGGTCAGCACAAGGCCCAGAGCTGCTATTGGCGAAGTCCTCGGTGGATCTTTTTTAGAACCAGACCGTGCCTCCAACCAAAACGTGGCCGAGGCTCCGAAATGCTTCAAAGAGATCACCTCGGAAAGTTCCGGGTCAGAAAGGGAAGAACATGTTGAATACCCCAGGTAAACTGATAAACCCTACCCAGCTAAAGACATGTCAGTCAACCCACCAACAGTCGAGATTCCAATTCGACGGGCACCCACCGATGCGAAGAAGGATTTGGCTGCATCATCCGAAGCATCCACCAGGGCCTCAGCTGTGCCAGGAAAGTATGGGAAAGAACATGGCACAGCTGCTGGGGGAGCTTTTTTGGGACTGCTGATTCAAGAATCAAGGGGCTGAGTAGTTCCAGTTAAGCATGGGAGTCGGGACAAGAACTTCCACGCAGAGTACTGCTCAAACATAGCGAGAGATCGCGTCACACACAACAACCTGAATCATGAACGGGTAGTGGCGACAGTCGGTACCAGTAACTAGTTGTAGTAGCCACCTGCTGAGAACTGCTACCAGGCAGCCCAGGCGGCGAACTGCCCTGGACCTCTAGCTGGCTGCAGAGAATTCTTCAGAATGCCCTGAAAGCAAGAAACTTCTCTGGCTGTGTCGTGTATGATGCTGGCTCGCTGAGGGTCTGATTTGATAGACCGAATGCTCAAACTTGGAGAGCGACCAACTCCCTCTTTGGGAAGGCGGTGCAGCAGTTCCACTGTCAGCGCCGTGGCAACCCCCTTGCGCCGAAAAGCCGGCTTGACCTCAGGAAAGTGCTACATGTGCTATGTATGTGGGAGGTATTACCTGCCATTCCAACATGCCAGGTCGCACCAAGGAACCCCAACTTCAGGGGGACCCGTCGTGCTTTACCAGTGTGGTGAAGCGCAAGTGTTTCAGGGAACGCTTCCTGCAACTTATAAAAGAGCCGAAGGCAAGCTGCCAGCACAGTGTTGATCACCTTGGTCTGCCCAACATGGGCTGATCACACGCCAGCATCACTTCCGCACCCTCTGGCAGCTGAGCCACAAAGTCACAGCGGAGGACGAAGAAGCCACCAACAGCCAAACGTCCCAGCTGGGCACAGCCAATAACGTCCTAAAACAGTCCAAGGTCACCGAGGACGAGCACAGGATGACCCTCTGCGTCCTCTCCACTCTCTGCGAGTACATAGGAGGCATAGCCTTGCCCGAGCCTTATTTCCAATCCAAGCTTAGCCGCCCTTGCTTTGCCTTTGCAGTCTCTGGGCCATGTGGCACGGGCTGCAAGGCCAGCATCAGCTCAGGCATACCGCCTTGGAAGGAAGGCCAGCACAGGCAATTGCATCAATGACTCTGTGCAGAAGGACATGAGCAGCTAGTTTCGACTGTACAGCGCATGAGAAAGCGTGAGAGGACGGCAAATTATCAGCGAGGGATAGCGACGGGAAGCTTCCGTTGGTTGCTTATTCAAGCAAGGGGCCAACTTCGCGCTGAAGTTGGTACACAGCTCTCATGTCTGCAGTGTCCTCGTTTCGCTTCACAAGCACTCAGAGCTGCAATGACATAACAACATGACCTCCCACGCAGGTCCTTCCCTTGCTGCAGCAAGCGCACCTTGGCACAATCAAATCCATGCGAGCAACATGACAGAGAAGCAAGGCTGAAGGCATCTGAATGCCTGAGACAATGGCTCTCCATTCTTTGTGGGGATCTTGCGCTTGCTGCAGTTCGGACAGTAAGGTAACGGCGCTTGAGCTACCTAAGAGACTGCAACTTGTCAGGATCCTAGCATGGAAGGCTTCATGTCATGACAACAGCTTCTTGCAGACTCACATGACTCGCCTCCTCGGCGATTCAAGGCTTTCCGTGCGCTTGGGCCGGAGCTGCTCGGCTGGCTCCTCGCGAAGCGCAACGCACAGGTAACACATGGTTCATGGACTTGATTCTACTCTACAACTTTGTTAAAGTTAGGCTGGCCCACTCTCCATGATATCTCGGCAGTTCGGGGGCATGCCAGAATCCACGCCGTGACGCAAAGCAATGGGGCTGCCTCGGCTTGTGTCAGAAACAGCGCATGCCACAGATTCCGAGAGCAAGAGTCCAAGCACATTGTCCAAGATACTATGTGCAGGTGGCGCCTCATCCTTTCAGCCGGAAGCCTTACTCTGAGCCTCTTCCCACCATGGCAAAGATGCTCTTCAGCAGAGCTGTTGCACCGGCCATTACGGAGCTTTTACACCCGCTATTACTGTGCCCTCAGGTTCTCCGCTGTCCACCCTTCTGATGCCAGGCGCTGATTTAAATGCAGCTCTTCGCGCTGCCACTAACCTTTGCCGCAGGGCTTTTTCTGTGACGTGGGCTGAGCCAACTTCTGAGGAAATGGTCAGGTGCGAAGCCACATCAAAAGGTATTGGGCAACGCCACAACATGAAGCAGTTCTGCACAGTTCTGCAGTCCTCGGAGGTCACGGAGACCTCAATTGTCAGTTGCTCCGCCTCATCCTGGCCTGGACAGGCAAAAGCCTGTGCCAACCATATCAGCTCATTGCTGCAAGGCCGAGACCGACATGGAGCTCAATCGGCTTCTGAAAGGCTTCAAGCACAACACACCTCGTGTGCAAGAACCTCTTCCATACAATGCCCACTTTGACACGGCGTAACCGAGGCTCAAACTTTTGGCTTGCATCGACACTCTTGGAGGTCTGGAATACCTGATGGGCAGCTCAAGGTCTTGCCGGGATGGTACCGCAGTCGGAGCTCGAATGAACGCGCCTGGGAGAGAGGCTTCTCCAGTCGCTTGTCTTGACGCTCGTCCCGCGAGGGAAGTTCGACCAGGTCGGTGGCCTAGCAGCGCACAGCATGACTCAAACAAGCAGCTCCCATCATCTCCAGTCAGGCCCTAGTCTCCGTGGCCTCAAAGCTTCCAGCTGCGGAGAAGAAGACCTGCACCTGATCCGTGTAGCTTTGTGAACTTTGTTGTGGCGCGTCGGCTCCTTCCGAAGCACGGCCTGTTCACGCGGTACCTTTGCCCCGATCGGAGCTGGCGGAGCACCCGCCATGCTTGCTGGACCCGGGGAGAGCAGGGTCCTTCTCAAGGCAAAGCAAGGCTTGAGCTGACAAAATGGCGCGGCACTGAGAGCCGAGCAGCCGAAGCTGCTTCAGCCTTGGCACTTTCTTCGTTAAGCTACTTCTGATTCAAGGCAGAAAAACGGCAGCGAAACCCACTGCCAGGTCCCCAGACTTGATCCTCATGGACGGATCCTGCATATGGCTACGCTGCGAGGGCTGCAAGCATTCCACGTTTGCACTGCGCCTCCGGCAGCGTGATGCAGTGTTCTCTGATGAAGTGCTGGAAGGTACTGGACCTGACTGGGGTGTGAAAATCTTCTTTGCACCATGCACTCATGTAGCAAGTTCTTGGAATCCTTGGGAGATGAATTCTTCACATCCACAGCTCACATCCTAAATAGCGCCCCAAACAATAGCTCCTGTTCCCCTACGCCTGTAGCATTTTGGGCGCTAGGCTGACGAGACAGATGACATCATGACGACTTATTCCACCACCTAGCAAACCCCAGCAGCACGTTGCCACTTGCATGGCTCATGGCAGTGCAGGGCAGATGTTGATTCATGATGGGTATCCCGCTGGGTCATGTTTTGACTTCTCTGACGTCTGCACAGAGCGCTCTCAGGCACCAGCGGCAAAACGCGGCACCAGCCTGTCACGCCAAATTGGACCAATCCAGCGAACCACAACCACAAACGCTAACAAATGCACCGCTGCCGTCTGCAATCTGCCACGTGGCTAACACATGCCTTGCCAAAGAAGAAGTGGGAGCTCCACGAACTTCCTGTCATGGCAGACTTATCCCTGCAAGTCTCATGGACTTAAACAAAAAGTTTCCTGATGCAGGTTCTCAAGCGTGAGTCAGTCATGACAGAACATGGCCTTGTAGCATCAATCATTGTGGGCCGCGACCAGGCAGACATCTCAGGAACAACTAGACGTTGCAGGTACAGCACGCGAGCATCGACACCATCACAGGCCTCTACGATGCCACCGCCAGGATCGTAAGCGACCACCTGGAGAGCAAGGTTGGACGTCTGGATCCTGCGTAAGCTGTTGAATGGCCTCGGCGCTTTTCTCAACAGCCAACTTGCCCCCGCCTGAAACTGATATGGCCGTCCGGCATGTAGCGCAGGTTGCTCCTGCACTTGTCGTCTATGAGACGAAACACAGCGAGACGGTGTAGAATTGCAGCCTCTAGCCATCAAGCAGAGGTTCTGCACAGGTCGGCAATGGCAACGCTGTGTTTGGGTATCCCGTGTCCTGCTCAGCCTGTAGCCTGCCTGTCACGCACCACAGAGTTGGCAATCTGAAGCACGAGAAAACCCCAGCTCTCGCCTAGTGCCTCGATCTCGACATTGTACTGCAAAGAGTGGGAGCGCCTAGAAAAATGCTTGCGCTTCAACTTCTCCCCTGTCCACGGTCCCATTTGTTGGCTGAGAGCACCGCTCCGGCCCGATGTCCTTGCGAACATCCACCACGAAAAGGAAGCAGCGCATGTCCGGAAATTCCTGTTGACTCTGGCAGGACCATAATCGCCACAGGCCCAATTAAATGTCTGTAAGGCTCCTGTGGGCTCGGCAATCTGTTGACAGGGATGTGTCTGGTGCGCACCATGCCCTTGAAGCCCTTCAAGTGGTAATTGACTCATCCATAGCACTTTCTACTTTCTGGCAGACTTGCCTCCACGGAGGCGGCGTCCGGCCAGAGTCTTGCCTGCGCTGCAGCTGGCTAGCTCGTCGTTTTATGCTCCACCGGGGTGCTATCACGTAATGGGGCGTCCAGCCTGCACGCAGATCGTGCAGAACCTGCCGCAGTGTTATTCACAGCTCGGTAGCTTTATTGAATGATGCCCCTTCAAGGCCAAGGCTGCATGGCTCTTGGCCGCTTTGCCCATCGCAGCAGCACCTGGAGATTCAGATTTTTCAGGGTGATTTTGCAATCTCAGGAACGAGGCTCTGGCTCCCCGCACTGGCCAGTGCACCATAGTTGGGTGCAATGCCCAGGATTCACTATCCCTTGTGCATTGCATCCTGTAAGATCTGTACGGAGGCTTGAACATCTTGAAGCATTCTCTGATACATCTGTCCAGGACGCCAAGACGGGCCTGTACGATGCAGTCCTGAAGGTGCTGATCTTCCTCAACTCCTCTCTGAGATTTGGAATGACCTCAAGCTTAATGAGGACAAAGAGGTCAGCGTGTGATTTCAACCTGGCTGGGAGATGAACCACATAGCCCAGCACCAGCAGGACCTCGGACAAGGCCACCGGCAGATTCACGATGCTATGATCATGGCTGCGGTTTTTCTAGAAGAGGTACAGATGATTCCACTTGTTTAGGCAAGACTCACCTGGCAACTAACTTTTCTGCTTTGCATCACACATGCTGTGGTAGCCCCGGCTGCTGCCGAGAAACTACCCTCCTACATCAGAACGCCAGAACGGCGGGCGCTTAGGCCGTCCCGCGTCTGAAATGAAGCACAGCATTGCTCTCTTGGAACTCTGAGGTACACAGCTGGCTTCTGGGTCGTGCTTTTCACACTTTAAACACTGCCGGGAAAACTGTGGACTTTCAGCGCCAAGATTCGTTGAGGTCGGAAATGTGTTGTTTTCAATCACGGTCAGCTTCTGCTGAACTGCCACAAGAAATGTGGGCACGAATCAGTGGCAATTGGGTGTAGGCTCTTTCAAATGACCTCATCATCCAAGAGCGGATCGTCGTACCTGATATCGTGGATGTCAACTGCTACGTGCGCCTCACAGCTTTCTTGCACCAACGGCAGGCTCCCCTCCAGGGTGCAAATGGTAGATGCTGATAGCGTCGCCCAAGTGTTTTCTGTAGTCGACATTCCTGAATCGACAGCGGAAAGAGCCCCTCCCTGTGTTGTTGTCTAGTCTTAGATCCCACTCCACTGCTGCCGCAGAACAGCCGGCGCAGAATCCCATCTGCTGGGGAGAAGACCATAGCATGAATACGGGGCAGCGCGCCTTGGCACTTGGCAGCTGCGACTGATTAGTGCCATCTGACACGTCAGGAACAGCACACGTGATATGTCGCAGTGAAACTGAGTCCTCGGGGGCCGACAAGGAAACTCATCCGGGCGCGATGCGGTATATCTGCGTCGACGCTGAATGTCGCCTGTAGCTGTAGCATGGCATCTGTCTTGTCTCTAAGCTTTTTGCGAACAGGCTGCTGGTCTTGAAGAGGTTGAGGCACTGCTCGATCACGTTCAGCTCCACCATGCGCTTGTGTCGCTCTTGGTCACCTCAGCACTTAGCCCACTCTTGCTGCCCATCAAAAAGTAGGGTGCTATCGAGCACAAGTTCTCTCTCGCGACTCTAAATCGGTTCCGTCAAAGCATCAGTCAATTGCTTCTAGCTCATCCTTGTGCAGGCGGTAGACGTCGCGAATTCTGAGCAAAAAAACGGAGCAACAACGCATAGGTGGCCAGCTTGTGTCAGGGGACGACTGCGTAAGAATGGGATGAGGCGTACTAAGTCTGCCGGCACAGGATCGATGACAGCCAACTCTCCAGAGGAAGATCGTGGTCTTTCACGGAACAGGCTGCTTTGATGCCACCGCCTCGAGCTACTGCATCTATCTTGCATGCGTCGCTGGCAGAATTTGGAGTTGCCAGGAGGTCGCATTCATGACTAGGGCCTTTGCAGTCGTAGTGGCCACAGACCTAGGCAGATGCTGACTTATTCCCCCCATGCAGCTGACAAAGGGCGCAGGTCTGCAAACATCTGCAAACAAGTAGCAATGACATGCCGGACTTGGAGATAGTCCACGGCGTACTGGAGTACCGACCGCATGTTTGTGTCAGTCGACACAACCTGCCCAGACGTTGCAAAGACTGAGCATGAAGCAGCACAAAACGTTCACGAACGAGTTGATGCACAAAAATGCAAGGACGCGGCCATGTTTGCGATGTTACCTGATGAGCAGGTGATAGAGAGAGCAACCTCAACAGAGTGTAAGATGCGTAAGGGTATGCCAGCTGCATGCAACTCAGGCTCGGTGTGTGAACAACTCTCCAGGCTTTCCACCGATCAGGTTCTCGGCAGCTACGCGGCTATCCGCACCTCTCCGCAAGTGTGGGTCAGAAGCGGATGCAATGCAACCTTGTTACACCTCACTATACTTCGGTATACTTTGCAGGCAGAGAGCATCCGATCCAGAGGTACTTGGGAGCTTGGCCCTGCAAAGAGCCGGACGAGTTGCTTGACAAGCTAATTGCCTGAGCGCTTGCTCATGCGCTGCATGCTTTGCCCTTTGGCCTGTCCAATTCGGGTGAAAAACCTGGGCAGACAAGCTTTCAAACTTGAATGTGCGCTTCTGTTGGACCAAGAGTGCTTGGCGGCTTGGCATGAATTGAACCAGAGGAAGTACAGCTGTTGTTTCAGACAGCTCGTCCGCTTCCCCTCCCTGTCGTGCTCTCATCTTGCAACGGAGCAGCTCCGGGTCTACCTTCAGCGTCTCCTTCTGCCAAATTTTGTTGCGATCTCCCAACTCGCCAACCTTCACTTGGCCAGCGGAGTGCCACAAAAATATTCATGAAAGGCCTGGGCCTCAGCATCCACTTCTTTGGCTCGGTTGGTGCGCTCCATTTGATCGTTGTACTCCCACAAGGCCTTGCAGAGAAGCGGTCGCCAAGCTTGTAAGGACTCGCAGTTGGTTTCTACACGTCAGCAGCCTCAGGCTCCACCCAGGAGTTCAAGTACTGGGGGATCTTGGAATCTTAGTTGAGGGATGTTGAGGGTTACTCGGCAGAATGACCCGCATACTCGGCAGCTCCAACTGCCAAATGCTCACAGCCTCATAGCTGCTATGCAAAACCAAACGAATGTGCTCTGATCCAAGAAACCGGAGAAAGGACGAGCCATGCGAGACAATGGCGATGTGCTGCGAGTCCTCATACAGCCTCGCAGGCCTCAGCATGTAAGGCAGCGACGAACCTACTGCATTGCTGCTGTGCCACTGCTGCACTACTCTGCTGCTGCTGCTGCTACCGCGGCTACTACTGCCGTTACTTAGTTACTTCTACTGCTGCTACTTCTTACCAAAACATGATGCAGGGGACTGCCAATGCTAACCACCACCACTCTCCACGACCACTCCTACTACTGCTACTACGGTACAATGACAATGCCTTGCGGCAGTGATGCTGCAGCCAGGCTGCCTCTCATTGAAAACCGGCCGAACAGGGACATGGCAGCCATGCCGAAAGAACCCTCTTGACTTGGGCCACAGCTCCCCTGCATGAACCCCCACCACATTGCCAGTTCTGAAATCATTCATCCAAATTTATCTTTTGGGGGTTTGGGTCGGGGGGCTTGTTTGGCCTGGGTTTCGTTGGCTTAGAGTCTCCCTTGCTGGACGTTCGCTGCAACAGCCAAGCACGATTGCTTTCTCTCCGCTCTTCTTCTTCTATAGGCTCTGCGAGACCCTCAGGCCCCGCCGGGGCGAACCCCGAGCCCGCAAGCAATCCGGCGTTCGGTCATCCCTGGAGGTCCGGAGTACGTGGTCGCTGGAATTGGAACTGGGACATCTACTTTTCCATTATCTCCTTATTCCTTTCACTACATATTTCCCAGGTTCCATTTCCATGTGACGAACCTCCCTGCTCCACTGGGTTGTGAAACTTCTCTCCGCTCTCTCTCTCTCTCTCTTTCTCTCTCGCGCAAATTGGGCTATGAGAAGGTCGTTGCTCGTGAAACATATCATGCTTGCTTCGTTGTAGGCCTTCAAAGCAAGGGCCTCTTCCTATCCTGGTGTTTGTCGACGGGATGCATCCAAAAACACTGAGAATGAAAATTTGGCAGCCTGGAGTGTCAAGGCAGCGGCCACCAATCCAGTCACCAGGCCAATGCACAAGGTGATGGAGGAGGCAGCCAGGAAGATCCAGAAATCCTGCCAAGACCACAAGAAATCTTGCAAACGAATGCGCAGGCTCCCACTCCGGAAGGATACCACAACCCCTGAGGCCTTGAAGGTCAGTAAGCGAGGCCTGGACACTGCTGTCGCTGACACGAGGCTGTTTGCCAGCATGAAGACTGAATGGCAGTGCAATGCCGCAACTGGCAAGGAGACTGCCTTTCTGATGGTGAGCGTTTTTTGCTTACGTGGTCCTTGTTAGTTTCGTTTTAGCACTTGCGGCTCCGCCACTGTGCAACAAGGCCTCCAGAAAGAGCCGCTGTGGGCCTGATCCAGTTGCTTGCAGGAAATGAGGGAATGGAGTGGATCAAGGCTATTGGTCCAGGGGGTGAAACAGAGACCGCCTATACAGGCACTGACACACTATGGAATTCATTCCCCCCATTCCCGCCCAACCAGCTGGACAGGAATCCCTGCCCTTTGCGCACCTCCACCTTTTCGAAGACGTAGGCCTTCGAACCCTTCGGATCCCAGACCCACCTTGGAGCGGCTTCTTCGATGAACAAACACACATGAGGAAGGAACCTGCCTTGCAGAGGTCAGGTTCATGCCGAGAATGTCCACCTGCAAGGCTTCCAGATTCCGATGGCTGTTTTGCCAGGCATCTATGTTCTCATTCAACAGAAGACCGGTTGACGATGCCCAAGCCAAAGGCTGCACGTGATCCAGATGACCCTTATATATTGTGAGACTCTGAATATGTGCAAGGGGTACGAAAAAAAAAGATAAGCGCACTCTTCTTTTTCAGAATTCTCAAAGAAAGATCCTAACTTGTCTTCATACTGAACTCACGGTAAAGACATATAAAATCCACTTCTTGAAATGGGACCTTCGGCCTTGGGTCCCAGCCTCTGGAGACACCGCCTGCAGCTGCTGCTCGCCAAAGTGCAGGTCGCTGCCCTCGGTCTCTGTAATCTGCACATCCAAACAACAGCCATGGCACACAGCAGCCCACCTCCTGGTTCACTGCGCCGCAGGAATCCTGAAAGCACCATGCACTGAGACTACATCAAGGATTTATTTCACACCTCATTTACTTCTATCCCTCCTCCGGAAAGAGCCAGCTCATGCCAGAGACTGGTGCCACGATGCGATGCATATGCGGCCGCCTCAGGATCCAGCACTACAGCACTCCCCATCATTGGCTTGCAGAAAAAGCAGCCATGGTTCAGGAAAGGGCAGCATGCCGCCGGTGACTATCGAGGCCAGGGACAGCGACATTGCGTGGTAAACAGTCGACCTCATGACAGTTCGCCAGGATACAACAGCAAATAGCTAAGCGGCTTAACGCAGCTGTAGGACGACAGGAGCTTGAGCATGCCCGGAGGGGCATTCGGCGCTAAAAGGTGAAAGGTCACGACATATCTGGGCTCCTGCAGAAGATTGCCTCTACGCCTTGACCCGTCGGCAACGCCACCGCAAATGCCTGCTTGCCCTTTGCCTGCTCCAGCCACTTCGAGAGCTTACCTTCAAACGCAAGCGTTGGGGTTCTCTCGCTTCTGTCACTTGTACGTCTGGACCACGACTGGATCTCATGCATCTGGGGTCCCTGCCAAGCAGCCTTAGGTTGCAAAATCGGGCTTGATGAGCACGCAGACTTTCTCTACGCTTGACACTCGCTGCTGCTTCGGTGCTCTCTGGTTGCTGGTAGAAGAACAGTGCCAAGCTCAGCAGCTGAATCACCCCTGGGCAAGCAGTACAAGCCTAGAGCAGCATGGCTGGCTCATGGCCAAAGGATTGGCCTGACGACCTGCAGCGGCGTCTTACACCTTGGCAATAGCTTTAACATGCTTCAACCGACAATCAGGTTCCGCACAACGACTAAGGTGTAAGGACGCCACCGATGCCGAGGATCTGTCAGGGGATCAGATGCCTCAGTTTTGGTATAAAGGCGTTGCGACCACCTGGACTTGCAACTTGGCCACTGGCTTGGATGTAGGCAGTACTACCTGGCATGAATCAAAATGGCCAGGGAAGTTCCCTGACTGTCTGGGAGTAAGCATCATCATCGCCGACCGGCCTGTCCCAAACACTTTGGCTTGGAGAGGTCTGGCATGCCAAAAGTCGGCATCTGCCAGGGCCAACCTGGCTGATTTGTTCAGGATTGCCATTAGGGCAGGAACACCTCGTGCTGGGGCTGTCACAGCCGATGCACTTTCTGCGCACTTGGGGTGCTGTTTGCCTGAAAGCACGCTTGAAACTGAAACCATCAGCTCCCCACATCTCCACACATTGCTGCATTCTCCCAATGCCACACTGCCTGTTGCACGACAGGTGCTGCCAATGCAGCCTGGACATGCAATCTGCGGGCTAGAAATGTGCGGACATTGTGACATTCGCTTTGAGCAGCCAGCTGGCCAGCTGGTCGCACGCTGTCATTCTAATCTATGCCATCAGGTCTTGTCCAAGGTCTCGGCATATCTGAAGACTTCGTCCGACATCTCAGCCTGCAGGTGAAAGATGGTGAAAGAATGCAGCAACGATACATCGATGCATCACTCTAACTGATTCGAGAAAGAAGCGTGCCTGTACAGGAACACCTTTGGTCCTGATAAGCACCATCGCGTCCTGCAGCTTCTGTTCGGGTGTCATGCAGCAGCCCGATCCACCAAATGTATTTGCTCGCTCTACTGCCCGAGGTCCTTCGCGTCGATACGAACCTGCGCAGCCTAGCACAAGGCTTGGTTGCACATGTGCCCGACGACTCTCGACCTGGGGACCTACCTGACATTTCCATGTGTTCAGAGTTGCATGTTTGATGCCCCACACACACAGCAGCCTCAGTGTCCGTGACTCCGCTGTAGAAGATTCCCACAAAGCCACCCTTAACTTGGACCTCTGTGCAGGACTAGATGCATTTTTCCGGACTAGGTGCCCATACCCTGCCTGCAGCGATGCTGCAGTGACATCCGTGAGAGTTGTGCGCGCCTGCAAGAGGCTACAGGCTGCATGCCAAGCAAGCACGCGCTAACCAGACTGGACAACGACAACAGGAAGCTTTTTGGAACTGAGCCAGGACTTATTGAGAAATACTCCTACGGGAAAGAGACATTGTGGTGTGTCGACAGCTGCATGGCTTTCTTCAAAGCCTGCGTGATCTGCAGTTTGAATTTGACAGAAACATGCACAAACTCAGCACGTGACCAAGGTGGAAACATCCACGTGGCAGTGCCGACCTTAACTTGATGTTGCCCGTTAATGAAAGTGACTACCTCGGTAAGCTCCCAGCGGACTCGTATGTTGGAAAGGCTGACAGCGGTCATTTGGACAGCGCTTGCATAGCCATGTGCCTGAACTGCAGAAGAGCTTTGGCTTTGCAGGCGTGACGGATGTGACGATCGCCCGCCTCCTGACTGGATCCATCCGGCCTTCTGACACCCCATGACAGGTAACAGCAGCGATGAACTCAAGCCAAGGCGCTGAATTGAGACATTGACAAAGTTAAAATGCATGTCCGAAGAACCTGTCATGTAAGCCAGCTTCATCTGTCAGGTGACCATCCAGGCAGCCTGCCTGTTTTCAGGTTGGGCAAATGAAGTACAAGCCTCATACGTCCACGATCTCACAGAGAAGAATGCAGAACGGCTCTGAGGTCCAGCATGCAGCTGAGCATGACGACCTTGCCTCAGCTGATGTTAGGTTTAATCCTTCGCGCGCTGGCTGCGGTGGCTTCTGCCGACTCTGGGCAGCCTACGGCTGTACGTGGCCTCCACGTGAAGCGAGTTGTTCACGATCTCCATATAGCCAGAACCCAAGGGATGCCAATAGCTGAGATGCGCCTCGGACCAGGCTGCGAAGCTGCAACATGCTGCAACAAGCTGCATCAACCCGGACATAACTGACATAGCTCCTCAAGCATGGAAGATCATGGAAGCGACAGCCTCTGCCCTGGGTCCAGGAACTGCCAAAACGTCGCAGCCGGAAAGCGCGACATGCAGATCCTGGGCATCAGGGCCCGATGCTTCATCTGGGCAGGCCAACACAGAAGTGACAAAAAATTCTCCCGAACCAGGTTCCTGGAACCTCCTTTCAGATTTCAAACTGGGTAAAGCTGCGCAGTCTCTCCGTTCCAGGTGATGCTGAATCTAAGGTCTTAGCCAAAGGAAATTCACGAGAGTGTGGTAGTTGGAGGACCTCAAGAGGCCGCAACAGGGATTTCTCATAGTCTGGCTCTGAAAGTGACCTTCGTAGGCTACTGACAGTGTGGCTGTAAACCAATGGGCCCAAGAACAAGGGCGTCAGCCTTATTCGGCGAGGACACCACAGCAACTACTGCCTTCTCGGCGCAATTGTTTGTCTCCACTGCGGCAGCAATGGGCGCAACAGGCATCGATCAACGCCAATCTGCCTCCCCCAAGCCATTCAGCTGAGGAGGTACCATCACTTGCAAAGCAAGTACGGGGTCTGCTGGGCTTTCAGCAGCTGTAACAACAAGCCAAAGCACTGGTGCCGTACAAACGGCACTGTTTGTGCACAGGTTTGCGGCGGAGGTCACCTTCAAACCTTGATGAGCGTCCGAGCTACTAGTTCCTAGTCAGAGCTCGGAGAAAATTCGTTCCAATGCCAAGCTCTGATTGGAGGAAGTGCACCTTGAGCCAAGAACTCAAGGAAATCGAAGCCAGGCCATGCGAAACGATAAGGTCTGGAAGCTTTGCTGCCGTAGCACTACTATAAGGGGGACAATTCATGACAAGTTCCCCGCATGGCCAGGGCTTCTAGGCAGGCTGGCCGATGGGAGGCTTCATCCATCCCCTAACCAGCACAGCTGGGACGGCCAGCTTGGCCATGGAGCCTTCTCCCTTGAATTTATAGCTACAAAATGCAGCAAACTGAAGTCGAGGCTAAGACTAAGACCATCTTAACAAAAGACCCCGCTTGAATTCACACATAGCTAGCCAGCCGCTCCTTGGGGATTGCAGGTGAACCTATTTGAGGAAGAATTCGGCCATGGTGGCCGGGAACATGCCACTCACGTGGCCTTTACATAACAGAGCAGCCATCAGCCATGTGAGGAGGGGCAGGCAAGCCCCACTCTTTGTCATAGGCCGTGTTCCGGCCGACTGGCTTGCCGTACTCCTCGGCATACTCTGGATTCTTGTGACTGACTGTTCCGGCTGCGCTCGGCATCTTGGATCTCGGTCCCAGCCTTCTCGTAGAAGGCCCACCAGCTCATCAGGCCCTGCAGCCGCCTGTGAATTCAAGTGAGGGTTTTGCGATGGATCTTTGGGATTAAGCAAAGCGCCTGTCTGCGGCTTCTGTCGGCTGAATCTTAAAGACATCCTTAGAGGTGGCGGCCAAAGCGTGCCCTCTTCGGATTGGAGTAGCCTGATCCGGCCAAGAGACGTAGAACTTATCCATGGTTTCCTCTGTGTCCTGGTCAAGTGGTATCCGCAAATGCCAGCGCTGGAAGCCATCTCTGCTCCTCTCCACTCATCAGCGCCCAGGTGATGTCCTTCCCGGTCATGTACCTTGCTGCGGCACTGAGCCTATACATGCTTCTCACAACCATAAACTGCATGCAGCAGCAAAGGTCAATAACGACAAGCGTCCAGTACGGACCGTCTGCTCCATACTTGTCAGGACGATCCTGATGACAAGGAATGGACATGCTTGTCCATGAAGTCTGAAAATGCTGGAAAGTCTTTCGTAAGAACGGCTCCGAGACGTCAAACAGATCGCCGTACACGGAAATGAGCATTCTTTGGCCTGCGTTGTACGTTGTACGTGCGTAAGGTACGGTGTACGGGCGTAAGGCAGACTTCCGCAAGCCCATACCAAGCCCCACCACCGGCGGCCTTTGCACGAGTATTTCTCCACAAGCTCCTTCTGAGAAACACGGCCAAGAGGTTTCCGAAAGTCTGCCGGAAGCTTGACTCCTGAGATTTACACAGCACCCCAACACCAACAAACAAGGCTGAGGCCAATTCAGGGCGGAGGTTCTAGCCGAGAGTCCCTTCGGCCTCGGCAAAGGACGGTGTCCTCCTTCAGCTGTCAAGTTCCCTGACATGGTGGACCTCACGCCGATCAGAGTTGCAGGCTGCGAGATGGGAACTGTTTGGAATCCTCAGAACGAACTTCAGAAGGGTTCTGTAAGCTTGCTCCAAGAAGCTGTCCAGTTGCTGGGTCGCTCCTCGGAGGCAGCAACACATCCCTTCTTTGAAGCTCAGATCTCTAGACTCAGTTGTGGCAAGAACGCATGACACGACGTGCTCGGTATCCAAAATCATTGCTGTCGCTGCCACAGGGCTTCTCGTACTGCTTGTAGTCCGGCTGCGCCTTGTTCTTAAGCCTTGCCTTGGATCATACACGATGATAGAGAGTCTGGAGAGCTTGCAGCTTGCCATCAAGCCCAGAAACGTACTGCTCTTGGTAGAAGCTTCTGAACATCTGCTTCTTCAACTCTCGCTCCTGGCAGCCCAGGGCACAGAGTTGGATGCTGAAACTTTACAGGTTGCAACTGGCAGCATCTTTCACTTTGACACAAGCTTGATTTATTCGGACAGCCCCGGTGCAACGTGAGCCCGCTACACAAATTGGTAAGTGTGGCGTGCACGAAGTCCAGTGCAGCAATAGCTGCAGCGGGGCGCCATTCGAGAGAGAAGGGCTAGGTTCTTTTATTCTCGCGGTTCTTGTAATTCGCCGAGGCTATCCAGCCTGAGGGCTCCCCTCCCCCTCCCGCCCATCCGCCTCGCCCCCCCTTTTTGCTTCATGAACGCCGATAGGGACTGTCGCGATAAATAGGTTTATGTGCACAGGGTTTGGGCACGTCCCCCCAAGCAAATTTACTTTGGCTTGTTTTCCAACGATTCTTTTGCATAGGCCGCCCCATGAATGCAGATGATTTTCTTCTGGAGCTTGTTGCTGGGATATATGAGGTTCAGGAACATGCATCTTTTCAAGCTAAGACGTTCCGATGTCTTTTCTTCCCTTTGGCAAATTAGGCGGTCCCGATGATTTCCGCACAATTTCCTGAACAAGACAGTTTCTCTGAACAAAACGCGATCTGCAAAACTCACACTTGGCTCTAGCCCCACAACCTACAACCCAAAGGCGTCCTTAGCTCGTACTGCGGCGGCGCATTTTTTTCATTGCCCTGTTCTTGGGCTTTGGCCGAAGCTTCCAGCTTTTCGTTGAGGGTAAGGATCAGTCACCTGATTTGGAAATCCAGAAACCGAAAGGTGCTTCGAGCCCTACATATTGCACCCCAAACTTTCAACCCTGAATCCTTGATCCATGTCTTTCTTTCCGCGCCTCTTTTGACTGGATCCGACTCCAAACATCCAGGTGCTAGATCTAAGTTGATGCTTGTAGCCCCCTCCCCCCCCCCTGCCGATACCCCGACCTCCCCCTTCTTGACGCGATGTCGTTACCCATTTGGGATGTATGCATAGACTTCGAGCGGGGTCGCCCCATCCCAATGTTGGGATAGGGTTCAGGGTTTACGTACACCCCCTGCCCCGCCCCAGGCCCCGCATATGAGTGAGCAGTGCTTTCTGTGCACCCCACAGCCGAGGCGGGCGCGCGATAGCGTTTACAATTATTCTCCTGACCTTCGGGTGTTCATCTTCATTCTATGGTGTTCTTTCTCTCTAGGGTGCTTGTTCTTATTCGGTGCGGTTCTCCCCTTTGCCACCTAATTTGCGTATCCTGTCACGCAAAATCTCATTGTGAGAGACTCCCATCTGACCCCTTGCCGCCCCTGACATAAAGTATCGCGGCAATGGTTGTGGCATGGCGGCGGCATGGTGGAGAGTGTACAGGTTAGCCACCTCCGCCTTCTGGCGTAACATACTGGGACTGGCGGATCCAGCCCCTAGCTCCGAGCCACGCTGACCCCAGTTGTGCTGTAAGGTGCCCCTCTTTCTTGAATTATAATGATCTGTCGATCGTGGCATGGCGATAGTCTGGTGGTAGTATGGTGCATTGAAGATGTTGTCCGGGCTGGCCTGGTCGGAGATTTGAGTGTGAAGCCATGGATTCTCCATCTCTTCTCTTTGCTGCTGAGTCATGCCTGCAGATCACATACTCTGGAAGCAAAGCATTACGGTCTGGGCTTGTGGTACCACTGCCTTCCCGAACTTTCTTCTTCATCCTCTTCAGCTCCTGAGAAATGCAGGCAAACGAAGCACATGCCACAGCAGGATGCATTCAGGCAAAGCTGCACGCTCGAAATCTGCGTTCTTCTTGGAGGATGGGCAGAGATCATCAAGATCCTAAGGGCAAGGGCAGGCAGCCTACCCGTTGCACAATGCCAGTCACCCAACATCCAAACAAGGCAATGTCCTCATCAGAAGAGGACACTTCCTTCTTCCTGGGCTTGTCGATCCTTCGGCCGAACTCATCATACTTGCCTCAAGCATTGGCAGATGTCATACACCTTCTCCAGAAGGAGCGGCAGAGCCCACCTTCTTTCTTCTTGGGTTTTGCCTTGACTTTTGCTTTCGCTTTAGGCTTCACTACTTTCCTTAGATGTTCCAGATATTCTCGCACCACCCTGGCAGCTTCTCATCAGCTATGTTGTCCGAGGTTCCCTTCTTTTGCTTCCTCTCGGGCCACGGCAAGACCAGAGAGGTGCACTTCATCACCATCACGGGTGAAGGTAAAGGTGATCCTTAAAAAGAGCTGCGCACACTTGCGCGATGCCAGAGTCGCTTGGGTCTCTAGAGCAAGCTGGATGCCGAAAAGGATCTTGCCGGATTTGTCAGCAAGCGTCCGGCCTGAAGCTGTGGCCTAGACACACAGAAAGCCAAGGTTGGCGAAGAGTCTCTGAGCAGCCCTTTGTCCATTTTGTATATAGCAATCATTACACACTTGGGTGAGAGGGACTGGCACGAAAGCTAGAGCAAGATCTAACTGGCAGAATGCAGATGCGCACACTCCCCTTTTCTTGACTACCGGGAACGAGGAAGGCTACTCGCAAACTCGTGATTGACACCAAGTTATGTGGCACTTAAATAGTATGCATTGTAATTGTAGGCGTCTGTGGTGTTTGCACATTACCTGCACCATCTAATCTACTGCTCTCCAAGAGCCAGTTACTCTAGTAGTAGATGCAGTCTGTACTTATGCTGAAACGCAAGGGGTCTTGACTTGGACGGAGGCCAAGAAGCTTGAACGAACCTTGTCCAGGGTTCATGCAATGGGTCGAGCATGTATTTCTGGCACTGGTAGCTTGGCGTTCTTTATGTGTTTCTTAGGGGTCAGATAAAGTGCTCTTTATGTGTGGGTCGGAAAACGAGCCCCCCGGATCCATGTCCGAAAGCGCCCTGCTGTGTGGTTTAAAAACCTGTCAAAAACGATCACTTTGGGGGTCCCACCCCCGACACCCTTGTTGCAAGCTAACGCTCATAAGAAACTTAAGCTAGACCCGGGGGCTAGCTTTCGTGATTGCGACCACTGCAAGCCCACTGGCAGCATTTGAGGTAGCACATTGCGGAATGAATCGAGAGTCAGAGAAAGATTGAAAAGGCCCCAGGAAATGAGGATGAATTTGTGGCCGCCACCCGCTTACAGCTCCCTCACATACACACAGCCGTGCTCGAGCAGGCCTCTCTAGAGTTGCTCGCCGTAGTGCTGCCCTGAGATTCACCATTGACATCCAAGCCTGCCAGCAAGTCTTCCGAACTGCTGGGGGGGTTCTGGTGCGCTTGAGGCACATAAGGCAGTGACCATTCGAGCTGCCATGAAGCTTTGCCACCTGGTAGACCTGCGCGACAGGTCCCAGATCTAATTAGTTGGGTGTTCACGAGGTCATCAATGAGCAAGGCCTTCCACAAATATGGAACATCTGGATCCAGGCCAGACACGGTGGCTTTCGCAGTGCCCGGCTTGTTGCGGATGAAGCCGCACGCGTATCTCGCGCAGCTCCACAACAGGGTCAAAAAAACCCTTGGAGACTAGCAGCATACTAGGCTCTTGCTTTCAAAGCTGCGGTCTTGTGTGTGTCCAGCCCGAAAGGCTGCATTTGTAATCATTGCCTCGCATGCCAAAGTAGCTAGCCTCTTCTGCCCTTCTGGTGAGCTACTTGCCTATAACGTAGTTGAACTTCTTCGACTCCTCCAACGAGCTCACACCTCTGTCGTTGAAGTCTTGCTCGTCCAGCCTCATGTTTCAAGGATGGAGGCTGTAGCAGTACCTCTGTTATCACTCCCTGGCATTTGTCACATGACTCAACTTGCGAAGCCAGGCTCGTGGTCAGGGGCTCCGGAGGTTGCTTCACCTGTTGGGAAGCTGAAAGTTTGACTAGGTTTCCAACGCTAGCCAGGCGCATGTCTTCTCACTGGCCACCTTCTTTTCTTCACCGGGCGCCACCTTCGCTTCTGCCTTTTCCAAGCGGTTGAGCTGTCAAAAACAAGTGCAAATGCCTGTGGCCTCTGCCTCTGGAGCTTCCGGCGCTACTTCCTTCGGAGGTTCCGCGTCTGAAGTTCGATCAACGGTCTCCTGCACAGCCACCTGACCAGAACTCAGAAGGCATAGCGCATCTTGCGGAAGAGCTGCCCCAAAGCCGACTTGGTCCTTGGAGTCTTCAGGCGTTTCTACAGGGTCGGGAAGCGTACTTGCTTCCGGCAGCTCCTCTCACAGCAGGGCTGGTTCCAGCATGACAAGGGACGGGCAGCCTGTCGAAAACTCCTGTGTGCCTGTTGCGGTGGCTGTTGTGGAATGGTCCGAGGCCTTCAATTCAGAGCGTAGACCACAACCCAGCAGAGGCTTGACAGTGGCCTTGTCCTCTGCAATCCCTTTGTTGTCTTGAAAGTCCTCATGTGACAGGAACATGTGAAATTGGCCCAAAGCTAGCAGCATCAATCCGAGGTACTGCAGTCTCCTCCTCTTGTGGAAGTCTTAACTTGGCATCTCCTGAGAAGGCACCATCCTGTTGCCCTTCTTCACACAAGCAATGCAACGAGGTACCATCTGCTCGCGAGATGGGATCAGGATCGCCGTCTTCCAGCGCAACTTCTCCCCAGTTGGAGGAGCAGCGGCAGAAGGGCGTCAACAGGAAAGCCATGGCTTGACCAAGGCTGCTAAGTAGCTAAGTACTTGTTGCTTCTGGGTGGGGAACGCCTGCCCGTCTGCTAAGGCGGACATCAGCCCACGGCCAGCCCATGGCCTGTGTGTCCGAAGTATCTGTGATCTGTGTGCGTCCTTCTTCCCTGCTGCTCATGCGCAGCCAGCAAGCTTAGCCAAACATTGGAGCCGCGCCAGGCATGTGCATTCCAGAGTAGGCTTGGCTAAGGCTTGGTTAAGGCTTGTGACCTGTGGACAAGTGCCATTGCAGCCAAGCTGCAAAAACACGAGGAAGGCAAAGGCCAAATAGATCAGCCATCGAGGGTTCACCTGATCTGATCAAGCCAAAGCCAGGGCCGCAAGCTGAGGCAAGGCGAGCCTGGGGTCCCCGCACGTCTATGAAGTTCTATCGGGAGGCTTTGAAACTTATAAACCTAAGGAAGAAGCTCACCAAACTTAAGGAGTTGCATGTGATCCCTGGAAGCAAAACTGTCCAAAATTTCAGGTCCCAGGCCAGCGCATGCTGCCTGGGAGCTCCATGTGCAACAAACCATGTGAATGGAGAGAAGAAGAGAAGCCAAGGCCGCAGCATGCAGTGCTGAAGGAGCTTCCGTTTTCTCTTTGGAAAACGATGGCATCCACTCACTAAGCAACTAATTCTCGTAACAGATTACCCGGATGCCTGCAACAGCAGGTCACACTGCGCTGGCAATTAAGCATCAAGCACAAAAGCAGCTGCCCCAAAGAGGCATTGCAGGATCAGCCGTTGGCTACTCTGAAGTCAAAAGCAGCCCGAAATCGACAAGCTCGTGTGGGAGGTTTCTCCCCGACTCAGATAGTTCCTGGAAAGTACGTGGCCATTCCTTCTTCGCTGTTGGAACAATTGGAAAAGGACCACGTGCGTTACAAGTACGTGTTGAATCATGACCTGAGTTTCAATGAGGCCCGCGGGAAGAATGAGCAGACGCGTCAGGCCGCGGAGCAGGCTGTTCTCTGGGCAGATTCCAATGAGACTTTGCCAAGAGCTCTGGATACCACAAGACGAAGCATCCCCGCATGGAGATGTTGTACAAGGGGGCCATGGTCGATTACTATGACCCTTCTGCTGCAAAAGGTCTTCCCCGACGCCTACAGGATCAGACTTCGTGGACCGGACCTGCGGTCATGGCCGCGATTGAGAGGAAGGATGGCGGGATCAAAAGAGTTTGGATCCCATATCACAACAAGCTGAAGGGTATTCGGCTTGAGTTCGTGCGATTATCTGCCTTGGAAGAGGTGGAGTCTGGTTTGTCAGGATGCCCCGAAGGAAGTCGAACGTGAACTTCAAGGAGAGCGACTTCGAATGGAGGAGATGGGAGAGGCGGAGGTGCCATCCGAGGAAGACGTGGCGCTCGTCGCGTTGGCCGCGCTCGCTGCGGTCGTTATGTTCACTGTGGTTGCTGCGCTGCGCTGCGCGCTGCACGCGACCGCGTTCGTCGTGCTTGCTGGTCGTCGCGTCCTGTTTGGCTTTGTGGTTGCCATGGAGGCCGTGTTCGTCGCGCTAGTTGTGCTGTCGTGTTGGCTGTGCTCGCCGCATTTGCTGCGCTTGCTGCTTGCCGCGCTCGTCTGCCGCGCTCTGTTGCGCTTGTTGCGTTCGCCGCGCACATTCTCAGTCTGCTCGGCGTTTTTCACGCACGCCGCACTGGCCGCGCTTGCCGCACGTGTTGCGCATGCCTTCCGCGTAGGATTGTTCTGGAGAGCACGAGGCACACCCGCCGTTTGGCCTGCTGACCATTGGAATCGACGTGCACCCGCTTCGAGAGGCGTTTAGCACATTCTTGGGATAGGAATGGATAATCTCGCAGAGCGAAGCAGTTCCGGCAAGAAGAAAACACGTTGTACAGCAGTCTGACGGCCACCTACACACTTCCACGTCAGTAAGAGCTCCTGGCCCTCGCAGTGCGGTCCTGTTGACAATACGAGTCCATGCCACACATGTCTTGATGCCAGGCAAGAAAACACGAAAAAAATCGAGCAGCAAAATGCACCTTTTTCGCCGGGGTCAAACACGCGGACTTATATGAATTCCTGACCCCAATTTATGGAAGCATTATGTTTATCCGTTATACCTTTCCATACCCAATACTTCAGACAACTTCCACCTTCACCATTTCTTACCTTGCAGTCCAGCTGCGGCTGCAGATTACATACCTGTAACCTAACATAAAATCAGCGACGGTGCAATCAACCTGGATGCGCCAGCGCCCTGAGAGGATGTCCTATACTCATGAACCTGAGCCACAAACCGACCTATCGGACTTTTACCTCCTGTTTAGCTCATCTTGTCCTCTCCATCTGCGTCTTTGCGAGGTGGCCAAGTGGCATAACCAAGCCAGAAAACCGTTCCTGCCAGCAAAGAGCATCCAGCATGAAACATGGACAGCCCACGCTGGCCGCCCCTTACGAAGAATTGCGTCGAGGCGGTTGAAATTACGGTTCCCAGGCCGTTGCTGAAGAGTATTTCCAAGGCCCCTGCTGTTCCTGCCATGTCTTCCACTGGCTCCATGTAGAGTGTGGTAACGGAAATTACGCACGCAGCACTTCCTGCCATGACCACGGCGCTAGCCCAGTAGGCCCAGAAGTCCTCCGAGAAGTACAGCCCCGAAACTGCAAAGGCGGCAGTCACCGATAATGTAAAGAAGGTCACGGAAAACTTCACAGTTTCTAAGACGGACTCAAAGTTCAGCATGTCCAAAAGAGTCGTCCCAATCGTGACGGCAATCGGTGTAGCTGACAGCAGCAGGGATGTCTGCGCCGTGCTCTTGCCGTACTTGGCTTCTGCAAGATAGCTAAAATTACTCTCGTAGGAAAGGTATGTGCCCATGAGGCAAACATCTGCAAGAAGCAGCGTCATAAGCATACGGTCACCACATATGTGCAGGATGGTCTGCCAGGTGCCCTTGGATTTCACATCTGGGCCGCTCTCCCTGATGAAGAAGCCTGCGTATAACGTGAACAGTGACCAAAGAAAGCCCAGTGCAAAGAAGGGAACCCTCCAGTGGCTGTATGCTGCGATAAAACCTCCAAGTAGCGGCCCGACGCTCGGGCCAATCATCATCAGTACCGTGACCATGCCAATGGCAAAGACGCGGTCCTTCTCGTCCTGAAAACAGTCTCTTATGATGGCCAAGCGCATTCCCTCCATCGACTCCCCAAGGGACTGGATGATACGCGCAGCGAGGAACCAGTTCACATCCGGAGCGAGAGCACAGGCGAAGGATCCCAAGATCAGCAAGACCAAACACATCATGAGGATCGGCTTCCGCCCTATGTGATCTGACATTGGGGCCACAATCATACCGACCAAGGCCTTCACAAACAAGTTCAGTTGTATGGAGCCACTCATTTGCGTCTGGGTCCCATGAAGCTCCAGCCCCATCTGGGGCAAACTTGGGACATATTGGTCGGTGGTGAAATATGCAAAGAGCTGAACCGTGCCCAAGAACACCAACAGCCGTGTGCTACCCATCATCTCAGCATCGCGTGGCCTCTTTGAAGGAAACCCGCAACACAGAAGCCACAAGGAAATTCCGCTGCAAGCAGCGTACGTCAAAAGCACCAGGATCTTGCTCAGCCAGCCAAACTTTGAGGACAAAGCAGCCAGCCTGGAGCCAAAGGAGTCAGGTTCTTCCTCTTGAGTAGCCCTAGTAGACTGGGTGTGTAGAAGGCCTGGAGTGTCAAGCTCGTGGACAACCGAGGTCTCGAGCTGAAGGAAATTCATACGACCCTCAGAATGGTCCAGCTCAACCTCACATGGGTGAAGTTCGGCACATCCCAGCTGCCCTAGCCTGCAGGCCACGAGGAGCACGTGAAGCAGCACAGCCACAGGACCCAAGTGCTGCAGGCTCATCGAAGGCTCATTGGGGTTGAGCGCAAGACCCTGTGTGTACACTCACTACATCCAAGAGAACGGTTCGGTTTGAGCCACAGCTGTCAGCAATGGGAGCTGCAGCTTCAACAGCATGCTCAGGCGCAAGGCCATGACTCAACCTCTGAAAAGCTTTTCTACACCGAAGACTGCCGGAGCATTGTCAATACTTAGCAACTACTCCGCGAAGCTAGGTCACCAGGAGTCAGCTCATGTTCTAACGCCTGATGCTGCTCGCTCTGGCTGTCAGGGACTCCTTTCACAACAATCCCGAGCAGAATCAAGGCAAACGAGGCCGTGGTACAGGGCCATGCAACTTCTTGCACATTTGCTTCGCCGACAATGCTGCTCATGGTGAAGACGACAGCAGAAAGTGGGGCGCCAGCTGTGTTTACGATCGCCACCCAAAAGGCATTAAAGTAGCACATCTGGACAGCATTCAAGAAGAACATGACACAGTAGCCGACAGCCCAAACCTGTAGCCAAAGCCAAGCGTCTTGTGAACAGAACTCGGGCACGTCGCCTGGCAGAGGAGCGCCGGCCATACATCGAAGAGACCGAAGCTGGTTCCGTCCAAAGTCAGCCAATGGTTCGCCCGTTGTCCTTCCGTTGATGTATGCAACAGTCTCACACGGCGCAAATATGAGATAGACAGGCACGGTCAGCAGGCTGTACCAAAAAATCACAGTTGCTGGTGGAATGCCAGCACGGCAGGCGCAATCTTGCATGGTCATCTGCACACCCAAGATACTAACACTGCACGTGTAGAGCACAACGGCCCAGAATGGGTTAGACTCGAGCAGGTGACTAGACTCGTGCATCTGCGGCAGCATACCGATAAAGATGCCGCAGAGGACCACAAAGGTACCTACGAGCTCGCGCTTCGTGAAGCGCTCACCTAAAATCCACATCGACGAGAGCCCCACAGCAGGAATTGTGACGTTGTTGAGGATCTGCGCTGCAACCCCCGAGACCCAGGCGTCAGAGATTCCGAATGACCTCGGCTGCAGCAGGCATCAGCAGGCTGCATCGCAAAGAACCGAGGTGTGAACCTAAACCCTGCAGAAACCTTGCCAAACGCTACAGTAGCATGCAGCCCAGGGACAGGCCATTGCTGAGTGCGAGAGCAGTCAAGCACAAGATATGGCGCCGGGTTGCGACGTTCTTCAGCGGCAGCAAGATCTCTTCTCCCTGCATCTTTGCGATTAGAAGCATCAGCAACACGCATTCCAGGGTGGGCAGCACCAGCAGGAAGAATGGCGATCTGGGCATTGCAAAGGCTCGCATGGACGCCCCAACGCCGCTGGCCACATTGGAGACCCAACCTGAACACTCGACTGCAAAAGAAGGCTTGCCAGAGAAGTCTACTGTGTTTCAGCTTTGGGGTTACGAGGAAACCACTTGTCAGGGGTGAGCTTAACAGGAGCTACATTTTGTTCCAAAAGCAAAACCCAGGGACCGCATAAGGATCCTACAGAAACCAAAATGTTACTCCTTACTAATCTATAAGCCTTAATAAGCGCCCTACAGTAGCCACCGGCCCGTAACAGAGCAAAGAGATTATTGACACATGATCAGCCGACTGTGCAACTTGGTAGCCTCTCTTGTTCCCTCTTGATTGCTATCTCTCTCCCTCTCCCTCTTCTTCTTCTCCCTTTCTTTCTTTCTTTCTTTCGGGCTCTAGGGCAACACTAAGCCGCCCTGGGCGTCATTGCCCAGCCCTTGTTGGGCTTCCTGGCTGAAACTTGCCCCTTCCCTCTCTCTTCTTCTTCTTCTTCTTCTCACTGCTCTACCCCTCTCCAGGGAGAGGGGCTGGGGCACGGCCCAAAGCAGGCATGTTCGGTCTCGAATCCACCCCAGGCCCCGTCTCTCTCTCCCTCTCTCTCTCTCTCTCGCTCGCTCGCTCGCTCGCTCTCTCTTTCTCGCCGCTTGACTTGTTGGGCTCGCTTAACCCTCTGTCTCTAGTTTATGTCGTCCTTCCACGTGGGGTCAGCCAAGCGGACGGCGGACTCTCCCAACCTTCTTCCGACAGCACCCGGCAGTTCGTCGGGTCTTGCAGTAGATGCCTTAAAGCATCTTAAAGCCTAGGCCTTCTAAACCTTGAGATGAGGCCAAAGGTGCCAAGAATGACCAGCCCAAAGAGCCAGGCAGTGCTCAGTGCATTTGCGTTGGTCAGAAACCTTCGCGAAGACATTTGCCAGGGACCATGCCGCAGGCTAAGCAGCACCACGGGCTAAGCAGCATCAGCGAAGCAGGTGGCAACTTTAGAAATTGGCCAGACAAACTCCATTGGCTGTTGGTAGCTACTATTACTACATTTACAAGGGCACTTGACAACAAGTTGAAGGGTCTTGCTTGGGTTGAAACGGCGTCGCTGAAATTGTGAATGCCGCGATGATCTTGTTCTTTAAGTAACTGGGCGCACACAGCAGCTCAAGCAACAAGACCTGGGAAAACAATTTCGATGAATCGCCCCTGGCATTTTCTCGGCATCAGGAAGCACATGGCCAATCCGCTCACCACGAAGAAAAAACTTCAAGGCTCGGCCCAAAGCAGCTCATGGCATCCCTTTTCACCGTTCCGATAAAAAGGGTGATCTTCATCGATGACCACGCAGAGTGTTGGCATCCTGCGGCCTGTCCTTTGGAAAGCCTCCTCGCCCAAACGCAGTTCCAGCAGATCCTGTGGACACACTGCTGGACACGCCTATGCAGCAAACCTATAGTTCCATTATGCCATCACGCAAGACTATGCAAGACTATGACGAGAGTGGCCTCCACCCCAACAGGGGCCTGAGCAAACAGCAGCTAGACTCTGCGAGATCTCAGCAGGTAGCATCTAGAGGAGGGAGCCCGAAACATCGAAGAAAGGAACAAAAAAAAGACTCGCTTTAATTGTCAACCTCAAGCCTCCCCCAAACCGGTCACAAACTCTCCCCTCCCTGGAAAGTATAATGAGGGGCAGGGCATGTTGCAAAGCCAGTGTCCTCAAAGGCAGCAACTTCAAAGCAGTCGGTCAAGCTTTGTACGCTCAGATAAGGCCACAGGAACGATTCAACAGGACTCTCAAGATTCTGCGTCTTCATAGGCTCAATGAAGTGCAGTTTGCAAGAAGCAGGTGCATGCGCTTGGACGTACTGCATCACCTTGGCTGCGAAGCTGTCCAGTAGATCATGCTGTTCTGGCAGTCTGCGCCCTGCTGCAACCTCAACCTCTCGAATCCAGAAGTGGTACTCTTCGGTTGGGTAGTGGTAGAAAACCTCTTCGACCTGCAGCTCTTTCAACATGGCCATTTGCCACTTTATGAGCTTCAAATGGTATTCGCCAAGCGTTGTCGGCACGAGGATCCTGGCCACCTGAGAGAACGCGCTCTCAGCTACCCTCTACAAAGCCTCGACGCAAACAGCGCCAACCAAATTCCACCTGATTAATGCTTTTGACACCTTGGCTTCTGAATCAACATCTAGTTGCACAGCGCCTCCAGTCTTTCTGGCTTCCTGAACATTGAAACCTCAGGCCCTGAACCTGAGCACAAGCCCAACTCCCAGGTTCTCTTGGGTCGGCCGAGGTCTTCTTGTGCACCCCTACACAAACAATCCCTGAACGGTTCGTCATCAGAGAACGTTCTTGGGACATGTTCGATGATCCTCTGGCAGGCCATGGCAGATCAATTGCAACACCAGGCCTTCTGGCCCTTCAGCAGCCTTGCCACTGCTTCTTCTCGATGATGTTTTCGTGCAAGTGGCTTGCTCGCAGGAGGAGTGCCTAGAGGCTTTATTTGATATATATATATATGTAGCAAAACACATGCAGCACGAGCAACTATTCCTGCAAAGTGCTCTACATGTGATTCGATGTTTTGCCAAGCGACCTCTGCCAAGTTTACGAAACTCCATGCGCCAGCGGCAATCAAGCAAGCAACATCCCGCGATCACTGCCTTGGGACTGTACCCTGGTTTCGCCCACCATGCTTGGCCGTAGGCCAAGTCAGTGCGCTCTAGGTGGAGGCTCGCGGCTTGGTTGGTTGCAATGCCATGTTGCAACTTCCAACTTCCGTAGAAAGTTGGTCGAGCAGCCTCCGACTCCGTGGATGATGTGCTGCCCGAGCACACGTAACCCGCACCATGCGACATGCGCATCAAATGCGGGATATGCTAACAAAATAACAATTTGCCCTTGCGGCTGAACAAGAGTTTGAGAGCAAAAGCTGCGCCAACTGTAATCGACAACGCTCAAGCACCCTTGTTCATACGAAGGCTTCCTCTAAACCGGAGCTTGCAAATCCGCTCGAACACGCAGATCCCATCAGCCTTCCTTCGTGCGCTTGTTTTCTCTCCTTTGCTTTTAACATCAACAAGCGGCTCAAGATGGCTCCAGCTCGAAGTGTTGGGATTCAGAACGTGATCGCTAGCTCAACTCAGCTTTCTCGCTCAGGGAACGCACTTGAAAACTGCAGGGTCGAGGATAAAGAAGTGGAGAATTAAAATCCCTAAACCAAAGAGACCCTCCCTCCCGCTCCCCTACCCCAAGCACCACACATACCACAAAATCTAGACTTTCAGGGCGCAGCATGAGGTTGGGGTCGCCATCCTGGCAATTTTCGCGGTTTTGGGGCCGCCTGCTAAGAAACACAGACAAGAAATGTATTCTTTCTGACAAAACCTAGACCTCCACCTCCAGAAGACAAAAACCAACCGACATTTGAACAGGAAGGGCCAACTCTGGTATGAAAGACGGATGACCAATGCTGAATTCAGATCTCAGGCTCCCGGGGCACAAGTGCAAATCTTTTTGCATTCACGCAGAATGCTGATCAATCGGCAGCTCAGCGCACTTCCTGTCAGAACTTCAAGGACAGATCAGGCCAAAGCCAGGCAGCTGTACGGGGCCGAGCCTTGGGGCAGCGACTCGCAGTCGGTGCAACCTCAGGGGCACACCATCGGACCCACACTTTGCTTAGAGCAGTCTGCTGCTGGCCTTCAACAGATCAGATAGGGGCTTGTCGTCCTGCCACCAACATCTTGGAAAATGGCCATTGCATGCCACTGCCAGCCTGCCCTTGCAGTGTGCAAGCAAGAAGCATCTACATTATCTAAATGAGGCGCGCTACAGTTGCTGTCCTCCATCGCGACGAGGTTACGCTGTGCTTTCGTTTTGGCTTTTGCTTTAGCTGTTGCTTTTGCGTCTGCTTTGGCTCTCGCTTTGGCCTTCGTCTTGGCCGTCGCCTTGGCTTTTGCCTTGCCTTTGGCTTCGGTTTGCCTACCCTTGGCCTTGGCATCAGCTCTGGGCAGCAGGACCTTGGCATGCATCGTGTTGCTAGGTAATTCAGGCTAGGCCGTCATGATTCCAACTCCAACTTCCCTCGCATGCAAGCTTGTCTCTCTGCCTCAGCCACGGCTTCAGTCTTCACCTCCTCTGACTTGGCCTGCGACAGTCCACATTCTTGTGAATCTGCCGGGGGAGGAAGGGAGACAGAGGTAAATGTGGTCAAGACAGCCCTGACCTGCAGTCGGCTGCTTCTTCGCCTCAATACCGTTCAAGGTGGAGACAATACGAACATATGCAAACAATCACAGCCACTCGTTCTCGCAACTGCCTGAGCCTCCGACACCGGTGCTGGCTCGGGCTTGGCGGCCTTGGTGGCCTTGGCGGCTTTGGCGGGCGTGGCTCGCTGAATCGTCGTAGCAACAGCCTTGGCCTTGGCAACCTTGGCGGCCTTGGCCTTGGCTTCGGAAGCCTTTGGCCTTGCCCGGTCTGGCACTTTACTAGTCGAGAAGGCTGCGACAAACTCTGCAGCCATGATGGCAGCCTGCTCGCGAGTTATGGGGCCTTGCGGGGGAGCACTTGGCGTCAGCGGCGTGCCCTTCTGGTTTGTGACAACTGACGCTCCATCGCTGCCCGCCGGGGCTAGTGATGGAGCTCCCTCGCTGACCGCCTGGGGTGGTGGTGACGAGGGTGGTGGTGGTAGTGGTGGTGTGGATTGTTGCTGTGGCAGGAATGTAGGTGCTGGTGTTATGGGCGTCACTTCGTTATTGATGTTCTGGGAGGGAGGTTCCCTGGGGGGTGGTGGACAGGGAGGAGCTTTTGGCTTCGAGACGCTTAGTGCCAAAGTCAGTGCAGCAGACGGTGTCTGCGGAGTGGGCTCAACAGCTGGCCCAGGCGGAGGCACCACGACACGAACGTCATCAGAATCAGAATCTGATTCTCCCTCAGGTGAAATAGGACTGGCAACGACGCCTTCGTAAACCGTCGTAGACTTTGCTGCAGATCGGTTCAGGCTGCTTAAGGGCCTGCCAGCCTGCCTTTGCGGCTGGCCTGCGTCTGTGCCCAGCTTGGCATTTGCCTGCAAGAAGAGCCAAACTCGACAGAACCAGAATGTGTCTTTCACTGTGCAAATGTATGCAATTGCATTACTGGGTCATCAGCTGATGCCCACAGTCACGCAGCTGACTAACCTATACTGTCGAGCTGCGCTGGGATCAGGGTCTGCCCCGAGCGTTTTCAAGGCCCACTTCGCGAAGGAATCTTTTGGATTGAGAGCCTTGGGGAACAGGTGCTGGCAGAAGTTGCGCAACACATGCTCAAGCACCTATGCATGATAGGCTAGGAGGCAGGCCAGGGCTTGTTTGAAGTCAGCTGCAGCCTGGCAAGATTGAGGATTTGCCCCATCAAGCTGCGCTTGTCTCGCAATGCCTGGGTGCCGCAAAACACGCAAGATCTCAGAGGGAAATGTCGTATAACCCCGAAAGTGAGCCCAAAGCCCAAAAGTCGAAAACGAAATCATGCAACACCTCTGGCCTCGTCTCTTTGATTAAGCTCAAGCGCTGCCGCGCCGCGACCACACAGCATCGCCGCGTTGCGGGGCTCTCGAGCCTCAGCCAAATAAAGGCCAAAATACGAGCGAAGTGTTGAGCAACTACTGACTGCAACGTGTTCAGAGCAGCCACTCACCTTTCCAGAGGCACACGACTCAATCCAGACTTCGGCACTTGTGGCCTAGTCGGTGAGCTCAATTCCTTGATCGAGCACATTTGAAATAGCCTCGGTAATGCTTCGCAGCTGCTGCTTTGAGATTACATACGGTGGCATGGTGTAGATGGTTTGCCCAAAGGGCCGAAGCCACACACCTTGCTGGACCAGCGCCTGCTGTAACTTGGCAGGCTCCTTAGGCGGACTGTGTAGCTCCACCACGCCAATGGCACCCAAAACACGCACGTCAGAGACGAGCGCATGGTCTTTAAGCGGTCTGAGCTCCTGGTCCAGCTGTTTCTCGATAGCACGCACTCGCTCTTGCCAAGGTCCTTGCAGGAGGAGGCGGATACTCGCGGCGGCAATGGCACAGGCCAAGGGATTGGCCATGAAGGTTGGACCATGCATGAGAGGCAGGGTTCCATCAGGTCCACTCACTCCATGGGCAACATCTTTTGATGTAATTGTGGCACCCAAAGTACAATAACCTCCCGTCAGCGCCTTGCCCACACACATGATGTCTGGGGTGACCTGGGCGTGCTCTGCAGCAAAAAGCTTCCCAGTCCGGCCAAAGCCTGTGGCAATCTCGTCAAAAATCAAGAGAACCTCTAGTTCGCTGCACAGCTTCCGCAGCTTCACAAGGTAAGCTGGGCTGTAGATCCTCATTCCTCCTGCCCCTTGAACGATGGGCTCTATGATGACTGCGGCGATGTCCTCTGCATTTTGTCGGAGCAACTCCTCCATGCTTGTAAATCCATCGTCCGAGTCAAAGCTGTCCCATGACTGAGGATGTGCCAACACAGGCGGTGCTGCAAACAGCTGCTGCGGCAAAGCATTTCTGAAGAGGGAGTGCATACCACGCACGGGGTCACACACGGCCATGGCACCGAAGGTGTCACCATGGTATCCGCGCTGAGCTGTGGCGATGCGGCACTTTCGCGGACGCCCTCGCGCCGCCCAGTACTGCAGCGCCATCTTGAGAGCAACTTCAACACTCACGCTGCCACTGTCGCAGAGGAAAATCTTGTTCAGGCCCTCAGGCAAACAGCTGAGAAGGGCGCTTGCAAGGTCAGTTGCCGGGCGATGTGTCAAGCCACCGAACATGACATGACTGGTCTTGTCTAACTGGCTTGCGGCAGCCCTGTTCAACTCTTGCACATTATAGCCATGGATAGCACACCACCACGAGGCCATGCCATCTACTAGAGTTTGACCGTTTTCAAGCAGAAGCTCGCAGCCAAGCGCACTTTGCACTGGCCAAACGAGGCCGGGCTTTGCCATGCTGGTATAAGGATGCCAGAGATGTTCCCGATCCACCTGTAGGTGCTCTTCTCTACTCCTTGCACCTGCTGCATCCAGAATGGCAGACATGCCTTTGGCCACTTGGGGCTGCTGCAGCCATTCACCCAGGGGCTCCTTGTCTGGAGGAGTGCACGGCACCGAGATTACAGGGACATCGGGCAGTGCTTTTTGCACGGCGCTGGCATTGCTGTGCTTTCCCTCGCTTCCTATGAACAAAATTGCTCTTGGCGGCTGCTGGCGCGAGACCAAAGCCTCATAAGCACAGATCGTCGTGGAGATCCCTCCCAGCTCAGAGTCGCCCACCAGTAGGCAGGGCAACCGCAGTGGGGCATAAATCTCTGCCTGGCTGGTGTGGCTGGGTCCTGGACTCAAAGGGCCACCAGCTGTCTCCACAACTGAAAGAACTCCATGCTTCTGCGAGCTTAATGCTGCCAAGACTGCCGTGCGGAACTCTTTATCTTGCGGAGGCTGCACCCCTGCCTTTTCGGCAGCACTTGCGGGTGACTCAGGTGACGGATAGTGGAACAGAGTCTCGGCGCGAAGCGATTCTCTGAAGCCATCGCAGTGTCTGCGAATGGCACCCGCATCTGTATCTTCCCCCGTTTGCACAGGCTTGATGTATGCTACCTGCTCCCCTCTGACCAGCGCCTGATGACAGATGGCTGTGCACGCGACAGTCTTTCCAACATCTGTGTTGGCACCATATACCAGGACTGATGTACTTTGGTGCCTATATGCCTGCTCGTGGCCAAGACGGATTCGTGAGCTTGCCCGCACCTGGCCGAAGAAGGCAACATAGCCTTGCGTCAGAAGCCGATTTCTCGTCATTAGCCCTGCACGATAACCTGAGAAACCGCTGCTTGCAAAGCTGTCTTCCTGAGCCCTTTTAGATGAGGATGGCAGATGAAAGAGACAGCATCTACATCAAGAGATACGTCGCGGGCGGTCAATCCTTAATATACTGAAAGCATGTACACAAACATCCTGAAGCCAAAGCTCTCTTCAATGCATGCGCCGCTTGGCTGTGTGACACGCAAAAGTCTTGCACATGCAGGAATTGCTGGCTGCCCCTTTTTCAATAATTTTCTGCACATCCTGCCACCATCTCGCCTTGTAAGGATGCTCAATGCTCAAGAACAACCACCACATGACAGCGAAGTCTGAGTCTGCTTCTTTGGTTTCGTTCTGCGATTTCAGAAAAACTCATTTGTGGGAAGTGCTGTACAGAAACACAGCGAAAGCAAAGTGGCGGCAAGGCCTAAGGTGATTTTAGCTGCATCCGTCAATGCAGAGCTCTCGACAATCTCTTGCCACCACAATGCTATACACGTTGTAAAGCCTTCCTAAACCTGACACTACCTACTCATTCTATAATCCTATCTCAGAATGTCACTTCGCGCGGTTTGGAGCCCTCCCATGCCATACCCGATGGCATGTGGGCCATGGTTTTAGCTTCCACTTCAGGCACCCAACCTGGTCGAAGGGTGGCCGTGTTGCCAGTGAAAGGCTTCTTGCCGCTGAGGCCTAGCACTTCGAACATCTTGGCATCCTCTGAGAACTTGGGGTTGGGCGTTGTCAGCAGCTTGTCCCCAGTGAAGATCGAGTTGGCACCAGCCAGGAACATCATTGCCTGAGCTTCCTGCGAAAACTCCATCCGCCCAGCTGACAGGCGCACCATGGACCGTGGCATGACCACTCTTGCAGTCGCTATGGACCTCAGCATATCACGCCATGTCACGCCTGTCCCCATTTTGATCTGACGATCACCCAGCGGCGTACCCTCCACTGGAACAAGGGCATTGATTGGAACCGACTCTGGGTGCTCTGGCAAGGTCGCGAGGGTGTGGAGCAGCCCAATGCGGTCTTCCTCAGTCTCCGCAATGCCAAGGATGCCCCCGCAACACACGCTGATCCCGGCCTCCCGGACATTGGCAAGTGTCTCCAGGCGATCCGCATAGGTGCGGGTGGACACGATATTGGGATAATGCTCTGGACTGGTGTCGAGGTTGTGATTGTAGGCTGTCAGGCCAGCGTCCTTCAACTGCTTCGCTTGCTCCGCATTCAGCAAGCCCAAAGTGCAGCAAGTCTCCATGCCCATGGACGAAACCTCTTTGACCATTGTCAAGATGTTTTTGAATGCATTTTTCTGGCCCACCCCTCGCCAGGCCGTTCCCATGCAAAATCGAGTGGAGCCTGCCTCCTTGGCCTTGCGGGCGGCTTCAACAACCTCTTCGACTTGCATCATGGGTGTGGGCTTCACCGCGGTCTTGAAGCTTTGGCTCTGCGAGCAGTATCCGCAATTTTCACCACAGCCTCCCGTCTTGATGGACAGCAAGGTGGACTGCTGCACCTCACGCGGATTGAAGTAGGTGCGGTGGACACTGGCCGCTCGAAAGATCAGCTCCAACAACGGCTCGTGGTAGATTTCCCGGATCTCTGCACGCGTCCAATCATGCCGGACAGCGCTCTGAGCACTGAAGTGCCTCCTGCCCGCTTGAAAGCTGCGCTTGACGAGGGTCAAGGCCATGCTGGCAGTCTACGAAACTTAATGCACAGTGTGCTACTCTGGAACCTTCGTGGCAAGCAGAATTGTGAGTTGCGAATCGCGCAGAGTACATATTTCTGACACTCCAAGCATCGCACCAGCGCGCGGTTGTAATCTGCTATGGCCTGATTGTGGACAGACTGGCCGCATGTTTCCATGACCGACATACAACGACCATAACCTGCCTCTGCATGGAGCTTCAAAGCTCGCCTGCACGCTTTCGTTGGCATCTGTGCTTCTGTACTTTTGCGCGCCACTCAGCCACTCTGCGTCCCCGCGCTCCACCTGGCCTGGCTGCACCGCGGCTGGCGTAGGCTGCCGCAAATTTTGGACTGGGGAGACAGGGCGTGGTAAGCTGCGCACAACCAACATCCAAAGAGCATGGCTCGATGCGGAGAGCCGCATTGAAGTCTGCAAGGGCTGCCTTAGGAGACCAATGCAAAAAGGTACTACTGCATGCCACTGCAGTTCAAGCAGCAATACGTCCCAACAAGAAGACTTTTGAATTTGGGGCAGAGAATCTTGCACGCGCGTGCAGCGGCGGCTTCACATCTGGAGCCACGGCAATACTAATGAAAGTGAATTCAGCTCATCCATTCAGACGAGCCTGAGGCTCATGTGGCCTTGCCGTGCTGCCCTCCAACAAACAACAATTGCAGTGCTGGCCTCCAGGACTGCCTTTCTTTCGGCGCCACAGAGACTTGCACTGTGTGTAGCTTCCACGGGATTCATGGAAGGAGAAGCCTTGGAGGTTGGGATCGCCCGGGAGCGGGCGCTTGTGTTGCAGCAATCTCACTGGAATCTGTGTAGAACATCAGGGCTGAAACAAGGTGAATCTCGGCCGGGAAACCTAAATCCTGGCTGTTGTTGGACGGCACAGGATCGTACTCTGAGCCATCAAACAAGGCTCGGTACGAGATAATGTTCTCTCCCTCAGCAATCCACGGAGTGATGTCCACCTCCCACCACTCCACATCTTTACCAGGGCACCAGCCTGCTCGTCCATAAGGCCAGGTGCCAAACTGATTCGGAACAACTCCACTTAAAACCTGGGCCTGGCAACCATCATTTTTGCTCACCACCGAATTCTCTCGCACCAACTGCTCACTGCTGATGCCGTTTACCGTGAAGTGGTGCACGTGATTGCAGAACTCGGCGCAGTTGGCCTCATCAACTCCCCAGCCGTGGCCGGTGATCAGCGTCGTGAGGACTACTCTTGTAGACTCTGTCGGCACGTTAAACGGAATGGGCGGACGTCCAGCGTTGTAAGCAAGGTCAAGCATGCCACCTGACCAAAGTGGCATGCGTGCCTGAGGCGCATACTGACTCCCGCGTCGGAACCAGAATGTTAGTGAGACTGTGTATTCCTGCCATGTGGCTAGGCGTAGCGTAGACTGTGCTGCCAGCAACGGGATGGCTCCCGGAGCTTTCGTGAGCCAGTGACCTTCGCGGCCATATGCTGTGATCCATCTTGCAATCGTGTCATTACTGTCAGCACAGTTTGTTGGATGCTTTGACCGCCCTGGTGTACAAACGAAAAGGTTCAATTCGTGATCCCATGGCGGACAGTTCTCGTCCAAGTGATCATCACAATCCAAGCGGAGCTCTATTTCAAGCTCAGTGTAAGATCCGTCCCGAACCAAAGCAACTTGTTCTTGGCTCCATGGTTTTGTGATTGAGCCTGGCATCCTATCCTTGTCAAAGACTGAGATTCTCAGGACATCCGCCTGCTCACTGAGTTCTTGTGTGCGTCTGAGCAGACGCCTGCGAAAGTCCATGCCACGGATCTCATCGCTTACTCTGCTGAATCCAGGAAAGGTATTGTACCACAAACCGCCCCCTTGGCCCAGAAGGCCTACCATGCTTGGCCCCTGCCGCCTCACCCCAAAGCGAGCAGAAACCTTTTCAGCCTCTTCAGCATCTTCGGCATCTTCGAAATCAGAAGAATTGCTTGGGAAGAGAGCCGTTAGGAGCTTCTTTCCTACCTCCAACCCGACCATGACTGCAGAGATCTTTAAAACTTCGTCACAGGGATCTGGCGCAGCACAGCCCATCGAGATTGGCATCGCATCCTGGCTGAAGATAACAACGGATGTGGCACCCAGCGCCTGCGCGCGGCTCACTTTCCGGTAGAAGGAGCATTCCCCGCGAGCCACTAGCGCCACAAAGCCTTGCAGCTCACTTGATGGTGTCGGCCACTTTATTTGCCCCGCGGGTTCCTCTTCACCACATAGAAGACCGGCCCATCGTAATGGCAACTCATGGTTCACAAACTTGGCATCCAGAGTAGTAGCCCAACCGCCTCGCGTCCCCTGCGCTGCGGTTGATATTAACTCCCTTTCCTCATCCCAAAAATTCAGGATCTCTTCATCCTTTGACCAGGCTTGGATCACGGAAGGCAGCCAACATGAGTGGTAAGCCACCGTGGTGGCAGGTTCGGTTACCAAGTGAAGCTTTTGCATAATGGCAGTTGCTGCTTTGGATGACACGTTGGCCAACAAATGCTGAATTTGACCTTGCAGTTTAGTCATCACTTGCCTCACATCAGCCCGGGCCGCATAGCTCATCAGCACGATCTCAACATGCACTTCCTGCGAAACGTTTAGCAGCGACCCCACTTCCTGGTCAGACAAGCTCTGGTCCTTTTGCAAGATGAGAAACACAAGATTCGCATCTTGACTCTTGCCAGGTTCTTGCTGGGGCCATCTAAAATGTCCACCAATGCTCTCCAACTGGCAGCTGGAGTCCGGCATGTCACGCGGCAACTGCAAAGGAAGTTTGGTTGCTGCTAGATCTCTGCAAGCCCCGGTCCGAGCACAAAGCTCATCCAAGCAGCACCACCCTTCAGGGTGGCAGCCTGAATACTTCTGCCCCTCGTGCCAGAAAGGGAGCGAGCAGGGCACGCCCTCTGCTGTGAGGATCCAGGTCGCTGCCTTTGTCTCTGGGACTTTGACTTGCCTGTTAGTCCACTTCCGCCTGTCAGAATTCATCCTCCACAATGCGGGAGGGAGCTGACCGGTCGGCCCAGTTTCCTGCTGGCCTGAGAGCAAGGCCTCTGCATTAGCCCGAATGGGGTGATCTGTCAGGGCAGGCAACCTCGAGATGGCTTCATGGGGCCAACATGCAACTAGCAGGATCCAAAGCACCGACATGGCTGGTCTACAATCCTACCCTATCAGCCGGACGACCAGCAACGAACAGAAAGATAATCCAAAGCGGCAAAGTGGTGACTGAGGGCTAGGAAGGCGGAGCAATGCGGAGCAGGTTGCTGTTTTTTCTCCTGGCCTTCCGGCTCCGAGTGTTGGATGCCAATTCTGCAGGCCGCTAAGGCTGCTGGGCACAGCTCTTTGTAGCTGCTCACTCCCAGTCCTAGGCTACCCTGGCCACTCGCATTTGCTCCTCGCCGCACCTTCTTGGCTCTGCCTGCCCAAAGAAGGTTTGCACACTCTGAAGCCAAGCTACAAATCAACGCGACCATCCACCCCCTCCAGAACAAGCCTCATCGGTGCCCATGAAATCACTCAGGAATCGGAGGGGCGACCTCGACCCTCACATGCACCTGGGTGTCACAAGCTCAGCCCAGCTATGTGAGAAACTTCTTCTGCTGTTGGTGCAGAGATTGGCCCCTCACTTCCTTACTAGCATTGGCCATGATTGCCGGGAAGTCGTTGAAGGAGAGCGGGTCGAACATCAGCTTGTCGTCCTGAAACATGATACGAGACAACATACAACAACATGGTCCTCACAGATACCAAAGGGTGGTCAAGTCTACAGTCAACCACATCATCAAGCAGCCAAAGCTCCAAGTAGAATTGAAGTCGTGCGTACTCCTGTTCAGTCCCGCTCTAGAAGAGCAAAGCATCCACGCGCTCACCAGCTTGCACTACAAAACCTCCATCCGTTCAATCCGTGGCGCGATCTCTGTTTGTCTCGCCACTTGGCCCTTCGCAAAAGCGACATCGTGACCAACGTTGCACACCTCATGTAATGGGGCAGGCTGAAATGCTGCGATGAAGTGAAAGCTCATTTGCGTACAAGCCACAACCTCCACTCTTGAACCAGTGGACAAGTCCTCTGATTGGCACGCGCCGCGCAAGTAGCATGCGAGGCTCGCCCTATACTGCTCGTCCGATCTAGCAGCGCAAACGCAGATGCTATTGCATCCACTGTATGATGCCGCAGCCGAGGGGCACAAACTAGCTTGAGCTGCTCCCCACGAAGCTCAGCTTCTACTCTGTCGAATGAAGTCCTGAAAAGAAACTGTCCAAAGTTTGCTCCACCACTTCAAGTAGCATCCAAAATCTGACAGACAAACAGCTGCCCCTGCTTCGCCCACTCAGCCCCTGGCATGCCGGACTCATCGTATTGGGAGGGGAAGGCAGAGGCTCCTGGCCAGTGCCAGCTGGAAGCCAGCTTCTCGGCTGACGAGTTTTACTGTGCAAGCAAATCTGTGAGGGCCTTGGCCCTCTTCGGCCATCAGGTCTAGTCTAGCTACCACGCTCAGAGTTTTCAACACTCTCTGAAACCGTCACTACAGCTTGGAGCAATAATGGCGCCAAATGCACATACATGGGCACTCACATGCAGTCTCAGGATCCTCCTGTGGTTCGTTTGTATCTCCTACCAGACGGCACATAATTGCCAGCATTCCGAACTCTCCGCTACGACGTCACATGGTCCTCTGTCCAGTACACATTTTCACTTCTGCGCCCGACCACAGCACTTACGGGGGCATTAAAGACAAGCATGGCAAGACTCGGCGAATCGCTGTGGAAATGAGTTCATCAAGTCGTCCAGGACAGCCACAGAGAGCTCGTGCAGAAGAACATGACCACATTTCAGCTCTTTCGCTTCTTCCTGAGTGGCCCAAGATCGTCACACAAGCAACACATTCATGATAGATGACATGTCTGAAATAGTCAGACAGTAAGGCCAAATTACTCACGAGCTACTTCCAAGCACCTCCGCGCTTGGTGCTCTTTGCGCCTTCGGATTTCCGCTTCCCATGTCCACTTCGCAGCGCAGCTGCATGCTTTTCACTGACCTCCTGCTTCTTCTTGTGTGTCCATGACTGGACGCTCTCATCACGAAGTATGGTGTCCAAGAAACTGCGCCCGCTGTGCGCGTGGACTTCTCTAGTCTTGGTATGCAAGCCGACTGGCGCCAAGCCTCCGCCAACTTCAGTGGCGATCGTGAAGTATTTAGGAAGCTCTTTGCTGTCATTAGCCTTGTAGAACCTTTTCGGATCAAAGTTAGCCCGGAGCTTCAAGGCTCTTAGCTCCTTTTCCAGCTCAGGTGTCATGCGGTGCTTTGGCAAGCCAAACCATTTGTCCAACTTCTCCGTTCTCTCCTTCTTCGCCTCTGCTCGCCTTTCCTTGGCATCGTTGACTGGCCGAACTTGAGCACCACGCACTTCTCTCTCCGAGCTCCGGGACTGTGCAGGCACCTCATGCACCTGGGAACGACAGAGGTCGCTGGCGCTGGCCTGGAACTCCCCGGAGATGGCGGTTGTGTCGAATGCACTCTCTCCAGACCCATACAAGTATAGCTGCTCAGGACCAAGCCCAACATCCAGCTTCAATTGCCCGGGGTCTGTTCTATTGACAGCTTCCAGTGCAATACTGACCGCCTTGTCAGCAATGGCATCGATGTCTAGATCCTCCGGTTCCTCTTCCAACTCCTCTTCCGACTCCTCATCGTCATCCTCCTCCTCCTCCAATGCCTGCTCTGCTTTCGCCTTTTGTCTTTTCTTGCCCTTGGCCATGGCCGGAAGACTTTCGCCCAGTTAAACCTTTGAATGCAGTAAGCGTTAGTGTGAAGTGTGAAACCTGTGGGGGCAATTGGGGGGCCATGCAAAGCTGGAGAAACTCTTGCGCAAACGTGTATCCAACTGATGCTATTGGCACAGACAGCAAGCACATGCAAGCATGTGGGCTCTTCCCGTAGCTGAGGCGGTGTCTTCCACCTCACCGCGTTTGCGCTGAATCTCCCCACGAGTGTGTATTGCATACCTCGTCGCTGCCCCAGCCAAGGCCAACTTAGGCCCATTGGCATTGTCGAACAAAACATCCATGCACCCTTGGCCCCTGGCACGTTTTTAGGCTCCAGCTCCAGGACGCGGTCTAAGTCGGCCAGTGCCTGGAGGCAAGGAAATGCAGAGAGTGCTACTGTGAGCCAGTGTGGACATGGCTTGGTTCTTCACGGCCCTCCATGCATTTTTTCGGCTCTTGCTGACCCCACTCTGAACAGCAGTTTCTGTTCAAGCACACAGGCTTGGTGCGGACATGGACCTACCCGAACTAGAAAGACAGCTTGTCAGTTGCTTGGAGCTTTTTATGCACTGCTTCAGCTGATGGGATTCCACTCAAGGATTCATTATTCGGACAGGTCGCAACAAGACACCTGTCGGTTCAACAGGCAGCCAACCCTTAGTCAAGTGAATAAAGATGAAACTGCAACTCCAAGCCGCAAGGGGTAACTGTACAACCTGCTGCTTGAAAGCAGTGCATGGCTCAAAGCCATGCCGAATGCAACCACCGCAGTCTCTGACTGTCGGCGGCTAGACCATCTGAGTGAAGAGACAGCTGGCAGCTAAGGTCTCGCTCAGATCACACACACTTCTCGCGCTGCGAGGTGCGCTTCTCAACCAGCCCACCATCATCTCGCGTATCCTGGAGCTGGAACTGCCGGGGCAGAGTAACCTCAGGAAGGAAAGGTTGCGCAGCGCCCGCACGGCTGGTGAGCTGTGGTTGAGGTTCACGCCTCCTCCGTAGCCTCCGGAACGACATGGAACCTGGCTGAAGTCTGCCAGCACTGCAAGAGCAGGTCTTGGCAGAAACACGGGTGGCCTCGAAGGACATCCCAGGCGAAAGGCCACCAGGAATAGTCACACAAACCTGCTGCCCGTCAGGGGCCTCAGCACTGCGCAAACTGCGCAAGAAGTCTAGGCCTGGACCGATGCAGACATATCAACCCGTTGAACCTCGTGAAACTAAGGCTGTTAAGGTAGGTGAGAGGCGGTCAAGCTGAGCTGCGATCCGGCCTCTCAATCCATAGCTTGCACTGCGACATTCGCTGAGGCGACTGGTTGTTTGCCTCGCAGCCCTCAGGAACTGTGACGGTCATAGTTCCTCGGCCCCATTCCGACGACTCGCAGCTTCACACGGTTGCCCGAGGACTTCAGCATCAGCAGACTCAGGCTTTCTCCAATGCATGGCACTGCTGCCGGAACTCTGCTGTCATCGATCTCAACATCCACGACCTCAGCACTCGTCCGGAAGCAGCCTAAGCTCACGGGCTTGAACAACAGGCGCCTCCAAATCGGCATCAGGGGCTGGCAATGCCCCTGCACCACTGCCCAGCTATGTCGTGCATTGCCCTGGAACTACCAGCTACAGGCCTTGCACTGCCGACTCCTCTTGCAGTCCCGCCAGCAGCATCCTCATCATCCGGTCCTCCAAAGAGTCAATTTGCCACTGCAGCTCATGTTGACCCCTACCCTCCTTCCTGACCAACTCATTTGATTGCTGCTCTGGATCCTGCTCTACGCGGAATCGCATGGATGCGCTGAAGTTCTGGTACCTGGCCCACACCACATGTCCTAACCTACCACAAAAAATCCAATTCTTTCCCAGGTGCTCTGTCTGTTGGATCCTCAGCTTGAGCCATTCTAGCTTTCATGCTACCTCCTCAAACTTGACGCCAAGGGGCAGCGAATGCATTAGATCCCCGAGCGCAGCCTCAGTGCTACAGGCACCACCCGTGACCACCCATGACCACTCGAATCACAAGCATCAGTTAAGTCTGCTCACCGGCTTGCAAATGAGGATCAGCGGCTTCTCTGCATCGGCCTGTCTTTTTTGGCAATGCTTGTACGTAATGTTCAGGGGAGTGTATGAAGCCGGCCCATTCGCCTCCTCCGTAGCTCTTGCCCTCATCTGCTCCTTCCTCTGTTCAACCTCCGCCAGCACCCTGCCAGCAACGCAAGGAGCCTCTTATCATAAAGTCAGCGGCCATCAGCTACCAAAAAGGGGCCTCTTCAGCTGGGCATCCACCTGCTCCTGGTCCTTAGGCCAGGTTGGCACATAGACTTTCAAATCGCTGCCAACTGGTTCAATCCGTGCTGTCCTTCTGCAACACCCGCTGAAGCTCATCAAACAAGCCCCGCGCATCCTGCTCAAAGCCTTCCTGCGCGCACCACCAAACATGTCTGGAAACCCCGGCCGAGAACATAGGAATAGAAAGCACGGAAGGAGGCACTCACTGCTGATCCTGTGCGCAGAAATCAAGGAGGCGTGTCTCTATAACAGATGTGTACCTCAGCTCTCTCACGCAGCCTCTAGCACCCCCAGCAAATTGAAGTTGTTGCAGACTTAGCAACTCTTCGAAGGCCGCATACTGCTCGTGGGTGTGGCCCTGGTTCTGCAGATTTTCTGCCTTCGCAGCAAAGTAATTCCCTTAAGTGGAACGCTGCAGGCTGCTTTAAAGGCGAAATCCTGAGCTCAGTCGATACCTAGACCTAGCCCCTGCCAGCCCCCCAGCACATGTGTTGACTCAGCTGCGCATACCTGTGCTTCATGCATCATGACCTGAAGACCCCAGTGTGCTCGAATGTTAGAAAGCCGGTGGCACCAAAGTCCAGACACCAGCCAATTGAAAGTGTGGCATTGACTGCACCTTGTTTGGCACTAGCTCGCTTTGAAGCCGTGGAAATCTGCTGCCAGCCTCCTGAGCAAACACAGGCATCCAACGGGTGTAAAACCTCGGATGATCATCAGCATGTGCTGTCCTTCGCGAATGTTTTGAAATAGGGTGGATGGGGGTGCTCAGCCTTAAGCCTTAAACCCTAAATCCTCAAATCTAATCCTTAAACCCTGTAATTCCTGAGCCCTAAACCTCAAACCAAAACCCTTCTTTAGCCAGACGGAACGGAGCACATTGAAAAAACATAATATCAAACTTCTGAAGTCTTAAACCCCCACCAACACTCCTACACGCATCTGCCCTGGCCATAACATAATCCAGTGACAATCCCCAATCCCAGCTCCTAGCCACAATCCTTGACTGTATCTATCCTACTGTCCCGGTTGTGACATTGGTGGATGATTCTTGCTGACAGGGTTTGGGGCTGAGCCACTTTATCTTCAACAGCCTTTCTGTAGCCTAGGCACTCATGCAGGTCATCATTCAAGAGCTTCATGGCCTGAGTCAGCTTTGAGATGAAAGAAAGCATTTTTGGCCACTTGAATTACAATACCCCGCATGAGATTTCGGCAAAATGAATGAAGCGATGCGCCAGACCCGTTTCGCCCATCATCAGCTCCTTTTTGACAGTAGTATGGTGCTGTTCAGGAAGTCCAGGAAGCTCCAACAAGTTGCAGGTGGTACATGCATTCTGCATCGCATGCTGGCAAGATGGATTCAACCCAAAAACGTATACGACGTGAAGAACAACTACACGGCATCAGAATTTGGCGTCCTTTTTGCGGCGTTCCATCTCCCTGATGAACTTCTTCTGCTGCACCTTTGCGCGCCTGGCTAGCAGCTTGAGTCTTCCCTTGCACACTGAGACAACAAGAAACATCCAGCCATGGTCTGGAATCAAGACTCCACACTACCAACAGAACTGGCGGTGTTGCATGCTGCTCTCGAAAATGGGCGCTGCTTCAAGAACCGCAGGGCACATCAGGCTGCTGAAGGAGGTGTACTCGGTCATGTGTAAAAGCATCCTCACTTCGCCGACAGCATTGAGAGAGATTGGATCTGGTCAACCTTGCGCTACGCGAATCATATAACAGCCAGGCTTCTCCATCATGTCCTCGACGGTCTGTGGTCTGAACAGCGCTTTCATTAGCTCAACTTCGCCTTCTGAAAGAGGCAATATGGAAGGTGATATGCCAGCGAAATAAAGGCAAGGACAGAGCCTTGTTCCATCGGAGGCGCGTCAGGTCCCAGCTTCAGGCGCCTTTGCTTCTCCATGTGCACCAGGAAAGCCTGAACTGGCAGAACTTCCTGGGGCAAAAGGGGAAGCTGCAGGATCCTCTTCATTGGGATGCTGGGAAGGTGAGCAAACATCACGCAACAGCTCGCCTCCACCTGTTTTTCCGCATGGACCTCCGCAGAAAAAGTACCGTTCTGGACCTCCTAAGATGCCAAATGTCCTTGCCTTGTCTTCTTCAATCGCGCGCTGCAGCTGCTTCAGAAAAGTACCCGCATCACCAGGGCTGTACCTCCCGGGTTGTGAGCTCGGAATGTGTTGGCACTCCAGAAGTGCAGCAGCATCTCCAGCTGCAGCTTCCGGCACCCTTCTTGCAGAGCGAAGTTCGATGCATGCTCTTCAAGTGTTGCCGTGTATTCGAGGTAGGCAGCGTACCTCAGCATCCCACAAAAATCATCTTTGAAGGAAGGCGCTGACCCTTTGGGATTCTCACTGCTCATGTGTCTCACCTTGCTGCAGGAACTCCTTGGCATCCTGGTCGAAAATGGACAGAAACCTGGAAAGTTTACACGGGCGTGGAGGAGCCAACATGCAAACGTCGGACATGCACAAGACAAAGACTTGCCCAAGGTGCTTCTCAAAGAGCGGGTCCATGTCTTCATTCAGCGTCTTGAGTGCCTTACGGCAGAGCAGTAAAAACAACACCCCAGAAGTCACAATCAACGAAGGAACGCGGAACGCTGAGCCCGCCCGCAAAAGCACAGAAGCGGTGCGCAATGAACTCTCTTGCTTCCTGCCAAGGCTGAATCTGTTCGTGATGAAGCATGAACTTTTGCCCTTCCCAAACCAGTCCTCCATCTCTCCGCCCACGTGCCCGGGCAGTGCGAAAAGCATGGCGTCACGCCAAAGGTGGTAAAGCGCGGAAATGTTAAGTCATGCGCTACAGTAGGCCTGCATGATGACTTGTAAGTTGTACTTTGCGCAATCTTTACATGCAGATCTGCCCGCCTTTCACTGCAACGGCAGTCACACGAAGACTGACCGAACATGCCCTGGATCAGATGCATAAGTCTCCTCAGCCGTTCGGCCTTCGGCATCTTGCCCTGGTCTCGAAATGCTATAGCACGAGCTATAAGGACCTGCCAGCCAATGACTCGTGGACATTCGTGGACCATTTCAATAAACCAAGCACGTGACAGGCTGGAGCCTGTGTGTTCGCTGGCTCCAACATGACGGCCGAGTTGAAGTCCTCCACGGCCTTGAGCACGTGCTTGCAATCACGCTCGTGGAATTTCATGTTTTGTAGTGTGTGTTGTAATTCAAAGATTAATGTGCCCTTGTAGGCACGCAGGGCGAACCGAAATACATTCTCTTTCCTACTGGTACAGGCCTGGGTTGCTCGGCTTGATTGAGTAGAAGTTGTCCGAAAGAGGCACTTTCCACCCTTATTCCATGATTGTCCAGCTGTTGGGTCAGGTAGGGCACTCCCGAGTCGTCATTTTCTTTACCGTCCGTCTTCACCGACTTAAGACTTCATGTCACAGCTAGGTTCTTCTACTGTGTAGACTTCAAGCTATGGAACTCTTTTCAACTGCCTGCGCCGCTTGCAGCATGTTCAGGACGTGGGCCACGAAAAGCTTGCCAGGCCCAGCGCCGTGAACAAAACACTGCGGAGCATCTGTGACATGGTTGTGAATGTAGGGACCAGCTTTGTGGTCCGTGCCGTTCCTAACGCTCAGCACCTGCGCTACTGACGTTTCAGGTATGTTGCCCACTGTCAGCACCAAACTCCCAGAATAATCAAGGGTCATGAACTCCGGCTTCTGGAAGAGAGCCTGGCCTAGGCCGCTTGCCATCAGGCTGCACACGACGTCTACAGAATCTGCAAGAAGGGCAGTATAAAGCCGTGGGGCTCGCAACTAGCTGGTCGGTCTCGGACTTGTTTTTGTATAGCTCCACCCACAAATCTACAGCCATCTGCCTGACACAGATGCAGCCCTGTTGCACAAGTAAAGAAAGCTGCTACATTGCGCTCGTTTCCAAAAGTGGCGAGTTGCACATTCGACGCCGTCCCCATGAGAAAGCCACTGTTCAAGTGCTGATATGCGGGCGGAAACGAGCAGAATGAGTCATATCCTGGTGGTAGCTCGTCAAATCTGTCAGGTTGTCAGTAGGTAGCGTACTGCTTCCAACCGAATCATGAGATGAGTCCTGGCAGATCAAGATCTCTGCATCGCCGGCAATCTCCGTATTTCTCCTAGGCAACCCACCAACATGCGGCAGGTTGCTTGTGATGCTTGTGCGTTAAAGTGCTTGAATTGCAGCTTAAGCATCGTACGCCTCTGACATGCCGAGAGAGGTCAGCAGAGTAGCCCTTCGCTCCGTGAAATTTTGATACCTCAGACGATGCCAAACTTGGCACGTGACTCGTCTGCGAAAGGAAGTGTCTCATATTTTCAAACAACGGCTGTCTTCATTTTGACTCGCGGCCAGGCACAGCTTTCACGCCATGGGAAGCAACAGTTTTCAGCCCCCCATACCACTTGCGCACCACTGCTGCCCAGCATCCCTTCAAAGGATGAAAGCAGCCTCAGACCCAGGAGGTCTGTGTGCCATGTCAGGTCAGGATCCAGCATCAGCCACAAATCTAGACTGCCCTCCCAAGGCTGGGGAGGGGATGATGCCTGCACCCCACATTTTGAGTTGGGTTGCTGCTGCTCCCATCTTCCGCTCAGGTGTGGCTACCTCATTGAAACCATGTTAGTTGCAGCAACCGGGTAGCTGATCTTCAGAGCATCCCCCAAACATGGTATCGAAGCCATCCAGAAGAATCACCTAAATCAGCAACAGTGCCCTTCATCACTGATGCTGTGTCCAGCCACTGCCAAGCTTCTATGCGCTGCGGCTGGGCTAAGGAGAACTTCTTGAGAAACTTCTGAAAGAGACGTGGCTTGTCCCACCAAGAGCGCCACTTCGATCCCGCGCCAGCATTTCTCACATGCAAATTGCCAGCTCCCAGCATGCCGAAGACACGCGGCTTGCTGGTGTCGACCTTACATCAACCATCATTAACCACTCATTAGGGCAGGCTTCCTGAATGCCATTAACACGTGTGTTGACAGGCATTCCATGGTCGATGAGCGCGTGTGCTCATTAGCGCTCTTGCAGGCATCTGCCAACTTCACTATAAGGCAAGCCAGTCAAAAGATAAAGGTAAGGTAACGAAGTAGCTCCAGCACACATCAAGGAATTGTGTCAAGAAACCGTGATTATGGTGACGTTTGGCAGGTCTGTCCTGCCAAGGCCCCTTTGAAATCTCCTCTCCCACTGCTCGCCTAAGAAATCCTCCGCAAGCTCGTTTTGTGCCTTCAAGGGGACTGACCCTGCACATCCGACCAGGAACAGAAGCATCGGATCTGCACTCAGCCTGCCCCGTGCCTCGACTTTCTGCAGAAAAGCTCGGAGCTGCCGCTCTTCTTCAGTGGATGTGGCGAGGCCATGAGGGCCATAAGAGTTCCAGACTTGGTAAAGGAGAAGCGTAACCGGCAGCAGGAAGGCCACCAGCAACCAAGCTGGAGCCATTTAAAAATTGGGCCGGGCCATCAGTCCATGCAGGTGCTGCTTCCCGAATCGTCCAATACTTGCTTCGAGCCAACGCCTGCGGAATGTTGGAAGCATCTGCGGTTTTCACTGAGCAACGTTTACGATCTCGAGGGCTAGCTATGTGGAGAATGTAGTGCTTCCATGTGGCAGTGTTGGTTGGACTACAAGCTTCTTGCAGGCCATGGATGTGGTCATGCCTGTGATAAGCGCCCTTGCGAGCGCAGGGCGGAGCCGCGTCCTGCCAGCGCCAAGGCCTTACAGCAGACAGCACTCTGATGGGCAGCAAGATCGGTTTCAGGAGGCCCTTGGCTAGGGCCTCAGGTTTGAAACCGCCAAACCCTTAGCCCTAAGATATCCCAAGATCAACCCACGTAACCGCTGCTGTTTACTTGCCTTTTGTTTCCTTGACATGGTATGAGTTGTGCTTCCTGCTCTTTGCTCCCTTCATCATATGTGCGACTTCACAGGGCGCTTTGTTCGGTTATCCCCACCTCAAAGACGGCCCCATGGCAGAAGAAGTGGCATGTCATGCGTTTGAATACTCCATCCAAACACACCGTAAGTGCTGGGACACAAACACTAGCAGAAGAAGCAGCCAATGGCCAAGGTATTTCCTGAGCTCCTGGCAAAGTGCGGGTCGACTGCCAGCGCGGCATTGAAGTCTGCCACAGCCTGCAACAAAGTCCATGCCGCACATGATTTGGAAAGCTCTGGCAGTTTGCGTCCAAGCCTGGTCCAGGTCGCCAAGCTTCCGGCGCTTCTCTCCACGTCGTTGTAGCACTGATGCCTGCAAAGCTGCCCATTCACACCTTTCAGGAACCCGTAACATCAAAGTCTTTGTCCAAGTTGCACTGCCCAAGTTGAGCTCGAGCGATGCCGAGCATTCCTCCACAAAATGTCGAAGTTCTCACGGTACGGTGAGAAAGGCAGACTTGACCGCCATGGCCGCCTCGATGGACACCAGGAGGTCTCTTCTGCCTCAGCAAAGTCCATAAGCGGATGCGGAGACCGCATCTGGGCTACTGCGTGATAAGCGGATGAGGCTGAACAGGGCAGGTTGCGTTGGGCATCGTCCGTGGCCATGCATCAGAAGGAATGAAATACGAATACCAGCGCAAAGGGTTCAGCCATTTACCTAGAGTGAGTTGGGAGCCAAGCTATGCAGTGCCAGCTTTTCGCTGTGAATAGGCCCGACCGCGATTCAAGACTTGCTTTTGAAGCTGCCAACTGCTCTCACTCATGTTCTCATACCGCATGCTTCAACAACGCGAAACAGTTCTGGAGTCTGCACGCTTGATGTCAGATCGCTGCCAATGAAAAACAGATGAAAGACTGATGAAAGTCGCTATCAGACTCTATCAGCACAGAAGTTGTGCTTAAAAGCTCAAGTCGCACCCTGTGCAGGAGGAAACCACTTCAGCTTTCCTCTTTTTGTCAAACGATATTCGCAGCTCCCGCTCCATGGAGCTGGCCATCCACACCTCCACTGGTAGTCTGGGGGATCTAGATGCCCCATAATTCATGATGCACCCCACCTCCGCGCCGGCCCAGAAGTTGAGGAAACCTGCAGACACAGAGAAGAAGAGGGTCACAGGCTCCCCTAAATCAAGCTCTCTGGCAGCCAAGTTACGGTGGACCCACGGCACCTAAGATTGCTGTAAAGAGGTTGTAGGGAAATCAAATCTTGCATGCCCACCTCGTGGAAAAGACGTGCAAAGTGGACCGCAGAGGCACGCTCCTCGCAGTCCAAGCCTTAGTGATCAGACAATCAGTTGCAGCAGCAGTAGAGGGCTAGCGATCAGTCAGCATGGCAGTGTGAACGATCAAGCATTATGCTTTTCTGACTATGATGGTAATCTCTCCTGCCGCCGCTGCTAGCAGTACTCCGAAACGACCCATGTCGAATTGTGACAAAACTGGTACACTTCGAGGTTATCTTAGTCGCGGGCCCCACACCATTCTTAAGGCTGCTGCGTTCGCTAAGTAAGCTAAGTACATCTTGATGAGGGTCGTTTTCCATGATGTTCCATGGAGTCCATGCCGCCAAGACTCGTTGCCGAAACTCATCGAGGATCTGGGCGTCCAGCGTCAGCCTGAAGTGCCTCCTCAAGCAAACCGAGTAGCCGGTTGCTGCCGAACACAGCCGAGAACTGCGAATTCAGTTTCTGCTGGGATGTTGCCAAGGAACCGTCCATCATCTTCTGTGATTGTCTCCAGGTCCTGCCCAATACTTATCAGATCCCTTGGCACCTGTGCGACAACAATCCACGAAATCCTACTTGGCAGAACTCGCGGTCCCATTCCATTGCCGCTCGGATGTAGCTGGCTATGTCCTCAAGGAAGCTGGGGCATTTCACGCGGACGGCCATAAAGTCCTGCAAGCTGACAGATCTGAAAGTCATGCTAAGAATTTGGAAAATGCAGACATGTGCAGACCTACGCTAGCTAGTCATTTGGCAAAAAAAGTCCAAGAGCCCGGGAAAGACGGCATCCCCTCAGAGCGGTGCATGGACTGGCACGCTCTTTGGAACGAACTTGTTCTACGATGTTTTGTCGGCAGGATCTTCCAGATTGTATTTGAGGCTAGCCACTCCATACAGAGTCTGCTGGCAAACGCCAAAGGAGCTCTGAAGAGGCCCACATGCTGCCAGTTCCGCGGGCTGGCAACCAAACAGCCCAAGGCATGTATGTCCAACGATGTGGCAGCCGATGGTAAATCCAACCTCAGCGTCACTTTCGACCCACGGTGATGGCACCACGTTACGTTGTGAACTATTTTGTGCACTCACAGGTTTCCGCACCAAGCCTCCGCTCACATGTTGCTCTCGAGACAAGGCACGGTTCTCGCTGCCATTCAACAGGTAGACAAAGGCCAGTCCTTCACCCAGGTGGCAGAAATCATCCCCTTTCTCTGCATATCCTTACTTCAGCATAGCATGCGCCAACTAGGAAGGCAAAGTGCCACAGGCCAACGGTATCCAACAGTAACAGGTCAGCAGAAACCCCCCAAAGTAGAGCCTCGGGGCCACGAAGCACCGCACCAGTTACAAGCTCGGCCCAGAGGTGGGCACGCTCGCGCAGGCGGCGAAGCGGGAACAGCTGCAGAGGAAGACCGAGCACTTGGGGATCTGCAACTCCAATGAGATGTTCCTGAACAACCCGATTGGGCTTGCTAAGGCCGGCAATTGTTTTCTATCTGCCTTCCCTAAATCGCCTCACCAAAGGCATCGCACTCCTGAGCCAATTCGGCCGGGTCATGCAAGAAGATGAAGTCTCCTAGCGCACCCAGCCCGTATCATGGCCAGGACAGAAACGGAAATTGTCCTGCATCGACCCAGATCAACTGCTCTGCCCCCTCAGCTTCCGGGAGCACCAGATGCGGGAACATGCGAAGCCAACCTGTGGCAGGAAAGCCCAACGCTCAAGATTATGCACAAGGTGCAAGAAGTGCACGTGGTGCACACGGTGCTTTTCCGAGCCTGCGCTCCCGTAGTGGCTCGTGTACTGCAAGCAGCTCTCCGGGACGAGTGCCCGGATCTCCCGCCACGCCGAAATGAGAGTCTCATATCGATAGAACTGAAAGGAGCCTCGGTGACTCAGAACGAGTCAGATTTGATCACATCAAGTCTTGACGTGACGCATCGTAACGCTCAGTGCCTCGGGAGCGAAGCCACGGCTCCAAGGATGCAAGAGCCGCCTGCATGTCACTCTCGCCGGCATGGTCCACGATGAGGTGGAAGCGCAGTGGGCATGAAGCAAAGAACAATGCAGAGCGGATGCCAGCAAGTGCTTTGCGTCCAAACGCAGGGAAGCCTACAGAAGCCACCTCCAGGGAGGCGATTTGCAAACGCCAACAAAAAAGCTCTCGAACAGTCAGCAATGCCCTCCGCACCATGGCCAAGTGCAGGATCTGCGACGGAATTAGCGGCGAGACTGGCCCAGATGCCCACCGCACATCAGAGCGCTGCTGCACAACATGCCACCACCGCTGGGCAGCTTCGGAATAAAGCCCCCGGGCCTGCAATCGAAACGACCTGGAAAATGACCTCAGCCTAAGGCTCTGCAGGTGCCTTCAGCGCGGTTGGGTGCCATGGCGCAAGAAGTGTCAGCGCTGTCTGCAGCAGAGTGATGCGCCAGTCCTTCAAGCAAGGTCATGGGCACCTTCATTGTGTCGACTGTGTGCCCCGAATTGCATCAGGCCTGACCTGGAGGGCAAACTCCCCTTCATCAGTAAGATCTGACCAGCCCAGCTGGAAAATCATGGCCAAAGGGGAAGACATTGCGACCTCCAGGGCCATACTCTTTGTACTTCACGATGCCGTATTCTGCTGGCATGTCCTGCCTCCGCTGCGTAGAGGAAGAAATCACGTTTACATGAGTCCAGTTCTTCACATCTGGAAGCGCTTGTGGCCTCCGCAATCGAAAGTAACTCCTCCGAAATGTTTTCAATGCCCAGCTCCAGCTCGTCCTAACAACAGTGATGTCTTGGCGCGCGTGCTCAAACACAAGTAGATGACTTCAATTTGCTGGCATCTACGGACCCATTGGTGCTTTGACAAGCTAAGGCCAGTCCCACTCGGTGGTAAATCGCCGTACTCCGTGCCGCAATTCTCCGCAGCAGGCTGCGCGTAACGGCGCGAAGGCGGCAAAAGTGCAGTCTGGAGCAGGATCTGGTTGGCAGCACGAGGCCTTGTCATCTCAACTACATAAAAAACTGCCAAATTGTGTGGCGCTCAACTGTACCCTAGCGCTGCCTCGACATCGCGGGCCGCCTCTAAGCTGGAGTTCCAACAGCTGGGAGTCGGTGCCGCACTGCCTGCGCTGCCTGCACTGCCTGCGCTCTGGGGCACCGCGCGTGCCTCGGCGGCCAGGCCAGCGACCAGCCCCATGGCATCGAGCCGCCCCCATTGAAAGCCTTCCGTATCATTAGGTGATGGCATGTTGGATGTTGCAGCATGCCAATTTCAAGCACTTTCGATGGTTGTTCGGCTCTCTTTGCAATTCATCGCTTCATCTCCAAGCCACTGCAGGATGTTAGAGCTTGTGCCAAGCCGGGCCAAAGCAGCCTTGCGTAAACCAACCCCTACCTGCCCTCACTAGTTGCAGGTAGGTCCACGCAGTCCATGCACTGCCATCTTTGTAACTGCTGCCTGAAAAGCTTCACCTAGTTTCTGATGTCGCGTTGCACTCTAGCAACGTTGATTCGTGAGGCAAAATGATCTCCGGCCTCTGCAAGTTTTGCAGACCACAGTCTCAACGAAAACATAGGAGAACTAGAAGCCACTGAGCTTGGTAGGCAGTCCTACCACTTAATTACTGACTGCTTGCAGAAACCACTTTGCTTAAAGCAAGCTCAAAAGAGCCGGGGGAACGGGCACGTAGCGCCTTGAAACCCTCGCAACGTGTTGAAACTGGAAGTGAGCATCCGACCTCCAGATGGTTGTACATTTGAGATACTGTAGGTTGGTAATGGTGCCATGGGCACGAGCGGCTGTCGAAGTTTGCGCTAATCAACTTTACTCAACACCCACCAGAAAATTGGATGAACTCAGACAGCTGCTTCTGCCCCTTTCCAATGCTCACCTCTAGCTGCTGCATCGCAAGACAGCTTGAACTCCGCCTATTTTAGGCCAAAACACTTATTCAAGTCTGGTTGCCGGTTGCAGCCGATAAAATACAAAGCGACAAACGCACCATCCGCGCTCAACGGTATGATGACTCAAATCACTGACACTGTGCTGCTCAGCCTTGCGCTGACTGGATCAGCTTCGGATAATCATTGCCAGGCACCTACGCGAGCAGGCAGCTGGCCTATGCAGGTGTGCTTTTCGTCATGGCAATTGCCACATCTTCCTGCTCTCACAGATTGCTCGAGCTTCTGCAAGGATCAGGAAACAGCGATCGTTGTCATCAATCGTAAGCACACCACCCCGCTTGGGCAACTCTACCTCACATCACATGTCAGAAGCTATGCTGATCACGGTATCCAAGACCCAAGGCAACGTGTGGAAACATCTCTGCACTATCCTCTAGAAAGCTCGAATAGCGCAGAAAACTCACTAACCCAGGACTTCTCTGCGGACTGCCAACCATTGCAGAGCAGAAAGTCAAGCCACGCATAATGTGCAGAAACTCGATGAAGCCAGCTCCATCATCCGCCAAATAAGACGGCCGCACAACGTGGCCAAAGAACACACGCAGCTGCTCCACTCTGGCATCCTTGTCACGCCATCCCAAATGCACAAGACCGACAACAAAGCGTAGGCTTGTAATAATGGGCTGAAAAGACACACGCCTCAGCCAAACATTAAACCTGAATAGCATAGCTACAAGCTGGCATCTAGATCCAAACGGTATTCATATTGAGAGAACCCACATCACGAAGATCCCTGGGGTGCGTGTACCCGCGTGTGCAACGAGGTGAATAAGCAAATGAGACAAGCCCAAAATACACAACGTGATGTTGCTGGGAAAAATCCGGCGTTGAGGATGACCTGATCTATTGCAGCATTACCAGGAAAAAAAGAAACATGTGGCATTTGCAGGTTTGGAAGCCACTGCGCCTGCCAGCATCGTTTGGAGGACCGTCGTTTCGCAGCTTTTGGGGTGTCCACTGTTGAACAAGTGTTTCTTCTAGGAAACGTGGCAAGCGCGCTGAATCCTTTTCAGACGAGCCGGCGCTATTGCTCCAGAACATACGGACCCTCAAGAGTGTTGAACTCAAAAGCTGAGAGCCCGCCAACGATGCGGGGACTGTACAAAACGTGATTGCCCTTTAAAGCAGCATCGTGACTAGCCAGGCGCGGTCACTGAGCACATGGATCGGCGATGCACATCAAAACTGCCGCAAAAACTTGTTGAAAGGTGCTTTCCCTATGACAACTCTTTGGGATGCCACGCGGGTGACTGGCAGATGTGACTTGACCTAAAACCTCTACAGCAGGGTGGAAATATGGCTCTCGACCCAGGACCCGGCACGGTCAGGATGGAACACACAGGATCAGCTGCCCATGAATGAAGCCATGCTTCGCTAAGCTGGAAGCTGTTCGAAAGCATCTCCCGAATTTGCTCCAGAGTGAGCTTCTGAGTTCCGTCCTGTCCACCCAGACCAGTATGTGATTTATTTGGGGCTTATGTAAGGGTTATATGGGCCATATATATATATATATAAGGTTATGGAGGGGCAGCACAGCCAAGCCTTGTCTGCATTCATGAAGAGCTCCCGAAATTGCGTGGCCTCTGAATGAGAGAAGCCAAGGTCCTCAATGGCTTCCTTTTGAAGCTCGAACCTTCAGAAGCGTCTTTAACTGATTTAGGATTGGTTAACAAGATCTCCTGAATGTTGCAAGCCCTTGCTTCACAGAATGTTCAATCTTCCTCCCTTAGTAGGCTTGCCTTTGGGTTGGCTTCTTGGCAACGCTGAGACTGGGACCCTGCAAGAGAAAGCTCAAGCCAAGCGCCAACTTCTGGAAAAGATTGAGGATGATTTTCCGTTTTTGGCGCAAACCCCAGGATCCGCACATCAACAACTTTGCAAGTCCATCACCCTCTGTACATATGGCAATGATGAGACCCCCTGACATGGAGGTACAATCGAGGCACCTTTGCAATACAACCCGGCTTAGCGTTGCAGCATCGTTCTTGCATGCTTTAACTGGTGTCTCTCCCCTGACTGGCACGCCGGGGAGCTGTACTTCGTTCTCATGGTCGGAAATGTGGCGAACTATCGAAACGAACCTCTCGAAGTCCAGTGATCCGCTTTGTTCCTACACAACTCAAGTATCAGGCTTGTCAATCATCGCTTATCTTCAGCAGTAAGATCTAGTTACGTGCGAGTCCTGGTCTACTTTGTTGAACAGTTCCGTGAGCACAGGTCGGAACTCAATCGTGTGTGCCAACCACGGAAACAGCTGTTCTACTGCTCGGGCCAGCTCACTTCTTGACATCTGCTGATTGCCATCCCTGTCGAAGTTGTTAAAAGTCCGTCTGAGCTCAGCTATCTCAAGGAAGTTGTAGCCCTGCATGGGCCATCTTGCAAGGATCACCACACTTTCTATATATATATTATATATAATATATCCAACATTCCAAGCAAGACGTGCCTGGTGTTGCCGGCTAGTAGCCAGCGACGAAGCTTTGAATCGCTGTACAATGCTCAGGAATTCTGACAGATCCACCCCATCTCGTTCTCCTTCCCACAACGCTAGTACCATGGCGATGGGGTCAGGCCCGGCTTTGCAAGCTGAAAAGAAACTGACAAGTTGTCCTGCAGAGCGCGGGGGTGGGTGCCCATGCTCGTCAAGACAGCCCAAGCTCTCCAGGGCATGACACAGCTCGGATTCATCAAGGAAGCCTGGGAGATATTCTGGTAAACTGCGTATGCCGCGAAAAGACTACCAGCAATTTCAACTTCAAAAAGCCTACGTTGCCAGCGTCATAGTGATGGAAGGTTTCTGTGGCGTTCCTCTGTTCCCGCTCCTGCATCTGGCCAGCTTGAAAATATCACGTCCAGTGCGGATCCAAACCAACACGATGCAAAAATTAGTGACTACACTGCGGCTAGGTGTCTTTGCATTTTCGAGTAACCTTGATGAACATCTTGAAATCCAGCATGTCGCTGCCATCAGAATCAACCTCTGAAGGGGTGAGCTTCGTGGGGTGAAGGCCCAGCAGGTCTCCGGCACACTTCCATCAGATATGCAAGCCGTAAACCAAAACCACAACAACAAACAGGACAGATGTCTTGATACCTGGTGCTCATGAGGACAAGGCAAAGCATATCGTTGCAAAGCCTCGCCAATGAGTTGGAGGGCATATTCCAAGGGCAAGGGATGCCCAAGCCATCGCAAGGCTTTGCAGACGGCTGGCGACCAAATCTTCTCCTACAGAACACAGCCGTTCCAATCCCCAAAACAGTTCCCGACGACTTAACGGTCAGGACCCCTCCTTGCTGTTTGCACTTTGAGCGCTGAAGGCTTTCTTGAGATCGCGCATCTCGGCATCAGTGAAGCCTCTGAATCAAGCCGTAAACACGGGGCGAATCTCCACGCAACAGAATGAAACTGCATCGTTTGCAATTGGGGGACCATCGCAAGATCGCAGGCTACCTTAAAGGACTCACGCGCGACAAAGATCTACACGGCTTCTGTGGCCCCTGTTGAGCTCCAGGCTTAGCAGCTTGCACACCTCGTCCACGCCCAGGCTGAGAGAAAGATGCAAGAAGGCCTTCTTAATCATCAATTGCAATATATTTCAATGTTTTCCGCTTCTGAAACACCACCAAAGGCACCGACCTGGGCAGAAGACATAGCCTCTATGTCACAGTCTGGGTGCAGGCCCATCTGGACCAATGTGTCCAGAACTGCCTCATTGGATCAAACGGCCCGGTGAGATCAGGATCAGCAACTGGAATGCGCCCTGCCTGTGGCGAAGGGGAGTAGCCCAAGGTGTGGATCATGGTGGACAGCTCATCGCCTGCTGTACACAACAACCTACGAAGCATGGACTCACTTCATGCCGACAGACGACATTGTGAGGCTGTGGGGTAACGCCTCATGCTTCACCATTGTCTTACTCTCTGCCGCGCCTGACGTTATGTGTTTGTTGACGGTCTTGCTTGCCAAGAATTTGTCGATCAGCGCTGTCTCCTGCTCATGAACCTTTGCAAGGCGCCGGAAAAACTCCCCCTCGCTGAGTCTTGAACTTGTGCTTGGTTCGTGCTCGGCGAAGTTGCTGGGGAATCCCAGCCAAGCGAGTGCGCTCGAGAACTCATCTTGGCAAATGGTGCCCGTCTTCTCACGGTCAAAGTGCTCAAAGACTTGAGAGAAAAGATCAAGCTCCCCTGCAGCAAAACCTTCGCGCTTCTTGATCAAGTGGCGAATCTTAAGGAAGCCATCGAAATCCACGCAGCCACTGCCATTGCCACTGACTTCGTTCACCAGCTCATCCAGCACAAATCTGCGAACGGGCTGTCCAATTCGGATCAGCAAGCGGTCCAGCTGTCCAGCATCAATCGAGCCCTTGCAGTGCTTGACATTGCCACTAGGTCATATTGGCGCAAGATGTGACTAATCAAAACCGGACATGCTCTGCTTGCTGCCCTGACATGTCCATCAACATGCCTACACGACTGTGCCGTAAAGGTAGGGACAGGACCTAGACTCTTAGACTCCTAGACTCTAGACAGGAAGAACACGTAATTACCTCCAAAGAAGCCCAAGCTTCGGCACTGCTGGTGTCTACCTGGCTGAATTCCGACTTGTAGGTCTCGTGGAGGCCAGCTTCAAACCGGCACACGAACCGCTCAAACTCACCAATGTCAAGAGTATTGTAGATGGTCAGGTCTTTGAGTGCGTCTTTCAAAGCCACCTCTCGCACGTCGCAGAATCCGCCTCATCAGCAGGCGAGAACCCCTGTGAGCGGGCCTGTGCAACAAATGCTTTGCACGCCAGCTCAAATTTCCTTGTTCCGAGTTGCACAGGACTAAAGCCTGTTTTAAGTCATCCACATGGATCTCGCCGTCGCTCGCGAACCTTGCAAAAGCCTCAGTTCGCTATAGCTCTGGCTCACAACAAACCTCAAAGGATCCGACTTAGACTCGCAGCTGCGTCCCATCTTTCGCGCTCCCCCTGGCTGACAGGCCGACCATCAATCATGGAGTGGACGGTGTGGCAGCGAGATCGGCGCGCCTTGAAAGCATCCTAGAACTACTAGCAATCAAAGCGGTAGCAACCCAAAACCCTACACCCGAAACCGCCCAAGTAACAGTATATAGACTCGATGAGCTAACTTGGCGGGTCAACAGGGTCGAGATTCAGGATTTTAGGGTTGAGGGTTCATTTGCAAGATCGCTCAGCTTTTTGGGGAGAGAGTGTTGTCTGCAACGGGAAGGACCCTGTGAGGTTGCCTCGACTTGCGCTGCGGTCGTGCAAAAGACTTGATGTTGTTCCTAGTTGTTCCTAGACCAGGATGTCTTATAGTCCCTACATTTTGCCATCCCACAACATCGCACAACAGTGCTTCCAGGGAATCCTACATGGAGAGCGATCAGCTTTATGTGCTCTCCCCAGGGCATAACACTGACTCTTCTTTCAACTCTGCTTGACTTGAAGAGAATCAAGCTTGACCAAGTTGAGAAGCTGAATGTTACACCTGCTTCCATCAAGGCTAGTCACCTTTCGAGCTGCAGGTGCTTTGATGGCAATATCGTTTTGTATTCCTTCCTGATGTGTCCATCAGCCAGTACTTGAAATCAGAACATCATGCAATGTGGACCTTGCTGATCAATTGATGCAAGCAGCTTCGTCGCACAGCCGCTGCAATGCCACAGCCTTTTGCAGACGCACTCGTAAGTGCTTGCTGCGGAGCCGGATGCCATCTTGCGCATCCTGCACACTGGCTTCGGAGCCGCAAGCAACTAACAGGAGTTGTCCATTCTGACGAAGGCCATTTCTTGGCCGCAAGCATGGCCCCCCAGAGACTAGCCTGCTTTTGCTCCGGCAAGGATGCCTCCACAACCTCCGCGCTCCAATACTAAAACTTTCGCGAGGCTCGACAAAATTGAAAAGCAAAGTGCAGCCGAGTTGCCGGCAGCAGGCACTCCTCCTTGTCACCGTCACTGCTTGGAGTTCTCGCAAAGCTGGAAGGAAACCCACTGTCCATTGAGAGGGCCCGGCCTTTGAGAGGGGCAAGCCTGGCCACCTGGGGGGAGCGTGGCGGTGAGGCAGGCGATGACCTCCAAGACGCCAGTGACACCGCTGATGGTGACTGCGGAGCAGGAGAAGCAGTCGAGGAAGGAGAGCTCACATCTTCGCTTACAGCACGAGCCCAGGTGTGATGGGTAAGATGCTTCGGCTTTGCTTGCAGCACGGATGGCGACGAAGTCGGCGATAAGGCCTGCGGACTGAGCTGGCTCCGCTGCACACGCGTGCCAAGCAGACCCGCTTCGGGCTGCACAGGCTCATCCAAACGTCTTGCTTCCCTGTCTGTGTGCGCGAAGAGTTGACTTACAGTAACAGCCGGCCCCACAGGAAGCCTCAAGCTCTCCGAGCGGAATGACTGGTTTGCCCGAGTCTCTGGGGCAAACTGCCGGCGAAATTGATGCTTCTCTGCGGACTGTGGCTGGGGGTGCAGTGATTTGCCATCCGGTGCTGCCATCGTCATGTTTGCACATCCGTTGGCAGCCACCGCAAGATTTGGCGTGCTTCTGATCTATACAGATAATGCTGGAGAGCCCGAGATGCAGTTTGGCAGCAGACGATTTCAAAACCACGCCATCCTGGCTGAAAACGAAGGTGCCTTGCCGCACAACAGCTGCTACAACCTAGACTTTTTGTTCTGCCCTGCGAAAGCAGCCATTGCCATCTTGTGCTGCAGCAGCTGCTACCGGGCTCTCAGCCACTGTCCTCTGCCTGACAACAGCCATTCTGCATGTCCGGTTAGGTCTTGGGGGGTCGAGATTTCAGTTCATAAGTCCCATGAGCTTTCTGCCATGCACGGAAAGTTCCTCCGTTCACCTGCCACAACCATGTGTCAAGACTTTGCCTTTCCCCTGAAACAGCTGCTAAATCTCAAAGCTCCCAACTCATAAAGCCTGGAAGTTGGCAAAAAGAGCCCGAAGTCTCAAGGGGTCCGATGCGAGTCTTTCCAATACGCATACGCAGTGTGTGACTAGCGAATCTGTACCCTGAGCTTCTCCTCTGATTCTGTCGGGCATTGCGGAAATGGAGGACGAAGCACTCGGTGAATACCCCAGCAAAGCACCTCGTCATCTTCCAAAGCCGCACAGAACTTCCTCCGGCATGGCAGCTACAAACAGAAAGTGGTGCACACTCCAGCACAGCATCGGGCAGCAGAGTATTGGGAGCGCGGCATCTTCTTCTTACTTTGACCTCAGAAAAGAGTGGACATTTTTGGAATGCACTCCGCTGCATTCCTTTTGCTGGGAGACTTTCCAGCAGAGCCCGCTCCGCACGACGCTTTCGACGCAGCTCTTCCTGGAACTGCTCCTGGTGAGCGAAACTTCCCTTGACCCCAATCACAACATTACTTTCGCACGGATTTGCGAACCTCTTTCTCCTGCGCTTCACGTTCCTCTCGTTCCTTGCAGGCAGCTTGAATGCTGAAGCTGCTGAATTGCGCGAGGCGCAAGAGTGCACAATTTGCAGAAGCTTGTTCCACAGTTCCTTCTTCTCGCGCTCCTGTCTTGCCTCAAGCTCTTCCTGCAGGCCCCGCAGAAAAGGATGCCAGCAATCATAGGCTACTTTCATGTGAGTACTTCTCCTAAAGCGGCCTGGGACTCTTTTCTTCGCAGCCGCCCCGCTGCCAACCGCTGGATCGTCTGGCTCAGGGCCACCTGCGTGTGCAAGTCGACAGATCACAGGCCGCCATCCCAAGACAACAACTGTGCCTCAAGGTGCTTGCTCTGCATCTGCGATACCTGAGGCAGCTCCACTCACGAGGAGCTCTGGGGAAGTCGAGCTCGATGCCGCCATGCCGCCTCCACGGCACTGTCTGAAGTCATCTCGGGCTCCGCCTTGGGTAGCTCGCAAATGTTCGGAATCTCCAGGACTCTCATAATCTCGAAAGGGAACATACCGCACACTCCTTTTGTTCGACAGCTCCTTGTTTGCAACCATGCGCTGCAGTGCAGCTGACAATATTGGTTGCTCTGTGGCCCCATGCTCGGCAGGGAAAGCCGGTAAAATGGTAACTGGTAACATGCGCAAATTTCCAACATGCCTTCGTACAACTTCATGGGGTGCATTAAACAGCGTGTAAGGCATGCTGACTTGCGTCAATTGCGGACGCATCTTAACGCGGGGGCATCTTTAATGCAGACACTTCCCAGACCACAAGTCTGGACGCTCGTTTCACAGTTGGAAGAGGTCAGGAAGCGATCTCTCATAGTATGCCCGCCACAAAAAGTTATGACATCAAAGTCTATTGTCCACTGCTTCGCCACTCTGCATTTCCAGCGACGCGGAAATGCTTCCGCCACGCAGGAACATATGCAATGACATGCTTACAACTGCACCATCGCAGGCTACAGTTACAGCGAAGAATCATGAAATGGGCAAGACTGCACCAACTCTTTGAGTGAAAAGGCGTGATTGGCATCCATTGTCAGTAGCTGTAGCCGCTTTGGCGTGTTCGTGCAGGTCCTTGAGCTCGAGAATGCGGAAGTTCAACAGATGCTCATAAAAGCTTCATAAATCTCAGGAACGGCCGACTGGAGTCTTCCACACCACTTCCTGCATTTCCGCTGCGCATGCAACTGGTGGCATGGCCCATTGCCACCAGGCCATCAGGAGGGCCTCTTGAGATGGACCAAAGACATTATCTGCCAGAGCAAGTGTTTTGGTTGTACTTCACATTGAGATTACCTAGGTGTCCGGGCATCATGCAGCGACACAAATCGACTGCCCACATAAGGAAATCGGAAACCTACACTTGCTTCCTTGGGCTGGCACCGGCGCAAACTGGAGCTTGGCTCCAGAAAACGAGTTTCGGCACTAAGGGAAGAAGTTCTCAACTCCAAAACTCCCAATTTAGAAGCAATCATTTGATGTCACATCAAGCGACAGCGCGTGGCAAGAACGACTTTCACTGCCGTCTTCATGTCAGACATATACTTCCATTATCTGCATGTCAGACACATGCAGCCGAAGACCCTTGCACTTCGACGTACGGTCGTCTGACTTTAATCAATAGGTGCTGCTCTGCCAACTCCTGGAGGCCACAAATCAACTGGCCAAATGCTCTCATGCAATGGATGTACGCAATGTGTCGGCACCCTAAATGTTCACAAGAATTTTGGAAAGACAGAGCCTAGGCTGCAGCGCGTCGCTCCGGGCGGCCTGGCGCCTCAAACCCAACAAATCGCAAACTTGGCAAGCAACCTGTTAACGGCTCGCAGCCCTCTGCATGTCTGCTTGTGTCCATGAAGTGCCACTGAGGCCAGCACACCTGACAGCGGTGAATTCACAGAAATGCGTGCCTCCATCCAGTCGATCTTCTCAGACCTCAAGGCATGACCCATGTGAAAACCTACCCTGAAGCGTCTTTTGCCCGCGGTAAACATGAATTCCGTGATCAAGCAACCCCGTCCCTTGTTGAAACCCTTTCAGCGTGCATGGCGCGCACCCTGTTGTCCTCTTGTCAGGCTTGTCCTAAGCTGCAGCAGCTGGCTGAGGCCAGGAATGAAGTGGCAGGCTGCCGCTAGGCTCATTTTGAGCAAGACTCTGCTTTGTCCTTATTCATCGGTTTGTCCTTGTCGGTCTTTGAGCTCTTTGGACTGGTCCCAAGTGTTGGCTTCTCTTGCCAGGAGTTCCGACGCTTGTCTAGGAGGTCCTGAGAGTCGGGAACATCTGGCAGCTGAACCATCTAGACAGCTAAGCTGCTAATTGTCCTTGAGCAAGCAACGTGTTCGTGGGCTTTGCTTGCTGTCATTGGCGAAAAGGTCCACCTGCCAGGAAGTCGATCCCCGCCTGGGTGTCTCCACTTGCCAGCTTGTTAAACAGCTTAAAGAAGTGTAGCAGGAGATGGAGATGGTGGGTGGGTGCGGTTTAGCACCTCCTGCCTGTTTGAATACTTCCTGCAGCCGCGCGTAGCCTGACCACTGCGGCTTGTCGAAGGTGCTGCCCAGAGTTTCCAGAAAGGCACAGAGCGTTTCCAGGGCCTGACACTGAGCTGGGTCCCTTTGTTTGGTGCCTCCGGTCCCAGAGCTACGCATGCTACGCCATCTCGGCACGCATTTTCCTGGCGAGTCTGCCTGAGTCGCTTCCGCGGCAGTTTTGCTAAAACTACTTTCCTCAGCACAGAGCACGTCTCATTCTCTGTAACTCTATGCTGCTTGGCATCCTATCCGCTGCTCCGTGCAAGAGGAAACAGCTAGAAATGCTCTTTTCGCTCATGCTTCGCAAAGCAGGAAGATTAACGTCTCCAGCTCGCAGCTTGCGACCAGTGCTAGACACCCACAGCCTAACTACAGCCGAGGCAGCTGGCTCCATCAGAAGCCTTCCATCACAAGCTCTGTCATTGCAGAAATTGAGGGGTAGTCGAAGACCAAGGTAACCGGCAAATTCACGCCCACAAGATCCTTCATGAGCTCATCTCGCAGCCTCAGTGAGCTTGCAATGCCATGCGACCCGGCTTTAGATCCAGAATCCAGCCCTTCCCGTTGAGGAGGAAGCGTAACAGCTGAAGTGCTGGTAAGCCCAGCTTCCATCAAAGGAGTGTCGGCCTCAGCAAGAGCTTTTTTTTGTGTTTGTGCATGATGGACAAAGCGCATGACAGGCACCTCTATGTCACCGTCATCCGCCCCGGTCATGCTCAAAGCCACATCCAAGATCTTCTTCTTGATGACGTCAGGACTGAGGGACTTCACGTCCATTGCCGGGCCCCTGTCACGAGTCCTGTGAGCAGTGCCAACCCTCACCAATGTGCCAAAGGCCCCCCACATTTCAAAACAGACCTCTGGTCTGTACATCTAATTCATTTAGTCTGTTGGGGAGTTCAACGGGGTTGCTCCTGCCCCACAACCGCTAATTCTGGTTGTTGCCAACAGGAATTCTACTCATATTCCGGAACCTTTGCAAAGTTCCTATATTCAGCACCTGTAGCTCAAGCATGTTCATTTGAGCCCCTCATCACGCTTTTCACGCAAAAGCAGCCAAAGACCAAGCATTCCGCCGCCATTGTGTCAACATTTCAGACAATATGAACCGAAACGTAGTTTCTGGCATCAATGCAGGTGCTTACACTGCCCGGCGGATGGACGCACCAGCTTGCCATTTGCCGCTTAGGTTTTTGCTACAGCTTCTTGTGTGACAATTCCCCAACTTGGAAGGCTCGAAAGTTGGACACCGTTTCACAGAATAGGCCTAGGGGACAGCTCACTTTTGCCCTGGCCTTGCAACCTTTCCTTCGCCAGCGGATTCCTCTTCTTCCGCATACTGCTGCATCATCTGAGGTGGAAGTGCACCTGGTGGATATCCAGGGACCACCTGAGGCCGTGCTGGCGCCAGGTGCGGCTTCAGGGCCTCAAGAATGTTCTGCGCGGCTGCTAAGCCTCCCAGGTTTCAAATTTAGCGCTGCCATGTCATGAAAGCAAAACTGCACAGTGCCTTTATCATCAACCACATCCTGAGTGATGTCTCGGTTGCTGACATAACAATCCTCACACTTGACTGCTCCAAGGCGCTGCTGAGTTGAAGCATGCCACAGCCTGCAGCAAGATTGCATGATGCAAAGTGCAGTCATGCCGTTGCCGTCTGCACTGCACGTCTTGCAAGACTTGCCTCCAGTGCATATCTCTGGCTCTCCTTGTAGTGCTCCAGAGCTCGCTCTGCGTCCGCGCAGAGTAGGCACGCTGATGCCTGGGTGCCAATGCAAGACATCTCCTCATCATCAAAAGCACTGCTTCGCAACCCCACCTGATTGCGCTTGTGACCTGTCTTCACGAAGACCTGAACTGCCTCCTGGCCGATGGACAGGGCCTCCTTGTACTTGCTACGAAGCATGTGCACCTCAGCAAGGACAGGTTTCCGGAATTTTCCCGGAGAAGTTGTTATTTCGTGATGGCGAGTCGGGAGCCTGCGACAACGAGCAAAGCGAGGAGCCCAGGATCTCCGAGGTGCCTTGCTCCGAGGCCTAGGCCACAGCTAAGTCAAGCTCAGACCAAAGCTGACCGAAATTCCATCAAGCAACATTGTCGGAGCAAAGCTTGACAGCCATCTTTGCGCATTTCTCCGCCTTGTCCAAGGCATCCCTGCACAAAGCTGGAAGACTCGGGTGCTAGTTTGCCCGAAATGCGGTAGCCATAGACCAGAACAGGTTGTTGCTTGGGCAGGATCAGGTCCCCCACACTACAGGACGCTATACCCCCTCACAGTCCTCCAGGCCTTGCATGCCTCTTCAGCGGCTTATCTAGTCCGACTCTGGCCCCCTCGATGACTGCAAGCTGCACTGCTTCCTGAATTCAATGGGGCGTGCAAGGAAGAAGTAGGATTGAGAGAAAGCCAAAATCATGGCACGCCCTCCGTCCTGAGCCACCAAGAACAGCATGGAAGCCTCATCAGCAGCACCCTCTTCGCCACGCAGGAGGGCTCTGGAACGCTCGCCGGCCCTGCCAAACAGCAAACTCATCACGATCTCTCCGTAAAAATGAACCACGGAGAGAAGCTACAACATTGTGTTCCCGCACCTAATGGCGGCTTTGTGCTGCTCCTGCTTCGCGTAGATCTCGGCTAGCAATCGCAGTGCCTTGCCTTCGCCCGTGGCATTGCCCTCCTAGTCCAAACACCATGTCGCGCCATGCAGCGCTCAGGTGCACGAATCACTCCCCCTTACTTGCGAACGCATGCAGCTCCTCGCTGAGTATCATCTGCGCCTTGGCAGCTAGAGATCGAGCCTCATCGAGATCGCCCTGCAAGACGAGCAGAGAGCCGGCCGCCAGCAAACAGTCAGCCTCTCCTTCCACGTCGCCTTGCGTAAAGCCACATTACGCACCCGCGCCAATCATCATGTGAGAATGCTCGTCCGGCCTTTTTGCGTGAAGTGATCTTGCATGTCACGACATACCGCCAAAGCTTCTTCATGCTCTTTCTTCTCCAGGTAGGCCTGCACTTAGCTTGTAAAGAACAATGAAGTGTTCTGCTACAACAGTGGGCGCCACCATTTTTACTTAGGAGTCGCCTGTGAGATAGTGAGCATGAGGTCTGACTTTTGTTTTGTCGAGCCAGACCGCCGCACCAAATCAAGAACTGCATGGCCTGCGAGCATGTGATGGTTGCAGAGGGTTGAGGTTCTATTGCAAAATGGATCTCTAGACATGGACTGCCTCGTTCCCGCTCCCTATGCAACATGTGCCTTCTTTGAGTGCCTCATCCGCTGCTCCCAACTTGAGGTACAAGCCAGCTATCAGGGCAGAGACGTTGGCCTCTGCAACCTCACATGTGCAGTCAGCCCGCATGCCACACACATAGCGGAAGGAAGTCGAGCGGCCTCATCTCCTATTGCCTTGAAGGCAGCTCGAGCCCGCTCTGCCGTTTCAAGCGCGCGCTCGAACTCACCCTTCTCGCAATGTGATCTGAGCAGCATGTCCATGGCTGCGGCCTGGTTACAACAAAGCGTCTCAAGCAAAAAGACCCCGTGGCGCTCCGCCGCTCAGCGTGCTTACTGCCGGCCGGCGCCTCCGCCGAGCGGTTGTCAGTCTGCTGGAATCGCTTCAGCGACTCATGCACCGCATCTGTGCCGGTCTTGTCTCCCTTGCCCTGATGGGCCTGGGACAAAATCTGCAGTGCGCGCAGCTCCTGCGAGGCGCTCGGCTTGGGAGCAGCCCGCAGAATTTCCAGCGCATCCTGGAACACAAGCACACCGGGAGTGCTACGTCGAAAATGGAGCATGGCACGCGCAGTGTCCTCGGCATGTTCGATGGCCAGCTGCCATCGAGAGTAGTTCATGAACCACTGGGCCATGCAGCAAAGCTCAAAGGCTTCAGCATACGGATCTTTCAAATCCAGGTATAGGTCCAGCGCATCCTCTGCAGCCTGTATGCACTCATTGTGCCTCAGATGTGTTGAAAAATGCACAGCATGGCCCAACATCAGAGGAGATACACGGCCATCCAATTTCCGACCTTGGAAACATACCTGGACCACCTGGTTCAGAACTCTTCTAAGCCAACCTGGATCGGCCCAGGAACTGCTCGATGATGTCGTGCGCCGACGCATATGCATGGAGGCACGTGGCCTCTGTCCGGGTGTCCCCAAGATCGTTACAGATCTTGCGGGCATTCTCTGCCAGCCTCGCCCAGCTCAACAGGCTTAACATACCCCACCACGACACTCAAAACAAGCCGGGGGCAGCTTTCCCCGAAACAAACTCCAGTTGGACGGCTGGCAAGCTACATCCTCTTCCTTCAACCTGAAACCTCCCTGCTGGGAAACGGATATGGGCTTTGCCTAGCATGCCAAGGGACTTCAATGCCTCTGCTGCTCGCTTCTCCTTTTCTTGATTTTTGCTCTTGATGCAGATGTGCGATTGCACTAGCAGCGCTGCTGCTCGCATGCGGTCATCCCCAAGCTTCTCAAACATCTCCCGCGCGTCTTTCGCGGCAACCCGTGCCTGCAGGTTTAGGATGGTTTAGGCCAGCATCTCCAGAATTACTGACCCTTGCCAGCCCACTTCTGCTGTCCCACCACAGCTTTGTTTGTCTTTGCCCGTCCTCCTCGCGTTTCTTACTGCCACGCTGGTCCGCATTGACCTCGGCCAATGCCAGCAGCATCTTGGCTTCGCTCGGCCCGTCTGCAGCAGCCCGCACCTCCGCGAGCCTGAGACCACAACGTTTTCTCTACAGGTGCTGTGTCATGCGCCTGTCCCTTTCAGCATGAATAAACATGAACACTCTGCCGAAGTCTAGAAAGCCCATCAACTCCGCAACATGTTTCGTGATGACATTCGCTTCTGCAACTGTAGACAAGTTTGGATCCGGCAGCCGGTCGCGGACAAGCTTGTCGGCATCCTTCCTCTTATTGACGCTGGTGAGGGCCCGTGTGACCAGCAGCAAGCTGTCAGCATTGCCTGCAAACACTGAGAATCGAAACCACATACCTCTCTCACACAAATCTCTGATTCACACTTGCAAAGCCGGTCCTTCTGGACATTGGGCTGCTCGAAAGGCTTCACCCGCCTGATTTCCTGATCGGATGGCTGTATCTGGGTCGTCCTGCAAAATTGATGTCTGCCGTGAAGGCTGAGCATACCCTGCATACCTGTCCCTTCACGAGCGGCTGCATGATTACTTTAGAAATTTGCATCCGTGCAGTTTGAAAAGTAATTGAGGTCCAAGCTGCCTCGTTGAGAGACTGCACTCCATCTGCCAGTTCTTTCCAAGCGTCTCTTAGCTTGGATGTTAAGCTTTCATCTGCTGCTTTCTTGGAGTAGATCTCGGCTTGGTCCAGACCGTGATACAAGTCGGGAGCCATAGCCACCACACACCTCAAATCAGGCAGCTGTTCAATTAACACGGAACACAAGCAATCACAAGCATTGGAAGCTGGCTTTTGAGTTTCAAGCGCGCTCTTGCGTGCCCCGGCGGTCAGCTGCTCACAACATCTGACTCTACATGTGTCTTGGGCCACCGCAGCTGCTGCTCATCAATACCAAAGCTTATACTCTTGAGTTGACGACCAAAGTTCTAGCTCAACATTGTCCTTCTCTAAAACTTAGAGGATCCAGATGAACAGTAATCAAGCTGCTGAACATGCTGGGAGAGACCCTGCCGCAGCCTCTGCAGAGCCAATTGAAATCAATTCCTCTATGCAATGGAAGATGATCTTTGCCGCCAACATCCTGCGAAGAGATGGTCGAAGACTGCTGAGAACAAAGCCACGTAGGCACAAGCCACCTCAAACGCAACAGATGGCCGATGAGCTTGACATTGCCCAGCATCTTCCTCGCACATAACTCGAAAAGAAGCCATCTGACAGCCCAGCAGGCTTAACGGCATCACAGCATCGTCTTATACTTCACCAGCATCTCATACTGCTCTTCGTAATCCAGGCCTCAACAAGTGGAGGAGGCCGCAACCAAATAGGTGGGAAGAGAGCGGTTGTGTCTACGCCGGAGCACGAACAGGACATTCTGACGGATCTGAGAGCAAAACATGAATCGATCTGTGGCGGTGCCAGGTGAACAGTGAAGGACTCCTACAAATAGTGCGGGTACATCCAGCAGTCACGATCTGTGCTCAGGAGCCTGGCATTGCTCCAACAGGGCCCTGCGAAAGTTGACCTCAATCCCTCTCTGCTTCAGGTCCTCAGCGGGCACACACATCCACCGTCCGTCAGGAAGAAGGAGGTTTTGCAGACTTAGAACTTAGAAGGCATCTACAGCCTTCTCTGCTCCCAAGCGTCTGCATCAAGCCGGGCACACAACCCAGCATAGAGCTCTATGAAATTGTGCTGTAAGGTAGCCTGCATGACGTCAGCTCGTGACATGTTCACCAAGTCCAAAAACACTATATCTGATTTTGATGGTGACCGCCCAGCCTTCTTAAAGACGTCTCGTGCAATGACCTCTCGGAATCTCTGCTCAACAAGCTCTATCCAGTCAACATGCAGCTATGCGCGCTTTTAAACCTGCCTCGACGGTCTCACGTCTTGTCTCTGGATCCTCAACTATGCAATGAGTGATCAAGTCTTCGTAGAGCTTGTCAAACTTGTCCCATGTAAGCCTCGGGTCGCATGGCATGGCACTCTTCCAAACCCCGAGCCAGCGGCGAGCCAGCGGCGAGCCAGCGGAGCCCTCCCTTTTTGCAACTTCTTAAAGTCCTGAACAAACCCGTGTTTACGTGTTTGCCAGGGAGCTTGTTCAAGATTGACTTGACCTTTGCAAAGCAGCTGCACTGGAAGTCGGAAGCTGCTCTGAAATTTTGCCCTTGATTACCTTGATTTCGAACTCCCCCGGTGCCTGGCGCTCCACCTTCTGCATCTCGGTCAAATCCCTGCCTTGGGTGCTGAGTGGCGACGGAGGCACATTGGAAACCGTCTTCCTTAGCCACGTTTGGGAGATGCACAGGCTCGGAGCTTGGAAGCACCATCCATGACAATACCATGATAATGCCAGACAAATTGTGACCAGTAGTGGCATGCAGCAGTTTCTTGAATCGTTCCCAACTGGCTTTCGCGTCGCAAAACAAAGCTTTGGAGAGAAAAATGTTGTGGGCAAGCTTCGGCTGCGGAATCGGTGCTGAAAGCGTCCGCGATGGTCGCGAACTCATGCTGCGCCAGTTGGCCTCATCGGAGCGCGCCTTGCAAGGTAAGGTCTTTGGGTGCAACGCTCTTCGCAGCCCCAAAGCCGACGTGCCTTTGGCCCCTTCTGCTCCTTCTCCGGCTCTTTGCACAGCCCGCCTTGCAAACAACTGTATCTCTCTCTGGCCCTGGGCCCTGAGCTCATCACACACAACAGATGCATGACATGCATGCTTGTCTGCATTGCCCAGATACCAGCACTAAGCGCCGTGTCTGAACGTTTTAGCTTCTGTGAAGCAGAAGCTGGCAGCGACTGCGAACGCTTCAGATCCACATCTTCCGCATCCTTCTCACCTGCAAACCCATGACTCAGAACTGGCCAACTCGCAGGAAGCATCATTCAATCTAGGGCCCTTAAAGCTTGGCTCCTGGCCATCCGATGGTGAGGATCTTCCCTCGGTGCGTGAGCACATCATCTCCCAGGAACTCGTACTAGGCATTGAACCCATGGCCAAACCAAAAGCTGAACAATCCTGAACAAACAAAGAAATCTGGTGGAGTTGATCCGAGCATCTGGAGATGAGCAGGTGGTCGTTCTTGGCAACACTAAGTCCTCCCAGAATCTTCAGATCACATGTCTTTCCGCTTATCAAAGCTTGTCCAGTCCTCACGGGATATCGGCTTCTCGTTCTTGTCCTGTCAGGATCCACAAAAAACACTGAAGAGCTCAGGTCCGGATAGCAGCTTAGGCACTGCCGAAGCCTGCTTAGAACTGTCTACATGCTGTCAGACTCTGGGAAGGCTCAGAAGCGACTAGAGCCACCTTTTATCTCAGAATCTTGTTTTTGCTACCCATGCATGCCGGCCCGTACAGCAAGAGCTCTGACAAGCAAGGCAGCCGCCGCGGCCTTCCTGCTTTCGATCATCATGCCTACCAGGGCAAACCTGAGTCTAACAGTTCGCAAGCGACCCCACGCTGCTTTTCAAGCTGCCACACGCATGCCACATTGCTATCAATTTCTATTTTCCAACTGTTGCAGCTGGGGTACATTGAGCCAGCCAGTGTGGCGGCAATGCATTTCAGAAGCCTTGCCAAAGGTTTTACGCGTTTCTTTGTGTACTGTCTCGGTTGTGTCCTACATCTTCTCTCAAAGCCAAGCTGCGAGGAGTGCACGGAGAACCCAGGCGGCAGCATTGATTCCATCCAATCTGATTCGGAACGATGCCCTGAGAATTTTGATCCAAGCATTGACGCTTCAGATGCAGGACATGCAACAAGCTGCATGGATCTGTGTGCCTGCGCATGCCTCTGCCGCACCAGTCGCTGAACAGTCTGCTTGGCAGATTGCCTGTGGATAATAATCGGAAAAGAAATGCGCAGGCCAACGCAGGCAGCTGAAGGCGAATGCAGGGATGCAGGCAGCAGTACTCATGGCTATTTGTCCCAGGGGCAGCCAGCGCCACCAACGTCGCCAGCATGCCAAGCCCTGGGCTGTGCGTGCCTTGCATGCCAGCCTGGGAGTCCATGCCAAATAGAAACATGGCACCATATGCTGAGATATGCCCGCGGCTTCTACAGCTTGCACCAATGTAGTTGCAAAACACCCTGCATCGGGTACAAGCGAATGCCGTAAACAGGTCCAGGTGGCACCTGGGCAATCGGTTGTTCAAGTGGACCGCGACCGTTGACGGGGCGGTCCCACATCTTGAGCCACAAGCAATCCCGCGCAAAGGCAAGTCTGCAAAACCAGTCGTAGCAAAGCGTCACTCCTAAACCCTACCCACTATTTACCATACAACCTGCATAACATATCAGGAATGACTCGTGTACCCCTCTTCGTTGCCCCCAGCTTGGAAACAAAAACCAAACCCCACCAATGCAAGCCTCTCCTTCCACAGCTACCGCTGCACAGCACCATGACTCAAGGTGTCATGAATCAAAGCTGCTTCCAAGAAGCGCTTGCTGCTGAAGGGTCCTGCACACAGCGCATCATCGTCAAACAATGACATGTGGTGCTGGCAAAGTCTTCATGATTAATGCTTAGCCCCGGGATTTTTTGGCACGCAGAGAAACAAGTCCAGGAACTAGCTACTGCGCGTGCAAACATTGTTGCAGCTTCGGGGCATGTGAGCTCGCAGTGCTAAGTTGTACATTTCGCACTACACGCCACGTTTCACAGGAAAAATGTCGAGCATCCAGGTTAAAAGAACATTTGAACTATCCATCCGGATGTGTAGGCCTTGCATGAGCTGGCAACACTTTGAGCAAGCACCGCTGAAATCTTCCGGAATGGGTCCCACGAGATTACTTCTGCAGGACCATGGTGTTGAAGCGATCCACTTCGTTGGCGGAGCCAATGGCCAAGGCAGTGCGCTGGTCCACGGCGGTGATCTTCGTGTCCAGCACCGAGTTTCCGGAGACACCATCTGAGGTCTTCCCACCAGACATCTCAACCAGGCGGCCAAAGGGTGCTGCTTCGAAGGCCAAGCGAAGCTTGGCTGGAGATGCCTTGGAGGTTGGGTTTGTGAAAACACCCTGACCCTTTGTGAACTGCTGGCACACATCCGGTACCAGACCGCCAGTATACCGCAGCGTAAACTTGTTGGTCATGTAGTGCTGGATCAAGTTGTTGTACCCGTCGACCTCCTGGGCCGCTCTCATGTTGGCGGGGGCGAAAATCTTGCAATCTGACTTGATTTGGATCTTGTCGCGAGAACAGATCCACTGATTACTGTCACCCAGCGTGAACTCGTACACACCATCATCCAAAGTGAGGAAGACAGTCGTGCGCGGCCCATAAAGTGCCACAAGGCTCATCACTTGGTCCCTACCAGTTGCACCAATCAAGCCAGTGGATTTGTCCCAGACTCCCACAATTGTGCCCACGGCCCAGTTGTTGTCCACGATGGAGCTGCCGTCAAGAGGATCCCAGCACAAAACGTACTGGCCATCGTTGTTCGTCTGCACAATTTCTGGCTCCTCTTCTGACGAGGCTTCATACACAAACTTGGAGGTTTTGGCGAGATCCCAGAGCAAGTTGTCGGCAATGACATCAACAGTGAGTTGTCTATCTCCGAAAGCGTTCGAGGCATCATTGACGGTGACAAGGTTCCTGGGTCAAGCCGCTCTGATCCTACTGGACACACTCGCAAGTGAAACGGAACATTGCCATTCACTGCCCCTTCTCTAAACATGTGACCACATTTTGCATAAATGTAAGGCAAGCTTCACACGCAAAGCCTCGGTGATTTTCACGCAAGCATCAAGCAACTCGTTCACCATGCCTTTCAACTTGTCATCCTTCAGCTTCAAGGTGAGTACCTCGTCCAAAGTGTCATATTTATCCTTTGCAACTGCATCCGTGTAGAAAGACGTGTGTGACGCTCCGTAAGCTTCATCTGCCCTGCGCTGCACTTTTGCTCTTGAGGCCCTCCGTGAGGCAAGCGCCCCTGCAACGCACAGCGCTCCTGCCACCGGTACAACGGCCGTGCCCATGCTGCTGCTCTGAGCGCTGCGTGCTGGCGCTGCCAGGTTCAAGCGGGACTCCGGAACAGCATTCTGCACTGAAGGGGCAATGAAGGCAAGCGGGGAGAAGGCAGCTGCACCAACCAGCAGAGAGGATCGCGACATGGAGCCAAAGCGGGCACAGAAGAAGGCTAGGGGAGCGTGACTGCTGCTAGCAACGCAGCTGGGCCGTGAGAGGGGCTGCAAAAGCAACCTTGGCTCTTAATGTACCATTTCCCTGATAATCCAGATGACTTAGGGGAACATGTCTTCCAAGAGCAGGGAACCTCAAAACGCACGAGGACAGCAGTCATGTTGTCACAGCCGAGGCCTCAGGCTTCAACAAATGCTGCTTAGAAGAAGTCGCATTTGGCTAATTGCCAGTTTATCTGAAGCTTGTGGCCCCCTCTTTGTGCAGGTGTGCTGGCACAGCACATGTCCAAGAGCCTCCGCCAACAAAACTTGCAGGGCCTCGTACTCTCTGCTAGTCCTGCCCTTGCTGAGACACCCGCTCGCCCAGCGCCTTCTGAAGACCTTTCTTGGATCCTGCCCAGTAACATGACATTCCGAACGAGTTCATCGCTTCACTCCAATTCTTAGCCTGCAAGTTTCCAGCTAAGGCAAAGATGCAGAGAATAACAAACTGCAATTCCTGGAGGAGGCAATCGGGCACGTACAAAGTTCACAGCTTGCTGGTTTGTCATGCACTCCCAGACCTCGTTGCAAGGAACTGCGCCAATTTGGCACAAAAAAAAAAAAAATNNAAAAAAAAAAAAAAAAAAGATGCTAAGCTCTTGCTGAAACTGGTGTTCAACCCTAACTTCACGGTGACCATAGACGTTGCTGCATCACACTGACGTCTCGGGCATGTCTGGGCAACCGACCCCATCACTGGCGAGAAGAACAAACTCATCAACGCCCTGCTGCCATTGAAGACGACTTGTATCCGGGATGGCAGACACCAGCCTCAACTTTCGTGCGCTTGTACATCGATGGGTTTTCTGCACTTGATAGACTTGCCGACAACAACATCCACGGTTTGAAGCCAAGTTTCTGCTCAGCTGGTTTCAACTTTGGATCACTCTTGTAGCGAAGATCGCCTCAAATGAGTACACTGGCAATGCATCAGTCGTCTGCGCAGGTTGCTTTGCCAGGCAGCTTGCTTCACAGTCCTTGAAACACTTTGGCAACATGTTGCAGCTGAGCGGCCCAAAGCGCGTGAGAGGTTGAGGCCCCTGCAGCGAGGTGACCCACTCTTGTGCATGCTGGCTCGGCAAAAAGCTTAGGCTCCAACCCATTCACACGGTATTCCTTCCCACTTCCCATGGCTGTTGCGCCCTCCTGAATTAACAGCTTGCCCATCTGTGAACGGGTGCCTGATTTGGGACTTGCAGTCCTGGACAAATCCACCGGCTGCTTCAATTCTTGCCGTCTCCTCCGGTAACTCAGGCCTCAGAGAGCGGAAACGGCATTCCATCGAAGTAATTTGTCTGCATGGCTCATTGGTGCCCAGCTTGTGGTCCGCTGTCAATGCCACCTGTTGGAAATCACACGTTGCTACCCTCACCAGCTGTGGGTGCCTGTGTCTGCACTGCAAACTCCCAAGGCATGGCTGTGGCTGCTTACACTTTGAAAATTTGTACCTCTCCCTTTGGTGGGGGTTATCATGGCAGAGATCTGCAGGGACGTTCGGGGCATGCAATTTATTCGGATTTCCGGGTGAGGCTTACGGTGACCAGAATGGACCACAGAAGCATTAAGGTCGCGAAACGATGCCATCACATGTTATGTTGTTGAACAGTATTGGCTCCCACGCACACTTAGTGGCACATGCAGCAACACGAGGCAATTCATTCAACATGCTATCTTCATGCCAGCAAGCCACAGCAGCACCCTGGCGGCAAAGAACTGCACGCGAATCCCCCACGTGGGAGAGGATCATCTCATTTCCCTGTTCGGAACAGCAAACGATGCAAAGCCCAAATCGCGGAGTCAGGCATGACACGCATGCCTGCCTGAATGAAGCAACATACTGCCTGGCAAAGTTGATGTGGCAAGTGACCGGCGGCAACGACACCCTGCTCACTCACCACATGTTTCTGTGCGAGGTGCGGTGGTGCCACAAGTCTCCGCAGAATCTTGTGGTTCATTGCCTGACGTTGCTGTTCCACTGTCACTGAATCTGGGCATGCAATGCAGCCACGGCCTGGCAACGTAAGCTCCCGCAATTCGTTTCCAACAGATGATTGCCGAAGCATATCATCCAAACGCAAGAATGCCTGGTCACAGGATGGCAATCACACCCGGCACTCGTAGCTGCATTGATCGCGCCCGCACCTCTCGCAGGGCGACCTCAGCGTCTTGACCAGGAAGCTCTGCTAAGACTTGTGGTAGGCGGCGCCTCAGGGCTGGTACTAGGCCAATGCCGGCCAACAGCATTCGGGACGAAACATGTCAGCAGGAAACAAATGGGACAACGACACCGCAAAGCGAGCAACCTGGCCGAAACAAATCGTTGCAGTAGCACGAATGACTTGCGGAAAGGAATCCATTCGGCAGCCTGCTCCCCCCCGTGACCGTCGAAGACACCAAATAGGGCCCAATCGCGCCTTGGCAAGATGCAAGTGCATTACGAAATCAATGGTAATTTGGCAGAAAAAGGCCCAGGCCAATCGCCAGACAAGTACCCGTTGGGCAACATGAGGGACGTGTCCTACGTGGGCGTGCAAAGCGCAAAAAAATCCTTTCTGCATGTGGATACCCAGCCATTGCCTCCATATTCTGCCTCCAGCCACGCATGCCACAACACGCCCATGCCATACCTTGCCATGCCGAAGTGACATCACATGGCAAGCTATTGTTGCTTAGCATATCACCGGAAATCGTTGTTTTTAGGATTGGCCTGCGCCACGTGCCTCTTCGCCCACCTGCTTCGGAGCTCAACAACAAGCTACAAGTCCAGACCACAACACACCGCTGATAACATCACTGTAAAATTTGCAGCCTACATGCAACTACTCTGTGTTCATATTACTGTTGACTACCGTATTTGTTGTTTTGCAATGACACTGCGTACCCATCACTATTTACAACATGTGGAGTTAGTGTGAAAGCCTGGATGCAACACGTGTCCTCAAACAACCCTCCTGACCTACACAAATGTGCGCCTTCTTCTTGTCCGGACCAGAGGCCAACTCCAAAGAATCGCAATACACGCCTTGGTCAGTGTAATGACCATGGCACAGATCAACCACGAGTACACGATTGAACGAGATTGTGGCCATTGCTGAATTCCACAAATTCATCGCCTGGCTGGATTGTCTGGCATGCACGATGCACTCCGCACATGTGCAACAACAAATAATCAACCCATTCTTAGCCACGCACTGACTTGAATGTGCTCATCAGCAGCATCCACTCCGTTCCAGGGCACGTCCGCGAATGCGAACTCCATGGATTCGCATCGTTCACGTCATTCGGTAAATAAATGAAACTCGAAAATTGCGCAATGTACACTGGGTGAACTTGGGTTGCCACGCTCATGCATGATTTGAGGGTAACACAGTAAGGTGTGCCGTGCCGCTGCAACATTTTGTTGTAGGGGTGTGTTGTGTGGATGCCTTCCTGAACATGATGGATATAAATCATGCAATAGTTCTGTGGGCTGCGTCATTTAAAGTGCAACCAAAGCTTGACAACTTGGCAAATGCTTCCCGCAAATCATAATCATCAACAGCAGTGGTCCTGAAACAACTGTATCACGGTCAAGTTTGAAATGGCTTGTGGCAGTTACCTTGGGATCCGCTACCGATCATGATGCATTTTCACGTACAGCCCGCATCCATAACACAAAACCCGCACCGCTGAGCGTGGAGACGCGGTGCAATGCGTAAGGAAACGGCTGGAATTTGGCCAGCCCGGCGGGCGTCGTTGGAAGTGCTGCCCCATTTTCGTATCCTGATCCAAAAATTGCAGCACGGGGCCACGAAAAACAGGCATCAACGCGTGCTCGTCCATTGGCTGTTGCGGCTGTTGCTGCTGCTGTTGCTGCTGCTGGGATCGATTTATCCATGCAAATCTCGGTGGATGTTGCTGTTTCTGTTTGGTGGGATTTGTGGCCGAAACACCTGGGTTAATGGTGCACAAACACGCTCGCAAGCCGATGGGGTTTGAAAAACCAAGCGTGTGAAGCTAAGCTTGGGACCCTGGCATCAAACATTTCCTTTCCGAGGGCGTCGCCGCCGGGCATGCATTGGGACTTGCCATTGGATCTGTCACGGAGAAAGTTTTCTTCTGAAAACGAAGGGCTAGCAGTCTAGCCCGTCTGCACCGACTGTGGGGAGCAGGGAATTATCGGGTAGTTGTTGGAGCACACTCTGCGCGAACCCAACGTAAACACATACCATCCTCAACAGCAGTTGCGCGAGCCGACCTCCACACTAGTCCACACATAATGTTTGGAGGCCCCCGCGTTGGGGAGAAGCTTTCGAAGACCATGCCGCAGCAGAATTGTCCTGCTCGGGGCTCATCTGACAGCATGATGCTTTGCCGCGCCTGGCGATGGAGCAGTGGTTTGGCTGCCTTCATTGACCAAATGCAAACAGCACTTACCTCGTATGGTTTCCTGCTGCGCATGGGTTTGCCTTCATGTTTCTTTGGTTGCCATGGCTTTCCACATGAGAAAACACAAGCCTAGCCGAAACGTCGAGATCCAGCGGATGGGGATGACGTCCCTCTGGCCGATTTGCTAACTCGCGGATCCGGCACCTCCAAGTCGGCTGCCTCCGGCAGAGCGATCGCTGACGCTTAGGCGCTTGCATTCCAGCTGCCCGGCGACAGAACGCAGAGGGTTGTAGCGGGTGCACTGGGATCGCGTTGATGGTCTTAAAAAGGTCCGCGGAAAAAAAAATATCATTGTGCAAGGACTTGACGCTTTTGATCAGCCATCGACTGGGCGTCTTATCCCCACAGACGGTTTCGGGTTGACGGGCAGATGTCATCGACCCGGTGCCAGGAACACGGCATTTCCCAAGGCTGTCAGCTGTCGCTTTTTTCTGTTTTCCATTTTGGTGACAGTGTTGTTGTATGATGCAGACATGGATTTGCGGAAATGTGGAGTTCAAACATTGCTTCTTACGCATGGCCCTCACTTGCACAACACTCGGACAAGTTCCTCTTTTTGGCACGAGTTGCATGGGAAATGTTCGGTGCGTAAGTAGAACTGAAACCCCCTGGTGAAACTCTAATGCAATGCAAATGCGATGCGTGAAACAACAAATGCAGTGTGCGAACAATGATTTGCAAGCAGTGCGTATGGTTTGCATGCAGTGCGTGGCAATGCGTGCCGAGTAAGTTGCAGTTCAGGCACTGCGTGCTTGACTGCGCAAACTCTAGGGTGCGGAGGGTGGGTGAAAACAAATGCGTTGTATGCTCGGTCGAGCCCATGCTACAGAAGCAATGAAGTGCACAGCAAGCGAAGAAGAAGATGTTAAAACATGCATGAGATAAAAGAAAAGTCACATGTCACGTTCAAACATTGCTTCTTACGCATGGCCCTCACTTGCACAACACTCGGACAAGTTCCTCTTTTTGGCACGAGTTGCATGGGAAATGTTCGGTGCGTAAGTAGAACTGAAATCCCTACTTTAGGTTCCCGTGCAACTCTGTGTGCCGACTCACTGCTTGCCCCTTCCGCGTCAGAGGGGCATGGGTACCTGCAGGCAATATGTTAGAGGCGTGATCACTCGGTGTAAGTGCAAGAAGCGGACATCCGCTTTTTTCTGCAGCGACTGCGTCACGGAGGGTACTGTGCTTGTCTTAGCTCGTCAGGCCAGGCGGCCTGTTGGGGATGCAGGGTGATGGTACCCTTAGGCGAAGAGAGGCTGGCAAGGGAGATGCGCTCCCGCTCGTGCTCTCTGTGCTGAAATCTTGCGGTGCGATTGCGGCTGAGCTCATCAGCCCAGACATTTTTTTCTCCTGCGAGGTGCGTGAGTGCGAGGCGCACGTTGGCATGGGCTGACCATGCGGCCACTGTTTGCAGAAAGGTGCTGAGCGGTTCTGTGGTGGTGAAAAGGCGGTTGATGCCTGATTCTGCGGAGGTGTTGTCCAACGCGGCTGGCAAGGTAAAGCGGAAGTGCTTTGTGCGCATGCGTGCCACTGCGGTCATTGCGAGAGCAAGCTGAGCGAGCGTCTCAAAGCATGCAATGTATGCTTGCGCATTCTTCGTAAGCTGCGGCCAGTGCTTGCGGACTTCTGTCATGTCCCATTGCTCTGAAAACGGAAGAGACGACCCTGGGAACGTCTGCTTTGCTTTGGATCTTCTGGGATCCCACTTCTGTGAGCTGTGCTCCAGTGGTGAGCCACATGCCCAGTGGCTGGCGTTGCACAACTGCGTCTGGGCTGAGTGCATCAAGGAGGCGGTGCCAGTCCCTGGCGTGTATTTGTTGCAGCGTGCCTCGCCCGCTGTACATGTCCTTGTAAAGCGGGGCCATGTATGGCCGAAGGTGCGTGCATGTGCTCGTTGCCCACATGAGAAGGCCGAGGGCTCGCTCAAGATGCGTGCGAGGTATTTTCTTGGAGCATGCCAACTTCTCGAGTTGTTCTTGCAGCTTGCGGAGCTTGCCTATGGCCAGGTGCGATGACTCTAGATCGGTGTGGAGTGTCCAGCCACACCATGTGACGATGTTGCCGAGCTGTGCTTTTCTCCAGCTAATGGGAGCGTTGATGCACGAGAGAAAGAAGGTGATGATGGTCACC